TACCTGATGTATGTAGGAGTTGGTTACATCAGGATAGTTAAGTTAGTAACCGTCCTCTTGGATCTCTTACAGCATACCTTTTTTAAGAATTTGAACAAAAATGTATTTGAGCTCTTTAAAATGGAAACCATTTGTGACACAACAAAATAGTACCGAAGTTCTTATCAAAGTAAATTTCAGCTTTATCAGATTGACAGACTTAGTGTTCTTAAACCAAACTGTTGATCTGTCTAAGATTGTTGAACTCTTAACAGATTTGAAGAAGATTACAAAGTCTTACTTAATCTGGCAATGTTTCCATTGATTGTTGTGACAGGGTCTTTTGATTGATTTTTTGGATAGTCACTCAAGCAGACCCTGTGAGTATAGCATTATACAATTTATGAAGTACCACCCAGTGTACATTAGACATAGGGTGGAATCCCTCAGTACAATCATCGACAACTGAAGGCTGCTCAAATATACATATTATCCAGTTGTTCATTAGCTGTTACATGGATTGATTCATGAAATAAAAATAAAAAATTATTTAACAACATTGCATTTTATTTCAATTTTCATCAAGGCATAATGGTAGAAACTTTGTTTTACACATAGTCATGTTGTGACTTTGAATATACACATACAATACTTTACATTCTTTTGAAATCTTCCAATGTTAATATTTTGTAATTTATTGAATCTTTTTGGATAAGTGCACCTTCCCCTCTGACTTTTTAACATATATTTCAACTAATTTTAATTATCCAAAGTTGATTCCTAATTAGTTTCCAAGAATTTAAGCATTTACAATAACTACTAGCATCACCAATGAGTGTTAGAGCAGTAAGATGTTTAATTCATTGTTTCGCTATACTATATCTAATTCTAAGCTTTAGAAATGTGTAATTCATTTGTGTGTCTTTTGTACAATCATCCGATATGTTCCATGATTTTCTGGGAGATGACAGTTTTATTTCAGCAGATATTGAGTGTATTTCACCTGTCAATATATATTTCATGTTTTAATTAAATTCGTGCTGAACCTTTTTCCATATCCTTAACAGATCTTAAGTAAATTTCTAAAAGGCATATTCATAAACGAAATGACTTGAATTGGACACCTGGATTACTTAAACGTTCAGACATTTATAAAATAGAATTTACTTTATCATTATGTACATTAAAACCTATGTTAAACAGTAAAAGGAGTCTAGCAGAATACCATTAATCTTTTGGATGTGTATAATAGGCCTGTTTTGGCTGGTAGAATTACTTTTATTGTTCAGAAATAGATTAAAGTTTTTAGTCTTCCCTTATTATAAAAATTCAGTTGAGGCCATTCACATTCACTCAAGTAGAAACTGTGATAGTTTGACCTTATACAAGATATAGCATGTAGTTGTAAGGTTTTGCCAATATAGTAATGACCTTTGGCTGTATTTTATATTGAGATTGTGTGAAATTTCACTTGTGAATATCTTTGAATGTAAACCTACATTATAATTTGCTTTCCATGAATGCCATCTATGAAGATTGCTCCATTTTAGAAATGATTCCACAGTTGCTCAAAACCAAGTTAACATATGCGGAGGATGACACTTAAGTTGTGTATTGTAGGGATTATGTGAAACAACTCCTTAGGTAACAATATGATTTTTTTGTGAAAAGTTGATTATTAATATGTCACCATTTACGAAGTTCATTCATTATGATATATGGTTACCCTTTCATTGATTAAATTCCTAAAAAGTGTTTGATGCCGTCTTAATTGGAACCTACAAAAATTGTCTTAGTCTGATTAAGCACTTGGATATGAGTGTATATATACCAGTATTATAACACTGGTAACAATAGTTACATGGTAGGTATATTAAGGTATAAAAGATGGCGTTCATGAATTTATCAGCACATTCCATGTTTACGCCACTTATTTGAACACCACAGTAATTGCTCAATTATTGCTCAACCTCTCAAGCCTAACACAGACTCATCCCTTAGATGAGGGATGTCCGATAATTCACCCAGCTGTACAAAGTGAATGCTCTTCTTGTCCAGTTTAACTGGTGCCATTGAGCTAAAAGTTGGTAGGGATGTGTTACTTTTTGTCTTTGCCAAATTTAATGTGGGCCAGCATGACTTGCTGCCATCTTAAAAATCACACTTTAAACTTATTTTCTAGTGTGATTGGTACCATTGAGCTAAAAATTGGTTTGGATTTGGGAAAGGAAACTGGCAAAGTGTTGTTATGTTTCAGCCTTGCCAAAACTTTGACATATCAGCAATGGTATCCATTTTGTAATATGGTTACACAATAATGGTTTTCCTGAACAACACCTACAATAAACTTCCTAAGATCCACCCTTGGGATTCAGCTCAAACTTGCCTGAAATAGTCCTAAGATGGTGCTGATCGAGTCTTGTCGTTTTTTGGTGGCTGTTTTGAGGCTGCCCTGACTGCCATCTTGAAAAAAAGATTTAAACTTCTGCTGCATTTGAGCTGAAATTTTGAGTAAATGTTGTGAGAGTGAAGTGATGAGTGGTTTTGTGATGTTTAATGCTAAAATATTCAAAAATGTTTTACACTTTTTATAATTGTTCTTACTACCACTAATGTAATGCCTCTTTGTTCTTGTTTAAGACAAGCAGGACACCATTACTGCACACTTACAGATTCAGTTCCACAGAAATGGGGAAGTGTTAGCTAGTTGTAGTAAAGTGCATTTGAAGTTATCAGGTTTTAGCATATTAATGTACAAGGAGATAAACTTAGACCTGTTCAACCAAGATAAAAGTTCAAAGCTATCCATAAAACTACTGCTATAGCACTGGATGAAATGCATTAATACTCGAGAGAGAACATTTTGTAATAAGTTTGTACTAAAACCTCGAAATTAAATCATTTATTGGTTGATCTAATATAATCTTTTATAATAGAACTTTGAATTAATGTCCTGATTATTGAATAGGTGAATAGGTTTGTTTATAAATAACTATAATACACGTGTCTCTTTATTCTCAAAGAAATGTTAATGTAGACATCGATCCAGATGGTATACATAAAGTACCACACAGTATACATAAAGTACCACACAGTACACATATAGTATCACACAGAATACATAAGGTATGTACCACACAGTATACATAAGGTATGTACCACATAGTATACATAAGGTATGTACCACACAGTATACATAAGGTATGTACCACATAGTATACATAAGGTATGTATCACACAGAATACATAAGGTATGTACCACACAGTATACATAAGGTATGTACCACATAGTATACATAAGGTATGTACCACACAGTATACATAAGGTATGTACCACACAATACACATATAGTATCACACAGTATACATAAGGTATGTACCACACAGTATACATAAAGTGTCAAACAGTATACATAAGGTACCACATAGTAGGCATATGTTTCACACAGTATACATGAAGCAAAAGAGCTTTTCATAAAGTAGGCAGTATACAAAAGGTATAAGTGTGTACAATATATAGTACTTAGCCATATAACAAAGTACTGGTATGATCAGCTTTTAAGTATCATACCACTAGGAACCCATACAGTGGCCTTAACTGTCAGACTTATTTCAGCAATCTACAAATAACAAGCCCCAGGTTACAAATCACTTTACTTTTAAAATCCTATACCCGATTAGGAAAATCAATGGGGATGGCCCACATTACCGAGTGTGTGTACACAGGTGGAAATGGAATACAGCTAGGAATCATATTCAGATTGGCTTATATCAAATACCCATAAAAGGGTATATAATATTATGCAATAGATTGTATTTAAATTCCAAATAAGTCTATACATTTGTCAATAATTTTCACTCTCCTGAGAACAAAATCAAAAAAGCATCACATACCCTTTATTAACATTCCAATTAAGAGTTAATACATTGATATAATTCAAAGCACAGTATTACTTGACAGTTTTTGTCTTCATTGTGTGTGTGGGATGACATCAATAAAACCAAGGTTTTTCTGCCCTCATGTGTTTAGAATGATGTTGGTAAGACCAAGGTTTTTGTGCCCTTGTGTGTTTAGAATGATGTTGGTAAGACCTGGGTTTTTCTGCCCTTGTGTGTTTAGGATGATGTTGGTAAGACCAAGGTTTTTGTGCCCTTGTGTGTTTAGGATGATGTTGGTAAGACCAAGGATTTTCTGCCCTTGTGTGTTTAGGATGATGTTGGTATGACCAAGGATTTTCTGCCCGTGTGTGTTTAGGATGATGTTGGTATGACCAAGGATTTTCTGCCCTTGTGTGTTAAGGATGATGTTGGTATGACCAAGGATTTTCTGCCCTTGTGTGTTAAGGATGATGTTGGTATGACCAAGGATTTTCTGCCCGTGTGTGTTTAGGATGATGTTGGTATGACCAAGGATTTTCTGCCCTTGTGTGTTAAGGATGATGTTGGTATGACCAAGGGTTTTCTGCCCTTGTGTGTTTAGGATGATGTTGGTATGACCAAGGATTTTCTGCCCGTGTGTGTTTAGGATGATGTTGGTATGACCAAGGATTTTCTGCCCTTGTGTGTTAAGGATGATGTTGGTATGACCTAGGTTTTAGGTAAGACAGGGTAGAAAACTTTTCAGTGAATCTTTCGTTTTTAACACACCAAATTATCACATCTCAAATGCCATCAGTTGGTCCCCCCTCAGGTAGCAAGTGTTTTAGTGTTCTTTTTGGGACTGATTTGAAAACAAATAAAACAGAAAGATGTCCATCTTGAACTTCGATCATTTACATTTGCTAGATAACTATTTCGTGAACAGTATTAGAGGGATCATTCTCAAATATTTTGCTCGGCTGCCCTTGGTCCTGGGTAGCAGGAAACACTTAATTTGCATTTTTCCTGAAATTATTGGTCATGTTTGAGATATACAGGTATAGCAGTTTTATCAGTTCTCTTTAGGGTGAATGAGATATCATTACAATGAAGGTAGATAGGAAGATTTTACTGATTTTTAAATGGTTTTCCTCACTCGACAGGTACAGGATGATATCCGCCAGTTACGAGAGAAAATTAACCATGGGGAGGGGAGCAGTATTAACATCAAGGACCTGGAAAGTGCCCTGGCCAAAACTGAAGAGGGACTACAGGTAAGTAAACTAGTATTAAAAACACGTCTTAGTCATCGTCATACCGTCAAACATTTTTTCATCTAGGAAATAATTAGTTATCGTTTGTTTTAGCAATTACTTAAACAAATAAGTCAAGTGGGGCAAATATCAAATATTGATTTTGCAATAGAAAACTTTCGACTTGTGTCATCAATGTTATAGATCACATTTGTATTGTTTATATATATTTCATGGAGTCTTTGAGGACATCATATAGCCAAGTGATTAAGTGAAAATGTGTTGATGTTAAAGTTAACCTTAAAACATGAAAGGACATATTTAAAAACAAGTTACAGCACTGGTGCTATTAACTAGTCTGATTGGTGGAGTTTACAGACGCAGCTCTGCCAGCCTCCCTTGGAGCAATTAATTTGAAAATGGAGAAATTTAAGTCTCAGTTCTTCCAATCAGTCAGATAAAAAGGGATGAAAGTAACTGTCCTTGTACTACCAGTAAGATTGAAGGTAGATAAGTGACAGCCTCAGTGCTGCCAATCATTCAGATTATAGATACATAAGTGACAGTCTCTGTGCTGCCAATCACAACTACCTGCCTATCTGAACTTATCTAGTGCTTTTTTACTTGATGTAGTCTCATGCTTCAGAATTTTTATGTCAATATCTTTGTCAAATTGTAAATTCGGATGTGGGAAGTCACAAGAACATGATAAGACGGAATGTTTGATGACATTCATACTAGTTCATTTGTAGCTTGGTGTTGAACTTGTTAAGTAATATGAAAATATGAAGCAATTTAGCACACTCTAAATACATAGAACATTTACTGGATGACACAAGTGCAAGGGTGCAAAAAGATTATTGAAAAACAACTATAAATAGGTAAATCATGGATGAAATGATATAATTAAAAGTTGTCCTGTCACTTGACCATGCTTTGTAGAAGATATTGATTAAAACATATTATTTTGCAGATGAAGACTGAACAGGTGATAAATCACTACAACAACAAGGTACAGACTCTACCCACAGCCCTCAGTACCAGGTTCGACCCTGGTATGGTGGCCCTGGAACAGACGTGGGATCTTAAAACAAAGACCAAATCAGAAATGAAGAAAGTACAAGACCAACAGTATCTCGCACGGTGTGTATGTTAGATCAGTGTCACATGATAATGTAAGGTCACAAGTATCAAGTGACAGAAATTGCATTACAAAGATTATAATAAAGGGAAAAGCAGGGGCTCAAGAAGATAATATATTTAAATGACATTAACAAATTTTATATTAACTGTATTTCACATGTACCATATATTCAAAACTATCACAGATCAGTTAATACTGAAATACAAAAGTAAGTATATATTGAGGATAACATATTAGGAGCAGAGACATTTACAACTAATATGAGGTTGGCATCATTGAAAGTCCAGGCTAATTATATTCAATAGTACAATAATACAGTATACTTTGAAATAATTCAGATCATTTACTCATTATACCCAATAGGGGTAAAAGAGCAAAGTCTTTAAAATCCTATTCCTTCTGTAGGATTGATCTGATTTTGTCCAAATTTTGTCTGAAGCATCATTGGATAAACGGAAACCAATTTTGTATAAATGGTTGGTCTTGGCTCCCTGGGGCTGGAGGGGCAGGGCCTCATAGAAGAAATAGAACTAGTTCTTTAAAATCTTACTCCTCATGTAGAAATGATTCAGTTTTGCATAAATTCAGTCAGATGCATTGTTGGATAAAAGGACATCAGTTTTGTATAAATGGTCAGTCTCGGTCCCCTTGGGCAGAAGGGGCGGGGCCCAATGGGGATAATAGATCAAATACTTTGAAGTCTTACTCCTCTTGTAGGAATGATAGGGTTTTGCCTAAATAGTCCGAAGCATTGTTGTGTGAAGGAAATCAATTTTTGTATAAATGGTTGGTCTCAGCCCCCCTGATGGGAGGGATGGGGCCCAATAGGGGAAATTGAGCAATTATTTTGAAGTCCTACTCTTCCTATAGAAAATATTAGATTTGCTCAAATTTTGTCTTAAGCATCATTGGTAAAAAGGAATAAATTTTATATAAATGGTTGGACCTGGTTATGAATAGTGAATCTGACTTCTGTTTGACCACAAGGCCGAAGGAAGATTATATCAGAAATTGTTTGTCATATTTGAAATACTTTGTTAAATGGCTGATAAGCTAAATTAACCAGGTGAGCAATGCAGGCTCCTTTGGCCTCTTGTTTCCTTCATGTGTACTATTTTTGCAACTGATTTTATATCTCTCCATTATCTGTCATCACAAGGTTGTTTCTCAGTTCTCAGTTGTTAATTTTTTTCATATTATCCTAAAAAAACTGCTTAAATGATATCTGTTCTTTAATAAGTCAGTGTGTGTTTCTATGATTGATGATGTACTTACCAGAGAGAAGCTAAGACAGCCACAGCCTCCAGGGGCATTGTTACCAAAACGACAGCAGGTCCAGGTTGCAGGGCCATCACCAGGACAACAGGTAATTGCAGCAAGGTCAAGGTCACTTGTAAAGGTCACTAACATTACCTACATTACAATGTATTTGCTAAACAATGTATCATTCTTTATATTGTAGTACGTAGGAAAATCAATTATGACTTTGTAACTGTGTTAAGTATGTTCAGTCTTTGTCTAAACACTTCCTACATAGAAAAAAGGTACCTCAAAGAAGACTCACACCTTTGTTTATTTTGGTAATCTTATTGGAACTTTCCTTATAGTTACCAAACTTTTTTTTCGAGATTTAAAATAAAACTTGCTAACCAAAGCTGTTGGGCTTGAAGAATAATAGGCTGCTGGGTCCTTTTTCAAATAAGCTGTCAGTGTTCAAATTCATGTTCCAAATTCATTGTCTGAATTAATTGGTGTCAAATTATAGACTTAAATGCATCTTAAGAAATTGAATAACTAAAGACATATAATTCATATTTTGTCAGACAAAACACATGTTAACGCTGAGAGCAGTGTTGAACCCAATGCATGGACAGAACAGACAATCTCTCAATGACAATTTTGGTATCCAGCTTCCACTTATACCACAGCGAACAGAAAACAAGGTATGTCTGACCATAATAACAACAAAATACAAAGTAGGTCTGGATGTTTTAACAATAAAAAACAAGGTAAGTCTGACCCTTATACAAAAGTTTCTTTGAAGAACAAAATACAAGGCAGTTCTGCATCTTATAATACAAAAAAAACAACAAAAAGCAATATAGGTAAGAAGAAAAAACAAAGTAGGTCTGAAAACAAGGCCATTCTTATAACACACACACAAAACTAGATTGAAAACCAGGGAGGTTTGCTCCTTATAACAACAAGAAAAATGAGGTATTCTTTAACCAGTTATTTTTGAGAAGATGATATATGTTAACATGAATGTGAAAATTTAATCCATGATATGATAAGACATATATAAGATGTCCTTTAACATCCCGATTGCAAAATTTTAATTTGTTGAAATATCATTCTGCCATTGTAAAAGAAAACTGAGAAAATAACAAAATTACCAGCTGTATGGAAGGTCTGTTCCTTAAAACAATAGAAAACAAGACAGGTCTGCTTGTTATTACAACAAACAAGAGGCCCATAGGGCCTGTATTGATCACCTTCCTCAGTTTGCTGAGATTGCTTTATCTAAACTAAAGAATTTTAAAGATTTTTAGCTATTTCCTCTATCAACCCACTCCTGTCTACCTCCAGGGCTTCAGATGTAACAGTTTAACAAAACTCAGGTCCCTTTATCCAAGGACGTGTCACAGTAAGTTTGTCCAAAATTTAATCTTTCCTGAAGAAGATTTTAAAGAATTTGCTCAAATTTCCTCAAATAGGCCCTGCCTCTCAGGTCTATTGGGCCAGGTGATTGGTTAGTGATCCCTAATTAATGAAAACAATATATGTATATATATATATATAAGTCCCTCCTTTTAGCAACTTAAAACAAGGTAACAGTTCAAGGCTTATAACCCTAAAAAGCACCTGAAAACAAAGTCAAGATCTGCTCCTTATAAACATATTCAACAGCTAGAAAACAGGTAAGATTTAGTGCCCTGTGATTTTTGTCTTTAGAAAACTTAGTACTGGCAGACACGATACTCACATCTACCAGAGCTTGTTTTGGAGTTGTAGTCAAGAAACATGTTTTATTCATAAGATTTTCTGTTTTAATGAAAATGTGGGTTAAGACAAGGAGGAGTCTTGTGGATCATTGATTTTAGTGTTTAGAATTACTGTTACATATAGTAAAAACTGTAACAAACAAACTAGGATTTTATATTTGATTTTGAAATACTTCAGCGAGTCATGATTTGAATGTCAAAAAGTTAGTGGGAATTTTTGTGTCATCAACAATTATGATTAAAATTAATAATTTGCTGAATGAAGATGAGACGGATACCATTCTAGGATCGTGCACAGGTATTTAACAGAGGTCAATGGAGATTTTCTCATCAGATGTACTTTTCTACCGTTATACAAAATCTAGTACGTAGAATGCACCACTGCAGATAAAATATATTGGTGTGTTTACATTGATTGATGTGTAATAGACATTGCTTTATCTTTATGGAAATGCTATTTGAAGTTTCTCTCCCTGTTAAACTGTACTTGCCGATATTTTCAGAGAAAGGTCAGACTTATACAAAAGGATAATAGTGGAGTGGTCATAAAAGTGACCAATGTGAGTAAAGTCTCTAACCGCTGACCACAACATGCTTACTCATGATTGTATATTGTGTGTTTAACGCAAGGTTTTTTACTATAAAAAATAGACTTGGCTGATGTATTCACTTAAACTTTATGTTTGTTTTAACTGGTATATTGATAACACATTGAAATTTTAACTTTTATTGTTAAAAAGAAGAATAAAGGAAAAGAAAGAAAATAAGAAAATTAAAAATAAGTTTTGTGTCTCCATAAAACATGTGAGATTTGTTTTTGGTGGATGGTTTGAATATTATAACAGGAAAGAAGCAGTATTAACAAAAGTATGTGGTGACTGTGCTGAGTTTAGTTTGTTGTGACTGTTTGTGATATATATAGAATTTTTTTATTTTTTTAATGGCAGTGTGACTTTAATTTGGAACAATGACAGATGGTTTTGCTAAGCAGAATTTTGTGTGTGTTGCAATTTTCTGTGTAAACAATTATTAGTTGTAATTACATTGTAATATATTTGTACTTTTTACCAGATTTGTTATTACAGCATTTCACTGATAATATACAAATCTTAATATACTAGAAATTCTCTTGTCATACTAGAAATTCTCTTATTGTACTAGAAATTCTCTTGTTATATTAGAAATTCTGTTACTTTCTTGTTTTTTTTTTCCAAAGAATATGATTTACATAATCAATAAGAATTTATTTTATAATGAAAATTGTGAAGCACAAGTAAATATAGTTTTTGTTATTTGTACTGCCTTTTTGAGTTGATTCTATTCAATTAAACTACACAACATACTGTATGTATAGTGAGCCAGCCTTACTTTCCAGATGTATTACCAAAAAACATTGTGAGAAATAGGATGTCTCCTTCTTGGATGGAGAATTTCATGCATTACTTATAAATCATACTTATAATAATGTTTTCTATACTAGAATTCTCTTGTCATACTAGAAATTCTCTTGTCATACTAGAAATTCTCTTATTGTACTAGAAATTCTCATATTACTAGAAATTCTCTTGTCATACTAGAAATTCTCTTATTGTACTAGAAATTCTCTTGTCATTTATAATTCTCTTGTCATACAGTTCTCTTGTCATAGTAGAAATTCTCTTGTCATACATAGAAATTCCTTGTCACAGTGAAACATCATACCTCATTGTCATATTAGAAATTCTCTTGTCATATAGAAATTCTTCATACTAGAAATTATCTTGTCATACTAGAAATTCTCTTGTCAAATATATGCTTATTGTCTAGAAATTCTCTTGTTATATTAGAAATTCATGTTGTACTACATTTTTTTTTTCCAAAGAATATGATTTACATAATCAATAAGAATTTATTTTACAATGAAAATTGTGAAGTACAAGTTAATTAGTTTTTGTTGCGTTATTTGTATTGCCTTTTTGAGTTGATTCTATTCAATTAAACTACGCAACATACTGTATGTATAGTGAGCCAGCCTTACTTTCCAGATGTATTACCAAAAAACATTGTGAGAAATAGGATGTCTCCTTCTTGGATGGAGAATTTCATGCATTACTTATAAATCATAATTATAACAATGTTTTCTATGACAGAATATTCCACGACCAATCATAGGAACCACAGTGGAACCGCTAGCTGTCCTTCCACGGGCTAACAGAGTCGACCCTCAGGTATTTATAATGAGCATACAGTTATAGTGAAGTATCATTGTCTAGACATAGATTCCAATTAACACAGTGAAACATCATACCGCATTTTGGCCAGGATAATTAAATATTGTAATAAATCTTGACCATGGTAAATATATGCCATGTCTAGACCAGGATAAAGAAATACATGTTGTACTACATTTTGCCTAGGGTAAATAAATATTGTTCTACATACTGACTCAGATGACTAAATATTGTGCTACATACTGACTCAGATGACTAAATATTGTGCTACATACTGACTCAGATGACTAAATATTGTGCTACATACTGGCTCAGATGACTAAATATTGTGCTACATACTGACTCAGATGACTAAATATTGTGCTACATACTGACTCAGATGACTAAATATTTTGCTACATACTGACTCAGATGACTAAATATTTTGCTACATACTGACTCAGATGACTAAATATTGTGCTACATACTGGCTCAGATGACTAAATATTGTGCTACATACTGGCTCAGATGACTTAATTTTTTTATACATACTGGCTCAGATGACTTAATATTTTTTATACATACTGGCTCTGGGCCTGAGTAAATATTTTGCTACAGGAAAAATTGTGCTAGGACTAAATGTTTTTATAAATTTTGTGGTCACTCATATATATTGTGATACAACCTGGACCAAGATTGATTTGTTTAGTCTTGAAAAGAGAAATCTACTTTTAGATTGCTCCTCCACCTATATCAGAAGATGATGCTAGGAAGGGGATTCTGAGTTTACTAGAGAGGGGTTTGATTCCACCAGCCGCCGAGCTAACCTTAGACCCTTCACCAGTCAGACACAAGACTGCACCTCTCCATGACCCACATGTTAAAACAAAGCCAGCACAGCCAGGTGAGTAAGGACATCATTGGTACAATATCTACCAAAAGACTATTAAATACTGGCAAACTTTTCAGGTTAAAGTTCAACTTTAAGTAAGTCATTTATGATATCACATTAGCTGTAAATTGAGACTTTAAAACTTGAATTACTCTATATTTCACCTGAATTTTTAAAATGGTTTTGCCCACTAATTCTGTTTGAAGACTTTATCATTCATTAACCAAGATACAACATATTTGTTACAGAGATGTCCCATCATCTGGCTGGAGTCAAACTAGACATCACAACATCATCAAAGAAAGCAGAAATAGATGATAATGTGACGCGGATACCCATAGTCCCTCCACACCCATTGTCTGCCCATAGTACAGAAACGAGAACCCCCTCAGCAAAGACTCGCGCTACATCAGCATCTATGCCACAGATAAAAACACCAGCCACCCTTAAAACCTTTGATCTACCACTACAGCCAATGGTATGTATATCGTACATATTGAGATTTACTTTTCAAAATTTCATTTCTCATTTTAAAATCATGTTCTCATAGCATGCATTTTTATTGATATAACTGCGTGGTTTAACTAGTAAATATTTAAAATTTTGAAACTCAGTCTGATATTGGTGTAGCCATCTTTATTAACTGCATGCTGTAATGTGAGATATGATATAAATATCGTTGGTAGGAATAAGATAGATTATTCTTAAAATATTACAGGTGTTCAAATTCTTTTAAATAAACACAAAAGTAAATCAGAATAAACAGTAATCAATTATTTACATAAATCTTTAATGAATTTTCAAAAAATCATTTTGTTGTAAGATAACTGTATGTAACTCCTCAAAAAAAATTAGTGTTATTTCTAAATATAGAAATCATATATGATTTAAAACGCATCACCTTAATTATGGAGCAAGAGGGAATTACACACAAAATAACAGACTTTTTCCGTAAAACAAGATCTTTCAGAAAGAATGGTAACCTACTGATGTTTTCATTTCAATGAAATTAGAATTATGATTTTTAGAAATGTTATTTCAGTCAGTGTTTAAAATAAACTCCGGATTAGCTGAAAGGTTTATGATTTAGAATTCGGAGATGATAGTTAAGCATTGACTAATTTCAGGATCAATATTATGGGGTAAGACTGTTAGAAAGATGACATTGATATGTGTGAGATTAATGATGTCACGGTGACTTGTTGTTCAGTGCTTTCACATAATTAACAGTAAAGCTGAGACTCGGTGGGCCCAGTTCTTCACTGTATCATCACATTCTGAAATCACCGATGAAAAGTTTTCAGATCTGGATACTTTGAATTATATGAAAAATGTCTTAGATTCTTAATTACTACATTTTGATTTAAATGATGAATTTTATTCAATATTTTCATCAGAGAAAAGATGGAGAATTCTTGTCATGTTGAACAATCTTAAGCTTAGTATCTACTAGATGTTTGATGATTATTTGTGTTGACTTGACACAAGCTGACTAAAATTTGAACAGCTAGGCCCAGAGTGATGTTGTTATTAATTTTTAATCACCCTTTTTATTTCAGAAAGTATGAGGTTAAACTTTTTACAAAAAAATAAAAAAGATATTACCACATTTTGGCCCTATCACCTTGAGTTCTTTGCAAAAACAAAAAAATAAATTTGATCATTGATTCGTTCTTTGTCAGTAGACATTATCTGACTGTTCAGTTATTTTTGATATATTTTGGATGAAGCTTGCAGCTGCAGTTGAAAACCCCCATCTTTAACTTAAATAATGTGTTTGTTTAATCTTTTTTTAGTACCGTAAAGCAGCCTTTTGATTTGTAGACTTACTGTTATCTGTGCTTTAAGTCATCATACATGAATGTTTTTTGATATGGAGAAAATATAGCAAAATGCCAAAAATTGATATTTCAGCAAATGACATCATCCTCACCCGACCGGTATGGTGGCCCCATAAGGTCACCATCATCAAAACAGGGCTATAGATTTCTGTTTAGCGTAAGATTTGTTATATATATACACGGTACATGTTCTATTTTTTTGGTATTTTGTTTTTCTACCTTTCTAAATTATTTATTTCTGTTTAAGAATATGGCTATGGTTAGTAGATTACATTTTACAACACCAAGCCCAGCTCTCAATAGTATTCCTCTAGGGAAGGATGTCTCTTGGTACAAGTCGTCAGTGCAGTAGTATCTTGTAAACTGAACATTGATCTCTGCTAGTCTTTTATAAATCTTTATTTACCAGGAAATTCTTTCATTAATGAGCACATGGATACAGGGTTGTGATGCTAATGTTTGCTTGTGTTGGTCTGGCTCACTAATTTTCAACTAACCTCTCAACTTTATTTCAGGGGCCTAAAATACGATTGTTCAAGAAGGTATCAATAGACATAGTTCTATATAGCTATAGTTATTATGGACCATTTCATGATGTTTAAGTGAACAGTTCTGCCTCCTTTACAAACTTTTGTTCGGAACTGTCACTGAAATGTCAAATGGCAGAAATCGTTTTACTGATCACAGCATCTGTGGCATGAAAACTCACACAAGCCTACAAGTCGTCCTTTTAAATGCTCACCAATCACTTGGCTTCTGAGCGATTCATTTCCTTTTCTATCAGCTAATTGCATCTGTGTTTAAAATTTTAAATGTAATTCACATGACTTTTTTAGGATTTAATAAAAAAAAATTTTTTGAAACATTTTTGCAAAAACAGATGCAATTTGTTGTAAGAGCTATAATGGAAAATACTGTATTACCTAGACATGAACCAAACAAATTTGTTTATGAAGAGAAAAAAATCTCTGACTGAAGCAGCTACCCTTGGCTGACTCAGTAAGAATACCAGGTAAGTAACAGATTCACACACTCATACAGTGACAAGTTGCTGCTCAATTTTTAAGGAGTTGATACAGTCCCCTGAGCTCAACAAGATCATCCATATACCAGTGCAGTCGGCCAGCGCAGTCAGACCTGTGGACGTTACCTACCTACCACACATTAAGGTTCACTAAAATCAGAGCATGCGTCACCATAGATACAGTAGTTCTGCTAAAAACCCTTATTTTGTAGCCTTTAGATTATTTCTGTTCTGCGTAAGCTAACTATACGTACTACACTCTCCTGTATCTATTACTTGTTTCCGGCTCTTGTGTAATGTTCTGTTGACTTTTTTGTCGGCAGTTTATGTCATCTCCAGATTACAGGTGTCTATCTCTGGGAGGTTCCTCCATTGATATAATACATATAATATATCATATATAATGAACCATAATTATATGTAACACAGGTAAAATACTAGATGCAAAATACCACTATTTTCACAGCGGTACTTGTGAAAGTAATGCTGGTGGGCAATGGCTAAGTACTATCTCCGGGTTCCTACATGGATGCCAATGTAACAGAGGTCATTGTTAATTTCATTGCCCCTGCTAGGAATCGAACCTGAGACCCCTGGCTTACTAGTCTGACGCTCAACCAATCGAGCTAAAGAGAAGTTCTCTCTAGTCGAGCGGTATTTTGCGGCTAGTATTTACCAGGGTTACATATATATGTACACAATATCTCTAATGTTTAAATATGGTAACTACATTCTCCTCTTAGACAATGGTTGGTATAATACAATAAATGTCCTGTCCTTTCCATCGAGTGTTTCAGTGTTTGTATGTCCTGTGGTATCTACAATGTATTCATTTCTTAATGTCTTCATTTGTCAGTTAAGTTAAAGTTGTTTCATTTTTCAAGACATGAAATATGATCATTCTACAAAACTTTTTCTTCGCATGCTTCACTGCTGTAAGGATCTTGAGCTGATAACTGGACCATGTGTCGAAAACTCTCTTTTCCAATCATTGATTTCTAGTAGACTCTGATTTAGTCATCAAAAGGGATGAGTTGAGGCTGCTGAGGAAAATATTCCTTGTACTTACATGTTTCTATAATTCTTTCCTTCGATGCATATTGTAATTAAAAAAAAAAGAAAGAAAAAGAGATGAAGAAGAAGACTGCACATAGCTTTTGCTTTCCACCACTTTATGGACATCACACAAAATTGGACGCCATCAGAAATTTGATGTGTCACCTTACCAAGCACTTTTATTATTATTTATACATATTTTCACAGCACAGCTCCACAAGTATTTAACTAGTGTAAACTTCTATAAATGTTGAATTTATGTACTTTTACATACTGATTAGAACTGTTTAATATTCTATGATGTAAGATAACATGTAGGAAGGTGTCGGTGTTATGGACTGTCGGTGTTGGTTACTATTTTAACTGTATATATATAGTAGACCCTGTCTATACTGTCCCTTGATCTTAACACGTTTTATCACCTTCTAGATGATTAATTCATGCAATTTTGGAATAAAAAATAGATGATAAGAGAATGGCTTATTTATTTCTGAAATTGTAAAAAAAAATGTGTACAGATCTTAATTAAGGTAGCAACAGGTAAAACAATATTTACAAAATCTGACTTTATCAAAATCAACTTTACTATCTGCTGATGTTTATCATAGTTCTGTAGTTGTTTTTGTTGTCTGAAAAGTCATTGTTTGGATTTCATGTATAATTTTACAGATATTCTTTAACATTTAAGTCTAGTTCTTTGTCAGTGTTTAGACTGAAGTATCAGTGCTGATTTTGTGACGTTTTCTATGATACATGTCTGTCATCAGTTATAACACCACCATTCACCTGGAGCATCATACTTATATAATCTAATGTGATTAACATGTCTCTTTACAGCCACCACCTACCACCCCCGCAAGTGGTGACATCAAAAACCTTACCCACAGATTTGCCATTCAGAATGGAAAGATACGAGACACGTCTGCTGAGTTCTTGTCCTTCAAACAGCACTACTGTCTAACGTGGGGAAGGTAAAGATACTGGTATTTTGTCTGACAGTGTGTTTTATATCTTATTTTGATAGAGGTGTCATGACATTTCCTTTACTTTGTTTTACTTCAGGACGATGTGATGTAAAGTAAAATTTCTGTGTTTCATGGAAATAATTATGAAACAATAATATGAAAATCTATAAGTAAATGTAGACTCTGAATAACTTCTAACAAAAAAAATTCTCTTTATTTGTCACTGAAATCCTAGAATCTACCGACCGTTGGAAACAAGACATTAACATTCTTCATATACTTGTAGTGATAGCAGTGTCATGTTTGGTAAGAAAAATCAAGCATGGTGGATATTATTCATAATTTTTTTTTTTTTCGTGTTGTTTCATACATATTCATTGTTGTCTGTGATACATTTTATGATATACAGAATTTATGAACGTTTTCAGTTTTATATCTATGGGCACTGTATGCCTTTGCTATGGGAACACATTACAATTTTACGATTCACAGAAATTATGAACATTTTCATTTTTATATCTATGGACACTGTATGCCTTTGCTATGGGAACACATAACAATTTTATAATTTTCAGATTTATAAACATTTTCAGTTATATATCTATGGTCACTATGGTTGATATTCTATACACAGTAATAGCTTCTGCTATTTAGCTCGTACTCTCCACACACTGTTATCTTCTTCATTGTTTAATTAGTTTGGACCCAATCCATTTTCAATAAACCTAGCAACACAATGATAGCCTGAATCAAGATGTCCGTGTAGACAATATCAGTTACAGCACTCCCACGTAGATATTACTTAGCATTTATTATCAATACTTGTATATATTTGTTAACTCAAATAGTTTTGATGTTATTTCACCTGTTTTTGTATTATGATAGAGAAGTATCTGTGGGAAGATAATTCTGTAGTGTACATAGGTTAGCATTAGATTTGCAGGAAGTTATTGTGAATGGTCTTACGTCAGTATTTGATGAAATGATAAATGATAAACTTTATCTATTTTACAACAATTGCAAAACAAGTTTTTCCAACTTATATTAATCACTCTTGTTGACCCAAATGAAAGTGCGCGATGTGGGAGGAAAGCAGAGTACCCCAGGAAAACAAACTCTGCACATGTATTGAAAATGGCTGTTTTTATCAAACAATGTATACATAAAGATGTACATATATACAACAAATTTCAATAATTGTACATAAACAAAACTTTATTGTAAATATTATTTTGAGAAACAGTTGACAAGTCTAAGATGGGGGTATGAAAACACCCAATAACAACAAATTTCCATAGATGGACATATGCAAAACTTGGTTGCAAATAATGTTATGAGAAAAAGTTGACAAGTCAAAGATGGGATATGAAAAACTCCATACAACAAATTTCTATAATGTTACATACAAAACCTTCTTGTAAATATTGTTAAAACACAATAGACATGACTAAATTGTGGTACAACTTATCCACCAAGTAAGCATATTCTATGCAAAAGATGGGCTGCAGGGGAGGTAGTGGGAAAAGAAATTGAAATTCCAAAGTAAATGTACATGTTTGGTAAAAACATTAGAATATAAGTAGATTGTACAAACCTAGTTCCTCCATTATATCTCTGACCCTATAAATAGCAACAAATTGATGTATCTATGACCCAATTACTCGCTATTAATGGTCAGCCTCCGCTTGTCTATACAATGTATATTGCGGAATAATAAATCCCATTCAAAAACTTTTTGATTTATTGAAGAACAAACATTTTAGGTCACTCAGTAATTAATATTTAGATTAACAAAGTTAAGACCAATAACTTCTTCTGAAACATTTATAAGTTACATTAAACAAATTTTTGTATGTATCTAATTCTTAATTTATTTGAAAAATTCAACTTTCAGCTTTACATAAATTTTAGATGACATACAATCTAAACTACCTTAGAGGGGGAGAGGGGAGTCAATATTGTTTTAGTAAAGTATACAAAAGTTTGGTTGAGTGTACAAGGATACAAATGATTGGTGGAGTGTACGAGGATACAAATGATTTGTTGAGTATAAGGTGATACAAATGATTGGTGGAGTGTACAAGGATACAAATGTTTGGTTGAATTTAAGATCATAACAACCCTTCAGTGTAATGGAACAACACACAGGTATTTGTTGTAGTGTCAGATATCTCATAAATTATTTTTGTTTGGAACCATCAACCTCTTATCATCTCTGTTATTACAGCATTGTATCAATGATTAGACATCTAGAAAAGATGACACAGGAATTCACTGTTCCAATTGCCTTCATCAATGGAGACAAGTAAGTCTAGAATGTATTCAGTGCATATTTTTTTTTTTTTTTTTTCGTTTTTCAGGGTACAGTGATGCTTTAATCTGGGTATAATAGACTCTTTATCATCCTTTATATTAGAACTTAAGAACTACTTCTGATTTCTCATTTAAATGTATAATCAACACATAACTCTCTTTGTTAATGACTTGTGAAGTGACAATTAAAAACTATTTTTTTAATTTTTTTTTTTTAAAAAAAAAAAAAAAAAAAAAGTGCATATTATTATGTATTGTCTTTGATACCCTAAAATACATGATAATCTATTATCTCTTGAGATGAGGTGTTTTTTGTGATGTAATTTTCCTATGAACGTGACTGGTTTATGGCCTCAAGTGAATATGACTGGTTTAAAGTCTGGAGATCTGTAATGTTTGTCAACTCTTTGTCTTACCACTGACATTGTGATTGACAGACTTGCTGACTTGTCCTTGGAGTTTGAGTTGGAGAGGGCTCCAAGTACGGATGACTTACTAGCTGTCATTGTCAACCGAGAGGATGTAGAGGTCATCATGAACAGACCTGTAAGTACATCCATTCAAGTACTGACTCACTCAAAAACCTCTTTATCAGTAAGTAACTCCACCAAATCACAGAGTCACCCAACAACCTTTCTGTACCAGTAAGTACCAACACCCAAGCACAGAGTCACTCAAAAACCTCTCTGTACCAGTAAGTACCTCCACCAAATCACAGAGTCACCTAACAACCTTTCTGTACCAGTAAGTACCTCCACCAAATCACAGAGTCACCTAACAACCTTTCTGTACCAGTAAGTACCTCCACCCAAGCATTGAGTCACTCAAAACCCTCTCTGTACCAGTAAGTACCTTCCCCCAAGCATTGAGTCACTCAAAACCCTCTCTGTACCAGTAAGTACCTCCACCCAAGCATTGAATCACTGAACAACTTTTCTGTACCAGTAAGTACCTCCACCCAAGCATTGAGTCACCCAAAAACCTCTCTGTACCAGTAAGTACCTCCACCCAAACACTGAGTCACCCAAAAACCTCTCTGTACCAGTAAGTACCTCCACCCAAGCATTGAGTCACTCAAAACCCTCTCTGTACCAGTAAGTACCTCCACCCAAGCATTGAATCACTGAACAACTTTTCTGTACCAGTAAGTACCTCCACCCAAGCATTGAGTCACCCAAAAACCTCTCTGTACCAGTAAGTACCTCCACCCAAACACTGAGTCACCCAAAACCCTCTCTGTACCAGTAAGTACCTTCACCCAAGCATTGAGTCACTGAACAACTTTTCTGTACCAGTAAGTACCTTCACCCAAGCATTGAGTCACTCAACAACTTTTCTGTACCAGTAAGTACCTCCACCCAAGCATTGAGTCACCCAAAAACCTCTCTGCACCAGTAAGTACCTCCACCCAAACACTGAGTCACCCAAAAACCTCTCTGTACCAGTAAGTACCTCCACCCAAGCATTGAGTCACTCAAAACCCTCTCTGTACCAGTAAGTACCTCCACCCAAGCATTGAATCACTCAAAACCCTCTCTGTACCAGTAAGTACCTTCACCCAAGCATTGAGTCACTGGACAACTTTTCTGTACCAGTAAGTACCTCCACCCAAGCATTGAGTCACTCAACAACTTTTCTGTACCAGTAAGTACCTCCACCCAAGCATTGAGTCACTCAAACAACCTAACACTTCCTGATCAACAAGTACAATGTATACCACACAAGTATACATTCACATGTGTAGATATTATTCTAACACTGTACAAGTGTTTGTTGACTTATACAGGTTAAACAGTTCAATCGTTCAAAATACATAAAGTCATAATTATTCATTAGTACAATCCCATACCAATTCTTGTTTGGTTTTTAAGGGAAGACGATTCAAGGGTCCAAATGGAAAAAATGTGGCGGCAACTCGTATCCAGTCGTCTTGGCGGATGTTCCGGGATCGTTCTGAATACCTAGAATATCGTAAGAAGAAGTGGGCAGCAGGTGTTATTGCCATTTCCTGGATCATGAATATAAAGATGTCACAAGTCAAACAAAAACTCAAACAGAGTCGAGAAGATCAGCTGGAGGCATTCAGACGCAGGGCAAAGGTCAGATATGTCGTCACAGTCATTAATCACTGTAAAACATCATTTATGTGAGATAAATTTACTTTAATACTGAATACAACAAGTTAGACTTCAGATGAAAGAATCATGTCAGTAATTATGTGTTATCAACAAAGGTTTTACCCTTGAAATAATGTCAAATCTAAACCACTGAAGAAAGCACCAACATTTTGTGTCATTCGGTTAATCATTAAATGTAATATAAATTTTAAATCGTAATTCAGGTAAGTCATTAGAACAAGGCTGTCTGTTTATCTGGAAGAGATAGAAGTTTTCTTATTAAAGAATCAGGGCTTGTTAGAATATATCTGATTTCATGGAAGACTGGTTTTCAAGTATCTTACTGACTGTTAAAGTTTGAGGGTCAAGGTCATCATTCATAAAGAGGGTAAGAGACAGCAAACTGGCTCTAGACAGTAGTGAGCCTACAATAATCCCACAGTGCCATTGAACAGCAATTAACGTAGGTAAAAAGATGGGCTTATTACCAAATAAGTATGATATGATACTGAATTCATTAAGATGCTGACATCATCAGTTATCAATACCAATGTATCTAACTATGAATTCTTTACCTTACAGAAGTTTGCAATGTCCTGGGACAGAATCAAACAGTCTAAGAGAGTGATCATCCACATGTCCTCTCTGGGTCTATCTCAGAATATAAGGGACACCATCCATGAGTTTGGGATCCGACAGAACACACAGATGGCCCGGCTCTGTGATATCCGGGGTAAGTACTTCATTATTGGTCTATTAACATTTGTCCTGTACAGAATAATGAAATCTCACTGACACAGATTTATATCTTGTTACATGACAATCAGCCAGGATCAAGCTATATTAGTTACTGTTATGGTTCCTAGGTATAACTCCTTATCTTGGACTCTGTATATGAGATTTTAAGCTTTAGTTTCCTCAGGAGGATCTTGTTCCGACTCCTGGGTTATGTATATTTTTAAGTTAGAAATTTTAGATGTTTCAATGTGATGTCTGGGGTAGCAATATTTTCAGCAGTGCTTGCTTAGGCTCAGTTATCAATTTTCTGGGAATGATTTTAGTTCTCATGGTAAATCAGACTAGAGATATCATGTGTCAGTTTTCTTCTTAGCCATATGAGGGTTTTAGATATCTGTTTTACTGGTAGCAATAATTTCCTGACCTCTTGCTGACCGCACTGAACCAGATATGATTGCTACTTTCCTAAAGGTCTATAGTACCTGACTATATCCCTACACTAATAACAATACAGATGTTTTGATTACTAACTTGTTTCTGTAAGAATTCTCGACATGATTGGTTGATTTCTTACAGATCCCAATGTGGATGTGATATTTATCTCCCCGGTTCCACTGAGTGAGGAGACGCTCCAGTACTACAGCAAGCTGCTAGGTCTCAAGGCTGCCATTGACTCAGGCAATGTGGAGGATCAGTGTGTCATGTCGGAGCGGTATCGCATCATTACCCCTGATGCTATCAAGAGTTTCCCTGTAATTATTACACTTTATAATTTATAGTTTCATGGGCTAAACTTTATGTGTGATTTGTCAGTCAGTATATAAGTGGCCTGCCATCATACTGTGGATCATCATTGAAAAGCATTTCAGTCTGTCACCAAAACTTTGGCTAAGAAAACCTATGGCAATATAAACTTTTAATGAATACCTCCAATAGATTATACATCACTTGGACAAATATTTGTATCACATGTTCTAACCTGAAGTTTTCATTAATTGCATTGAAAGATTAGTCAATGACTCATAGTTCACAAGTTTATTATTTCCTTTGTTCTATTTCTCAGACCCATAGGATGTGTCTGTCCACGCTTCTAAAATACAGTCCACGCACCATCAAACGTATAAAACACTTAATCAAGGGGCGGGAGGCATATATTGTATCTGGAGTCCCCCACAGTGATGACTTGGCTGTGGCTGACGAGCTTGATGTACCAATCTTGTCACCGGAGCCAGAAGTAGCACACCTATACTCCACCAAGTCTGGCTGCAAGAGGATCTTCGCTAGTGCTAATGTGGACCTGCCTCCTAGTGAATATGACGTATACAGTCTTGGACAGGTGAACAGCTTTATGTTGAGTTGTTAACCTGAATGATACTCTTTTTAAACCTTGATAATCAGGATCATTTTTTCACACCTTTTGCTCTCAGATATTTAAGAAAAAGGAACCCTAGACTTTACCTGATTTTTAAAAGTTGATATATTAGGAAAGATGGATACTATATGAAAAAAGTCATTTTTGTTGAGGTAAGCTGTGGACAGCTGCTTTACAGAGTTTCTCTTTACTTCCTTCTTCCAGCTACATGAATGTCTGGCACAGCTAGTTACAGAAAACCTAATGGTGAAGCGCTGGCTGTTTAAGCTTGATGACGAGTTTGATGGGCGTGGCATTGCCTATTGTGATGTGACAGAATATCTGCAGTGTTACTCATGGGCCCTAAAGGAGTCAAGACGGTACGGCGAGAAGTGGAGCAAAAAATGGGCACAGGTATATAGAGTTGTTCATTATATGTTTAAAGAAACCAGAGTTTAACCTTTACTGGTAAATATTTGAAAGTTTGCTTAACTTTTGAATCTGTTGTTATATTTCAAAATTTTAAAGATTTTTAATTTCTTTTTGTTTTGTTTGTTTTTTTATCAGTTGTATACCACTGAATGCTTCAAACAACTCTCTTGTTAAAATATGTCCTGATATTCTTTCTTAGGAAGCTGCATATATAAAAATCCATGCAGAAATAGCAGATGTATTACATGCTAACGCAAAACCAGTCCATACAAGTATTTATACGACCTGGGAGAAATTCCTAGAGGCTTTCCTCAGTCAAGGTAGGCTGTCTTGGAACAAGTTTAGCACAGTAGACTGTCTCTATCCAAATACTGTTAGGTATACTGGTAGGGCAGTGTACTCTTTTCAGAATGCCAAATTAGTTTCAAATATTTTAAATAATTGAATTTCATTTTAATAATTTTGAATCATTCCTTTTCATGAAATAGCACAGTGAACCAATCGTATTGTTAACATGAAATGAGTTTTTAACAGATAATCTTACCTTGGAAGTAACTATGATTTGATAAACATCAGTCTTTCTGTATCAGTTGGGTTACAGGGGATAACTTGTGTATTCTTAATCAACAAAACTTCACTCTAATTCAGGTGGAGTGATTGAGGCATGTCCACCGTCGGAAAGCATCACGACACTCACTGTGGATATGATGATCGAACCAAACGGCAAATACAACATTGTGTGTTGTGGTGACCAGATCCATGCAGAGACACCGTTCAGTTGCTGGGGTGTGTCAGTACCCCAGTCCTCTGTTGAACCAGATGTCCTCAGTGTCGCTTGTAAAAAAATTGCAGAGGCCTGCAAAACCAGGGGTATTCTGGGATACTTCTCTGTCGACTTTGTGACGTTTATTGACCCTAAATCTGTAAGTTTAACTTGTTTTATTTTACTATTGAATGATACAGTTAAAAGTCTAGTCAGTCTTAGATGGTTGTTGTATTCTATTGGAAAACAATTCTGTTTTTGTTCACTGCATGGCTGTACCACCTATCAATATCAAAATGTTGCAGCACATTTCCTTTTATTTATTGTCTATTCCGAAAAGGTTACCTACCGGGTATTAGTATAAAAAAATGTTTATATTGATGTAAATGTTGAAAAAATGTGCCAAAATCAGTATCAGCAGACATATGACCTGTTGATCTGTGTCCCTTGGATTAGATTGTAATTGTGATGCCATTTTGTAATGTTGTCCTTCTACATCCCTCAGATTGATAGTAATTGTGATGCCATTTTGTAATGTTGTCCTTCTGTATCCCTCAGATTGATAGTAATTGTGATGCCATTTTGTAATGTTGTCCTTCTGTATCCCTCAGATTGATAGTAATTGTGATGCCATTTTGTAATGTTGTCCTTCTGTATCCCTCAGATTGATAGTAATTGTGATGCCAGCTCTGTAATGTTGTCCTTCTGTATCCCTCAGATTGATAGTAATTGTGATGCCAGCTCTGTAATGTTGTCCTTCTGTATCCCTCAGATTGATAGTAATTGTGATGCCAGCTCTGTAATGTTGTCCTTCTGTATCCCTCAGATTGATAGTAATTGTGATGCCAGCTCTGTAATGTTGTCCTTCTGTATCCCTCAGATTGATAGTAATTGTGATGCCATTTTGTAATGTTGTCCTTCTGTATCCCTCAGATTGATAGTAATTGTGATGCCATTTTGTAATGTTGTCCTTCTGTATCCCTCAGATTGATAGTAAATGTGATGCCAGCTCTGTAATGTCCTTCTGCATCCCTCAGATTGATAGTAATTGTGATGCCAGCTCTGTAATGTGTCTTTTTTGTCCCACAGATGGAGCAGCGACTCTGGGCACTAGATCTGAGTCTACATTATAGTGACAGTCTGGCCATGTTCCAGCTTATGTCTTATGTTAGTAACGGTGCTCTCGACCCAGTCAAGCATGTCTTCAATGTTCCAATGAACAAGCAAGAGAAACGTCAGAGGAGACGAAGACTTGCGGGTCAGGAAGAAGAGGTAACTGTTGATTAATGTACAAAAATGTACTTCCTGTGCGGTGCTTTTCTGTTACTTTCTGATCCAATTACCCAGTGATAAAAGATGATAATGTACCAATAATAATGATACTAGTATTTCACTTTCGTCTGGTATATACAGCTTTATCTAACACTATCTGTGTTTTACAGCAGGAGCCAAACACAGGTCGCTTTGGAGTGATGAGTACCCGTCTCCTGCACACGAACCTGGCTGTCGTCCACTACAGCGTGTTCTTCCAGATGTGTAGGGCCCATGGCATTGGTTATGATATCAAGGTACACACAGTAGTATCATATTATAATAACTTCAGTTGATAGTGTAGCTGGACTTACTCAGTTTTAATCATATTTGAATGATAAGTCTTCATCTAGCAATATAAAATGAACAACTGGTCTCTCAGTTTCCATCTGATTTGTTTTGATTACCAGTATGTACCACTATGTCATATATTTGTGTACATGTACCAGCTGTATTGTACACATGATCAGTTTTAGTTGGGGTTTTTTTTGTACATTGAACATTACAAAACTTTTCAAATAAAATTTTGTGGTTCCTTGATTTCCATAAGTACATTTTCTTGTAGTGAAATTTAACAGTTATCACTTCTATTGACACGTTGTGTGCTTTGAGTGATGCAAACTTCAGATTTGACAAGTTAAATTGTCAACTCTTAAAATGAACTGTCGATATCTGAATCGCTAACAGTAAACCCTAGATTTATCATTGCGTCAGGATTTGATTGCAGTTTCTCTCTCGTTTACATCTGATTTATGATTTAATCAATATTTGCTGAGAGATTACTATTAATCAAGGCATTATTTTCTATTTTCAGGAGAAACAAGGAACAGTATTTACACTGATAGACAGTTTTAACAGAGAACGGTTGGGAATGTTGTAAGTATATTTTATCATTGATCAGTCTTGTGTAGTGTCTATAACTAGATTATTCATTGCCAACATCAATATGATCTGATTTTTTCAAGACCAGAAACAACTATGTCTTATAGTAGTAGATCTGTCTGTTGATGATTCTGTTTACATCACATTGACAGGACTATTGGAGACAATCTACAAGGAGCCTTGGCTACCTTTGCTAGGAACATGTCAGTCATCCACCAGGAAATCTCTGCACCTAACATGCAGGGCGAGACCAACTTTAAGGTAATTATTTAATAATATTGTACTCTCCACGGGAAAAAAATCCAGTTCTTTTCCCAAAAAGTATTGACTATTAGTAAGATTTTTTCATCAAATTACTAAAGTTCTGTAAACTTTCTTTAGGTCACATGAGAACCATGATCCACACAAGATGAAATATACCTCACTAACAAACAATACAAATTATATTACGGTTTGGAGAATTAACAACAAACTAAAGCTTTAACTGTTTGTTTGTAAATGATACAACCATGTATATCTATTACAGAGTGCAATAGAAGATGTAGAGGGAATTCTGGGTACAACAATTGAGAATGCAGATGAGCCAGATGAAGAAACAAATGACCAGTCATGAAAATTCCCATACAAGGGAGATAATTAGCAAAAATTCACATGTGATTTCTTGAATTTGACATAAGTTTAGTGTCTCATTTATTTTTCATTTGTTAAATATGCTTGGCATTGTCAGGAAACTTTTTGTATAAAGAAAAATGTGAAATTGACGATATATGAAAAATCTGGGAATTTTTACCCAGAAAAGGCATTTCAAAATATTCTCAATAGTGAATATACCGCCATTCTAAATGTCAGGTTATATGACAATGAATGGTTTCTGTTTTAGATACCATTCACAAAATAAAAAGTTTCAACAAAACCAATATCTACTGGTGCTGTTGTGTTCAGCATTAAACATGTGGGGCCAAATCACTTGATATGATAAACTTATAACACAAGTTTCTCCAAGAAAAGATAAAGTATATATATGTACATGACTGTGATATTGTTAACTGTTTTTCTGTTGTCTTCACTTTTGTGGGGGTATTGTATATTTATTGTTTTACTTACAATGTACTGTGATAAATACATGTACAATTAAAATTATCTGTTTACTATCCTTTTGGATCAGCATTAGCTGAAAAGCAACTACAATTTACTAGGTATTTGGAATTGTGAGGTATACAAGATTAATGTACCATGTCCATACATATGATTTGGCTACAGACTACATAAGTTAAGATTTAATTTTTACTTAGAAATACCAAATCTTGCCGTAATTCTGACAATGCAGAGATAATAAACTCAGATATCACAATGCTATCCAAAAGCTCAATTTTTCTACACATGGGAAATAAAAACTTAAAGGCAGAAAATTTCAAAAGGGTTAAATTTTGTGTTATACTGCATGCACAGGAGAAATTTGTTATAAATATGGTTTATGAATATGTATGTATGTCATACTAAATGAAGGTGATTATTGGTTATATCTGCTTCCAATGTTAGTACTAAATGCTCTCAAACAACCATCACTAGCTTTGGTATTAGACACTGAATGGAGTGAAGCATGATGTGTTAGATTATTTTCACTTTCATATAGAAAATGGATCTTCTCTGTTCACAAAATCGGTCATCAGTCAGAAAAAAATCTGCTTTTACAGTTCTAAATGGGTTTACCACATTAATTCAAAAGAATATATGACAAAGATGTCCTAGGTTCTAGTATCTTTCTTACTGCTGGAAAGAAAAAAAATCACAACATCAAAGAAAACTGATTTAACATTTTTTCTTATCTTTTATTAAGCCAATGCATAAGACATATTTATTCTAATATTTTTGTTTTGAAGTGTCAAAATATATCTTGCATCAGATAAAATATTTTCATGTTCCTTTCAAATTTTCCTGTTTTTGAATTAGTACAAGTGGTTAAGTCATCGTCTGTGGCTAGGATATATTGTACATGTAGTGTCAGAAAATAGGTGTTATTTCCATTCCTTGAACATTAAGACAACTTCAAAATTAGTGTACTTTATGAAAGTAGACTTTTCTAATCAAAAGCTGATTGTCTGGGAGAGTTTGATTCCTGACATACATCAGAGCTGATTGTCTGGGAGAGTTTGATTCCTGACATACATCAGAGGTCATAGTCTGGGAGAGTTTGATTCCAGATGCTGAATTAATTTACTGTGATATTTCAGTAGAACAGTTGAAAGTAAGAGATGTTCAAAATCAATGAAGAATTAGGATTTCTATTTTTTTCCTTCCACATCGTTTTTGAAAACAAATAAATATGAATGGACACACAGAACAAATACTGATTCTCCAATTCTATCTATCAAAGTCAAATTGCTGACGATATGTATGCCAAGTTAGTCCCTTCCGTCCAACACTGATACCTTCCACAAGATCCAAAAGTAAAATGTTATGTAAAGTTTTACTTGATTACAGTCATGTCTTTAAATCCATTTCTATATCTATTGTTGTTTCCAGCAAAATGTGACGTACAAACCTGACCGTCCAATATTGTATGTGACCTACAGACCTGACTGTCCAATATTGTATGTGACCTACAGACCTGACTGTCCAATATTGTATGTGACCTACAGACCTGACTGTCCAATATTGTATGTGACCTACAGACCTGACTGTCCAATATTGTATGTGACCTACAAACCTGCCCGTCCAATATTGCATTGTGACCTAGACTCTATACTAAATCTATACTAAACTCATGAATCTCATTCCAAAGATGATACCATGTATGTGAAACAAGTCATCTCATTGACGAAATAACAACCATTAAATAAAAGTTGACAAAAAGGGCTGTGTTCCTTCAGCGAAAACAAAGACTGGGTATTGTAAAGATTTGTATTATCTAAACAACATGTTTTAAGTGTTTTAGTCAGTCACATCAGCATTGCTGGTGCTACTATAGTACATTTATTACTTTGGGTTGTGATTTTTTATACATGTATATTGTTCATTCAGTGATAACTATATAGTGAAGGATTTTCATGTTCTGTGAATGTTATTATTATATGAAAAGTACGCTTAATTATATCATTGAAATAAATTTATCATTATGAAATGTTACATGGTTTCTATGTTATCTTTTTTATTTAATTTATTCCTTGTAAAATTTTAAACTAAGAGTATTGTACTGGTACCTTTCTGTCCATTACCTGTCTGTCCATTAACTGTCCATTAACTGTCTGTCCATTAACTGTCCATTACCTGTCTGTCCATTACCTGTCTGTCCATTTCGAACTCTAAAAGTCTAGAATAGCTGCAGGTGACTTCTAAAGCAGGTCTGATGCATTAGTCAGCGAATGTTAAACAGAAAGATATAGCCCCCTAAAAATAAAGAAATCGGATCAAAGAGTGAAAACTGTGGTCAAGTTTTCTCCTGTACAGATGGAGGAATTTTAACTAAATTTCATATACCAGTAGATCATCTTGATGTTAAATGGATTCAGTGCTGTATAAATCATTGGCCAGCTGGGACAGAAAGATGGGATACTTTAGCAAAACAAGTGATTCGAGCTTTCAAATTACTCCATTCTATAATGAAGCTTCAAATGCCTCCTACACCTTGTGAAGTGTTTTGATACAAGTGTCAACCTATGACACAACCAGTCATTCCAAGATAGCCTTTTGAGGAAATCTTCATTATATCCACCACTCCACTAGTCAGACTTTGTGGCAGTCTATTGAGGGAGCTTCCTTTGTCCCTACACTGAAAAAGTCATTGTGAAACACTTTCCAGACAACTTTCATTGTAGTCATATTCACTACCCCTCATCTCTAACTTTGTGGCAGTCCATGGCGAAAGCCTCCATTGTCCCTACACTGAACCAGTCTGAGACAGACTGTCCATGGAACCTACCTTGTAGCCACCAAACTCCAAGCTTTTGAGGGCATAGGTAATGTCCTACTTGTGATAAATGTGTGATTATTACAGACTTCCAGACTCTATCCCTGCAAACTACCACTTGTTTCTCACAGATCCTAAACAACCAACCTTTGATCGTTTAGTCTTTGGCTTTGGTCCCCAATTTTTTTCCTGATTATTATGGTATCCTGCCAGTCCCTTTTTCTTAGAATCCTGTGAGGCTCCTGAGTGGTGCTTAAAGGACACCTTGAGGACTGGCTCTTTAGATAGAATATTGACTGTGACTGAACCTGTTACAAGCCTCTTCTCGTGCACTGGATGTATCTTCTCCCATGATCTAATAATGTCCTGAAGATAAGAACAAAATTAACAAGTAACCCAACGGTCATGTATCTGTTGCTAAGTAATTCTCATGAATTTTCCATTTTAGTAAGTCATTGGTGAGGTACATAAAAAATGCATGATGCTCCATAAATCATATATCAAATGGAGACAAGTTTAATATTCTTTTTATCACATGATCAATTTTGTAAGTACCCCGGTAGATGCAGTAGAAAATGGACATTTCCACCTCAAACTTCAAGTTATGTCCTCTCTATATTTGTGGTTACCATTGTTATGCAACAATACAGTCCTAAATATCTCTGCTGGCTCTGACTTAAACCCAAATTTCCAGACTTGACTTTTGGATCTGATCAGAAATCCAGTCAAAGTAATGATAGTACTATAGATACATCTAGTGAGCCTCAGTGGCCCTCCATAGATTTACATCTACAATGTTATCTTACCCAAATATCCCTGTTTGATGCATTTGTCTTGATGGAATTCTGTTCAGCATGAGACAAGGAAACTTCAAAACCAGCATTCAACAAAGCAGACCTAGAAATAAGGAAGGTTCTGTGAGCATACATAACAAAAGAAACTTGACACCAGATAGAGTTTCTTACAATTAAATACTGACATAACTGTTAGATAATCAGAGCCATACAGAAACAACTGGACTGAACCTTTTCTATAAAAAAACACTTCTAAGTTTTAAAAATTATCCCAAACATATATCCTATGACCTACTTATAGGATGCAACACAAATCAACTGCATGTAACAGAATTGATATCGCAACAAATTAAAGCTTGGTTTTACAGAAATATTATTAATAACAATAATCTTTACATTTTTTTTCACAAGTCATGTCATCATGACATCTTAATTGTCTCCCTTGAAATAATGACACATTATCAGCTTTTTATGATTATTTCCATTGAAACAAAATTTTCAAAAAACATTTCTGAGTTAATTAAGGCATCCAAAGTATAATACCATTGAAAACTTTAGCACAACTGTTCCCAGGTCAGAGGCAATCCCATTCTGGACTAACATTATTCCATATTATAAAGTCATTTTAACTAAAATTATTAAGTTTTATGAATGTTAAGCTTGAGATGGATTTAATGGAAAAATTTATTTAACAGTGATTTTTATACAGAATCCATAGCTGATTGAACAAGAAATATATGAAAAGAACTGATTTTTATTGTTAAGAATCATGGATTAAGACCTGCTCAGACACATGGGATGTAGATTTTATCACCACCTGACCTAAACTTTGTATTTCTGAAAAGTGGTGCATATGCGCTAATGAATATAATACGTTGTTATGCAACTGCATCTTTGTATTTCAAGTTAAAAGTTACAGAAATGGGCATTTTGTTCAATTTTGAAAAAAAAATAAAGAACAACACAACTTATCAAATTTTGTTTGTGAATGTACTATTGGCAATGTACTTAACTTCCATACAGGTACATTAAAAGTATAAATGTTACCTTTTTTGGAGCAGAGGTTAATTAATAACAAATTCCACATCAAAAACACATCAAGAGTCAATATCATCAAATTATAGGTGTTTTTAGTAATACTTACATAAATAATTCCTGCTTCATTTCTCTGACGTGAATTTTCTTGCACAAATCATCAATGACATAATACATGGGACAATCTTTGAGCTCCTCACTGACCAGGCTAAGCATGCCGACTATTCTCTTGTGGGTCTGAAAGTCAGATGACTTCTTTTGTACATAACTGATGACCTTTTTCACAAAATCTGTGTCATGAAGTCTGTCCGCCCATACTGGACCTACAACATAGTGTTTGTGTTCACAATGTTCACATATCTCTGTGACAGGAGGCCCATGTGCTGCAGCCATTTGCAAATTGTCACCTTTTGTTTGTAATTTTCTAGCCAGCTTCTGAATGGTAAAAGCCCCACAACCTGAGCAGTGATAAATGTTAGCCAACTTAAGTGATGAGAGTTTAACTTTTGCTGCACTTGTGAAAACTCTCACAAAAACTCGAATGTAGAAGTCAGCACTGATAGATATCATTGGCACAATATACCTTGAATATCTGTTAGCAGTCGTCTCCAGAGACTGCAGAAGGATGCGGAGTGCCATTTCCTTACAGTAAACCGATCTGTATGACATAGTTCCATATCTTGCCCGACAACTTTCTGGTGTGTTTCCACAAAGAAGTGCCATGTCTGTACATGTGACACACAGTAAACCTCCTTCTCCAACAGACTGCACTGCAGCATCAAGAAACGGGGTTGCACCTCCATAAGGGTCAAGGTCAATCACGTCAAATGCAGCATCTGTTCCTTTACTCATGTACATTACCATAGAAGCATCTCCTAAGCTGGAAGTGACGAGGTGTTCAAGTTTATTTCTCTCTATGTTTTTTTGTATAACTTCTACAGCAGTTTTATCATAATCATTGGTGACAATTCGCTTCACACCTGGAATCTCTAACCCAAACCTGATTGACCGCAGCCCAGATGCTGCTAGGCCTTCCAAAATTGATATACCATCAGCATACTTCCTCCCAGCTTCCATAACCTCATGATCATATGTACTTCCAGTTGGTACCTCAATATCATCGTCTGCTATGACATGTTTCTCAGTTACACAATCACTTCTCCGCGCTTTACTACGCCTAATCTCCTGTTGACGTATTTGAACAAAGTTTGAAATTACAGCCACAGTGAGGTCCCTGTTAAACTCCTGAACTCGATTGTAGAACACATTAGCTGGGTGGAGTATTTCTGCCTTTCCCTCGTTGACTTTACTGTACCGAGAATCCTCACTGAATTCTTTTATGTTCACACTAGAACTGGTGTGAAAACAAAGACATTGCACTCTCCTCTTGGGTAACGACTTACACATCCATCTGAACATCACCCGATACAGCATTGTTCACATCTGGTAGAATCTGCTGTGTGCTAATAAAAACAAACATATTCTCTGAATCAAAATTAAAATTTCTGTCATGAATTAGGAAAATCATATTCCCATGTTATATCATTTTAAGGAATGCACCAGATATATAGTGGTATGTATACTGAAGGTTGATTTTTATACAGAAGTTGTACCCATGAAAATATTTCAACTAAAGTAACTTTCATTTTAGCAAAATTTACAGTCTTTTTTCCTCTCATACTTCTTTGTCCTTCCCTTATTTTCTCATGCTGAAATTGTTTAGTAATGCTTATTGGCTAACACAAATACATCATGTCATAAATGCTTATTTAAAGTCTGGTAGAACACTTCTACTCTACAATCAACATTAATAATCATTTATTATCTATCAGTTCTCTATATTCTAAATTGGCATATTTCCTTAACATCCCCATAAATTTTCAAAACAATGGCATCATTTGGACCTGGGGTAGATATTATTTTTTTCATTAAAACAGCAGCCATAGTGGCCACCTACAGCTGAGGACAGCTAAACGTGATAGGGACCATCAAAGAATCTTTCAAAGTTCCTGCTAAATCTCAGAGAAGTTCACAATTAATTTTGTGCAGGAAGGCCACAACTGTGCAATCATATTACAAAAATGGTTGCTGTGGCAGCCATACAGAAAAAGATATTATCAGCACCCTTTCCTGAATATCCTAACCAGTTTCTGCTCAATGGCATCAAAGCAAGTAGAGAAGAAGTTTAAAATGAGGTCTTCAAGTTGGTAGCCATATAACACTGGTTGTGGCTATTAGAACCATTCCATGCAAAATGTCAGCTGCACCGGTTAATCCCATTGCTTGAACTTGAAAATAAGTTCACAATGAACATTAGAATGCCAGCCTTACCATAACTTAGGTAAATCAGTGACCCCTGCCAGGGTCAGCATTCAAGTAGTATTTGTGGAAAGACAACACAATCTAATTAAAATGCAAATCCTAGTTCTCACTGTTATTTTCCACAAAGAATCTGACATGCATTTAATCAGCTCAATAATTTTCAGTCTACTGAATCTTGAAAGTAAATGAAGGTGGGTGAAATATCTTGCATGGTCCTATTTGTGGCAATTTTACGTGCATTAATGCATTTCGTTACATTATGTCCTTTTAAAATGCTGGGTCTTTTTTCACTCTTTTGTGGAGAGCATCTTAGGATCCGAGTTTCAATCACATTGGTCTTACAATGTTGTAACAAAATGACTTGTATCAGACGAGATAGTGAATTTGACCATTCTCCCCGAGTTAAGTACAGAGGGTTGCAAGTGTCACCAGAACATGACCTCTAATCATATGATGTTGTCATATCATATATGTGGAGAACAATGGAGTCAGAGTGCGAAAAATGCACTCGTCCATCCGTCCTGGACGGGTGAAAAACGGTCCAGGTCGAGCGGTTCTTCAACTGGGCTCGTCACTTGGGACGAGTGCAATTAGTTTTATAAAATGTATTTCCCCATAAATATAGACACTAAATTAATTAAAGTCACGTAAAAAGATCAACCAGTCTTAATTTCCATTGTTTACTCTCCGTATTAAAACGCGGTACAACGTATGCGAACCACGCAAATAACGGAGTACAGCATGGTGAGTACGCACCTGAATCAATTCATACAAGCATTTCATTGAGGTAGATTGATATAATAGGGTAACATATCTCCGGACATAGCACCATGTTCCGGAATTAAAAGAATTATGCATCCATATTTAGAATGATTTTATTACAGACGTAAGTGAAAACAATTCAAATAAAGAAAACAAATTCAAATGATAACTGTCATTATATATCAGATCGACAACACGTGTTCATCTGGCTGATTGAATTCCGGATCGCATGTGCATAGCGGCTACCGTTTCGTATTTTATCATCTATCTTTTTTTTTCTCGTAGTTAATGTCAGCAATAAGTTGTGTTCAAGCCTACCGACAAATTGGCAAAACGAACTATCGATGCCTTCTTTACTAAAGTTGGTACTAGCAGTGAGAGTAAGGGGGACTCTAAAGCGACACAATCAGAAACCATAAAGGAGAAAAAACGGAATTTCAAATCTTAGTAGACGAAGGAATTTTCATGCGTTAAATATGACGAGGAAAAAGATCAAATGTATTGTACCGCTTGTCGTTAATTTCCTAGCATAACAGACAATTATAGTGGCTTTTTAAGGGAACCGGGGGTGCAGGAAAATTTAGGAAAGACACTCTTACTCATCACAAGTCCAAACAACATTTAAAGTGTGAAAAGAAACTTGGTAGTCGACCAGATTATGTTGGGCCTTTAAAAAATATCCCTTACTCTAAGTGATAACATACAAAACCAAATTCGCTTTCTGTTCGACACTGCATTTTATGTTGCAAAGCAGTATAAGTCATTTAATTCATTTCAAGGTCTTTGTAATTTACAGGGGGAAAATGTGGTAGATCTTGGTCCAAAATATAAAAATGATAAGGTATGTACGACCTTCATAAAATCAATAGCTGAAACTAAAGTCAAATCTGTTGTGGATGAGTTGAAGGAAACTTGGTTATTTGAATTTTCTCTGATGATAGTGCATATGCTGGAATAGTAGAACAAGAGGCAGTGTCGGTTAGATCTCATTCAGGCTATCCCAAAACACATTTATGTGACGTAGTTACACTTGAAAATGCTACTGCTGAGGGGGTATTATTAGGCATTGAGAAGGGTTTGCAGGCTGTTGGGTTATCTCAGGCTGATATTGAAAACAAACTAGTTGGCTGCAATTTTGACGGTGCTGCCGTAATGATGGGCAAACAATCAGGTGTTGCTACAAAGTTAACAGAGAAAGTTCCTCATCAGTTAGCAATCCACTGTGTTGCACATAACAGGGAACTAGGAGTTGTGGATGCTGTAAAGACAGCTCCATATTTGCAGCAATTTCAAAATACTGTTAAAAGTATCTTAAAATATTACTTTTATTCTAAAATTACAAAAAAAAAAAAAACCCGGCGGGAACTCAAAGAATCAGGCATATTTCAGTGGAGTACTGCAAATCCGTTAGTCAGTAGACACAGGTCTTTGATTGCTCTTGAGAAGCACTATGCTGCTGCTGTCTACCACTTAGAACATGTTCGTCAAAGATCTAGAGAAGATGCAGCAAAATCTAGGTCTGTTAACAGAATTGAAAACAGTTTGTGAATTTTTTACATTTCATGCTTGATGTAACCTCAGTTTTGAAAAATCTCGGTGAAAGCTACCAGAGTGATGACTTATTTGTGACAGATGTTGTTAGGAAGTTGGTGTTGGCTTTATGGTAAGTCTCTGAGACTGATTTGAGATCATTTGGCAATGAACAAGTTTCTGATATATTGGTGCACTTTGCTTCATGTTTAAGTGAGCAGACAGCGAACAACATGTCCTCAAATTGCTTGTGCTAACTTGTTGACACTAAATCCAGACAATTTGAAGTCCATTCTAGTCCTTGTGAAAATTATGATGACACTCTCCGCTTGCACAGCACTCTGTGAAAGAGCCTTTAGTGCCATGAATAAGCTCAAAACTACATATAGATCTCGGATGAATCAGGTTACCCTGCACAATTTCATGAGGATCAAATTGATGCCAGACACTTTGTCTACTTTTCGAGCTGAAAGAAGCAGTCTACACTTGGATTCATTCTTCTAAAACAAGGAGACATCTTTCATTATCTCATCAACAGTCTGAGAGGAAAAACACTAGTGAAATTGATCAGCTACTTCAAACTGAAGCTGTATCTGATGATAAAAAAACTGGATGATTACAGATTAAAATGACACTATACATATATAGCTCAGCTTGGTTGTTTATACCTTAGCTAATTTGCCATGATCAGCAAAAGAAACCAATAATGTAGCTGCCAATTTAGTTAAGGAGTTTCCCCAAGGAAAGGGAAAATATGTTGCTTCGTCAGATACAGTAAATAAACTTCTATAGATCGAAAAGTTGAAACGAATTTAATTTAAAACACGTGGGCGAAAACTTTGTTTATAAAGAGCTGTGTAAATTGAATACATCTAAATCTGTGGTACTTGATTGTTTGCTAGCTAGATTTCACAGAGACGCTGCCCCAGTTATTAAAATTCACCTCACTTTTCTTATAAATATGTCAATTTCAGATGGTATTGTTCCAGATGAATTAAAATTAGCCAAAGTCAAACCACTTTTAAAGAAAAAAGATAGACCTAACGCCGAAAACTACAGACCTGTTAGTATTCTAAGTGTAGAATCAAAAATTCTTGAATGCACTACGTATAGCCAGTTAGAAACTTTTTTGATAAGAAATAACTTACTTTATGAACTTCAGTCCGATTTCAGAAGCAAATATTCTACTGACACATGTTTAATACATATGTTAGACTATACATATGGAGGAAAACAAATTATTAAGTGATAAACAATTTGGATTTTTGTCTGGGAGGTCAACAGTGCTACAACTACTGAAAGTCATGGATGGATGAACTACAACTTTAGATAATGGCGGAGAATTGGATATAGTGTATATGGACTTTATGAAGGCGTTTGATAAAGTTCCACATAAACGCCTTCTAAACAAACTCCGAGGTTATGGTTTTAGCACTCAGTTAGTTGAATAGATTGAAAGTTTTTTAACAGATCGGAAACAAAGAGTTATTGTTAACGGTACACCATCAGCACAGCACAAAGTTATTAGCTGAATACCCCAAGGGAGCGTACTAGGTCCGATACTTTTCGTCATACATATTAACGATCTACCGGAATGCACATCTTCACCAACCTACATGTTTGCGGATGACACTAAATTTTATAGAACAATATCGGATGGTAACTATGAGCACTTACTCCAAGAAGATCTCTGTAATTTGATGAAGTGGTCGGATAAGTGGCTATTACGATTCCATCCAAATAAATGTAAAGTTATGACTGTGTCAACAAAACATAAAAAAAGAGAATCGCAATATCATATAACAAACAATGAAGGTAAAATCATAACATTGGAAACCATTGCATTGGAAAAAGACCTGGGAGTTGTGGTAGATCAAGATTTAAGTTTTACAACACATATCCAACAAGCAATAAATAAAGCTAATAGAATGGTAACAAGATCATTTGTTTATTTGGACGAAAATATGTTCAGGAATTTGTTTAAAGCTCTAGTACGACCGCACCTAGAGTACGCGGCAAGTTTTTGGTCCCCACACAGAATTAAGGACATCGAACGGATAGAAAATGTCCAGAGGAGATCGACAAAACTACTACCGGGATTTACTACCGATGAAGGGAAGGTGTGAACGTTTCAAGTACTGTATTACTGAACAAAGTATTGATAGTATTGTACTGAAGTACTTCACCAATCGAATTCCTTAAATTTATGCAACAAGCTCTCTGATTGGCAGAGCCAAGTCTAGATCGATTGTGGGTGGAGCCAGGTGAAAAAATACTGTGCAGACATCGGCATTTTACAAACACTCGACTGTCGCGAGAGGTTAATTGGAAGAGTCCAAGTCACAGGTGGCTTCAGATCAGACCTAATTGGGTTGTCCCATTTGTTTCGTTCTACACCCAATGATACCTTGCTTTTCCATCGATGGTACAACGAGAAAACGAAAGTTACTCAGTACTAAACTAATTTACGTACAAAATATATATCAACAGGTTAGATCACTGGGACCGGAGAATTCATAACATCTTAACAGTGAATATAGTCATATAGTCCTTCTGTACTAGTTTTATTTATTTATTTATTTTTTTGAAAGGGGGGGGGAGGGTTGGCTCAAAATATTTCGGTTTACTACCGATGAAGGGAAGGTGTGTTTAATACTATAGTAAGTGTGTCGTTCACACCTTCCCTTCATCGGTAGTAAAAACTTTAAGCTACAATGAGAGGCTACGCCGTTTGAATCTCCCAACCTTGATATACAGTCGTCTACGTGGAGATATGATAAACGTGTTTAAGTTCATGAATGGGATATTTGATCCAAAGCTGGTGGAGGGAATGTTCGACCCTGCAGGAAAAACTCGTGGACATAGTAAAAAATTATTTAAAAAACATTGTCATTTGAATGTCAGAAAACATTATTTTACTCAAAGAATAATTGATACTTGGAATAGCCTCCCTCAATGGGCAATATCATCACTTAACGTTCATGATTTTGAAAAACACCTAGACGATTTCTGGAAAGATCTTGAACTGAAGTACGATCATACAGCATCTTGTATCTAGTCTAATATTATGTTTATATTAATAATACATTGTATTGATGTGAATACAGAGGCAGAAATGCCTGCGTTCACTATTATCCTATTAAATCCTATTAAATATCAAATCTCAGTCTTCCAAAGGCTTGTTTACAGGTATGGTATTGCTCGACTTGCAAAAAGCATTTGATATAGCTGACCACAATATTTTATGTGAGAAGCTCTCTGTTCTTGGAGTGGAATCACTAAAATGGTTTAGATCCTATCTCGGGACGGAAACAAATCGTAAATATCAATGAAGTAACATCCGAGTCATGTAACATAAAATGTGGGGTACCTCAGGGGAATTTGTTAGGTCCTCTTCTGTTCTTGATAAATGTCAATGATATGCAAGTCAGCATTGATTCTAACTGCATGTTATGTTGTATGCAGACGATTCTGCTACACTTTTTTCCCCATCTAAACCCAGCAGTAATATCGCAAAAAATGTCTTTGGTGTTAGAGTTCTGTCATGAATGGTTAGTGGATAACAAGCTTTCTCTCATTTATGTAAAACAGAAAATATTATTTTTGGCTCTAAAAGAAAATTGGATAAACCTACAAATATGAATTTTAAAATATTGTGCAATAATCATGACATTAAAGTTATGAAGTGTATAAAATATCTTTGTATAGCATTAATGACTTGCTATCAGGTGAAGAAATAGTAGATTCAATTGTTAAAAAAGTAAACCAGCGACTCAAATTTCTCTACAGAAATGAGCAATGTTTGTCGTGAAGGTCGAGAAAAACTCTTTGCTCGGCATTGACTCTAGCATTTCGACTTTGCTTAAAATCCTATCCCTTCTATCTTTATTCTGGATTCATATTGCAGATGTTTTGCCCTCAGATAAATCTGCTTTCAGGAACTTCCTAAGACTGGAACCAGCAATGTTTAATGAACTTCCGTTTAGACTGACTCCAAGAATAACCAAAACTGTCACCTGGTTTTGAAAGGCAATTGAACCTGGATGTAAACTGACCATCACTCTCTGACATTTTGCAACCAGGGACAGTTACAAAAGCCTGATGTACAGTTTCCGTGTTGCCCACAACACCATATCCATGGTGACCCGTGAAGTGTGCGAAGCTTTTCTGGCAGAATACTCGGATGAAGTTATAGCCATTCCTTCTACACCAGATGGATGGCGAGAGATAGCTGATCAGTTCGAAAGCCGCTGGAATCTTCATCATGATGTTGGAGCTCCGGATGGAAAACACATTGCCATGAGGTGTCCGAATAATGGTAGGTCCTTGTATTATAATCATAAGGGATTCCATTCGATAGTATTAGTGGCAGTGGTGGATGCAGAATATAAATTCATTTGGGTAAGCGCATGACATATTGAACTAGACGTTGATTAAAGTTCAAATTTAAGTCTTATTCCAGAAACCTAGATAGTTTAATTTGGTGTAGGTCCAAACTGTTCAACTGAAATTTCCATGGTTTTTCTCCCAGGGCTTAACAGGGTGTTATAATGAGGAAATATTTGGGACATCATAAGGCCTCCTTAGGTATTAAAGAGTTTTACATATAACAGCATAATGAAGGTTACTAATCTCTGCTGCTATTTCATGTCTGAACTTGTGCGTTAGTGTCTGCAAGTAAAACCGATTAATTATTTAAGTCAACTCGCACAAATAGTCATGTTCCTCAAAGTTGGGTAATTTTCAGGATTTTATAATCCAACTTTTTTCATTTTTTCAATGATCGAGTACACTTCAATGAAATTAGGAATGAATAGGATGAAATAAATGTTTGTGTATGGTAATTATGCTAGACATGTGAATATTATAACTATGTGGCAGTTTTGGTGGAATCAATTCTGTTTAAATGAAATGGCACAGATACAAGGCTATTTGTAGTTTTCACACATCTAAATCATACTCTGGAAAGATGTGTCAGATGGTTAAGATAATTGAAATGAAATGTATAAAAAGTAGAAAAATAGCACACTCCACACCTTGTTAAAGATTTGTTATAGCATGCCATGAAGAGTGCCATTTTAATGTTTTTTTTCCATAATTCAGATCAACATGGAGCTAGAATTCTTTCCATGTACATACCAGTATGTAATTCTTAAAAGTTTTTTTCTGTCAAAGCAGAATATTGGCAAAAGAGCAAAAATATCATTTTACTGTGATGTTGCTTCAAAAAGACATGAATACTGCTAAAAGTAAGCCATGACTATAACTAGTTTTCATATTTTCACATTACAAAAATGGCCTCTTCCACTTCAATGTGCTCATAAGGCTTAAGTTTTAAAAAAGAATTATTTTGATGAAATTTGAGCATAAGCCAAGTTCATAGCTTGCTGCTAGGGGGCTCTCTTAAAATATCAAACTGAAACACGCATCCTTTTCACTTTTGACAGCTTTGAAAATTGTTAACATGATTTTTTTGTAATCATGACCGTGTCCTTTCTAGGAAGACAAGTAGCAACTCTCTCCTAAGATGACTGCTATAAGCCCCTTACCAATTACATTTTGCCTCCTTTGGTACAAGTACCTCACCAGTGATAAAAAAAGCTACATATCTAGGGGCCCTTTACAAGCTCCTCACCAGTCAAACTTCTTAGTGACTTCTTTCGGTAATTGTCATTTAAACAAGCCTCACAACAATGACATTTACAATGACCTGTCTAGGGAGCTTTCATTGTTAGACCCTCACCAGCCACATTTGCAATGAACTGTCAAGGGCATCTGGATTGATGCAAGACCCTCATCAACCACATATACAATGACCTGCATTGTAAGCTTTCTGTGTTAAAAGACCCTCACCAGTCACATTTCATATTTATCTCTGTAAGGCACCTTCATTGAAACAAGCCCACAGATCACATATCTCTCTCTAAGGACCATTTATTGTTACAAGACTTTCATTAGTCACACTTCATGTTTATCTCTGTAAGCCACCTTCACTGAAACAAACCACAGTTCACATATCTCTCTCTAAGGAACATTCAGTCTTACAAGTCCCTCATCAGTCACATTTACAATGACCTGTATTGTAAGCTTTCTTTGTTACAAGACCCTCAACAGTAACATTTACAATGACCTGTCTAGGAAGCTTTCTTTGTTACAAGTCCCTCAACAGCCACACTTCATATCTATCTCTGTAAGCCACCTTCAGCGAAACAAGCCACAGTTCACATATCTCTCTCTAAGGAACATTTTTGTTACAAGGCCCTCATCAGTCACACTTCACATTTATCTCCATGGGAAACCTTTATTGTAACAAGCTCCTCACCATTCACAATTCACATTTGTCTCTCCAGGGAGCCTTCTTTTAAACAAGTCCTTCACCAACCGCACTGTGCAAGTTCTGAAAGAGTTGTTGTATAATCCCCAGCAATGCCACACCATTCACTGGTGTGGTCTCTCTAGGAAGGCAATGAATCTAGTTTCCTCTTGGCATTTCCAGCAGCAGTCTCATCAGTCTGCAAAAAAGGTATTACTTCAGTGGTAAAACTGATTAATGTTTTAAGCAGTAAACTAATTAAGGAAGTCAGCATTCAACTAATTTTAATGAATTTTAATGACTTTGGTGGTAAACTGATAAAGGAAGTCAGCCGTAAACTGACTTTGATGACTTCAGCAGTAAATTAAGTAATCATTTCAGTGATAAACTCATTACTTATCAATTTTAGTTATAACATCACTGTTGCAATGATCTTTATTAGAATTGTGAAAAGAATTGAAAACTTACATGGTTTTTCTATGCAGGGAATTTAAGATAATATTGAACATTCAATTACGAAACATTTATATCAATGAGAATTACAAACATTGTGAAAATGTGAACTTGCTGTCGAGTTACAGACAAAATGTTGTAACAAACAAAAATCCTTCAATCTATAGCACCTGTGCTGCATTTATAATTCAACACTAAGTCTCACAACAAAACAAAGTTTTGGATAAAAGCTGAGATACGAGTTCTCATGCTTACTACAAGCATATTTAGAATTAATAAGATCATACTTGAGTGACTATTACTGACTTCCTGATTTTTCTTCCTTTTTCCCTGCAGTTTTATCCTTTTGTCTACCATGGATTCTGTAGAGTCAACCTCTGACTTTTTAGCCCTTGGTTTAGGTCCCCAGAATTTCTCTGGATTCTGTGGATATCGTGACAGTCCTCGTTTCTTGGACTCTTGCTTTGCTCCAGGGTGGAGATCAAATGACACTTTCAGGATTGGCTCCTTGGACAGGATATTGGCTGTTACTGATCCTGGTACACGTCGCTTTTCAGTTACAGGATGTGTTTTCTCCCATGACCTGACAATATCCTATAAAGTTAAAAAGACAGTGATAAAGATGATGATGGTGAACAGATAGGACCCTGTCATCAGGGTCTAACTTTTGTAAACTCGTAAACACTTGTGTCTTTCAACACTTGGGGTCTAAATTGGGAAAAAAAGATACTATTTTGCATTGGGAATTGGGCCAAATATCGGCCCCAAATCTGGCAGATCAAGAGCCCTGACTACATTACCTCTGACAAACATACAGCAGCATTATACAGAATTTTTGATAACACTTAACATGTCATATTGCAGATTAGGTATTTTAACGAGTTTTAATGAGTTTATAACACATTAAAAAATGGAATGAATGTACACATTACCTATTCCATAATTTGATATGAAAATAAAGATTTATTTATATGTTGTACCCATCATATGAAGCTTCTACTTGATGAAACTTTTAAAATCATTATGTAGTTGTTCCTTTTTGATAGTATACACACTTTCAGACACGCCTCAAATTTGTTAGATGGTGACAATAAGCTGGCCACTATCTCACAACTTTGAAAGAAGAACAATTCCAACTTCAGAGTTCAAGTTTATGTACAACCACTCCTAGTTCAAAATGTTCTGACGTTCTATTTTTTCATTGCATGACCGAACTGCACGTATGTTATCTTACCCAAATATCCCTGTTTGATGCATTTGTCTTGATGGAATTCTGTTCAGCATGAGACATAGAAACTTCAAAACCAGCATTCAACAAAGCAGACCTAGAAATTAAAATATTATCAAATTTATAGTATGATTTAGACAGAAATACCACGGGTCGGAACAATATACACCTGCTCCATGTCACAGAGAAATACATTGCATTAAAATGAATATAACAATGGGAAGAACAACAATGCTGCATTTCTTTGTGATTAATTATAACAAGTTTTAAAGACACAGGTTGAAAACAGAGAAAATGGACATGATTAAAGATTAAAATGCTGAAAATGCAAAGGGCAATCACTCTTCCAATTATCATTGAAAATGCTATTCATAAAACTTTAATTATAATGCATAAACCCTACCAAGTTTAAACAAATTGATTAAAAACCGATGGAGGAGATTCTATACAAGTTCTGAAAAAACAACATGAAATATCTCTTTTAAAAAATGTTGAATCAAATTGCTGCTCAGAAAAAAAAACTGTCGTTGTGGCATGGCCTACCAAGTTAACAAGATATCAGAAATGAACTCTGACGATGTTTCTGTCTGTACTTTGAAAATTGCTTACTACCAATGAAAAATTTGTGAACATTTAAGATTTTTTTCATGTGATTAAAGAACTTTTTTTACAGCTTTCATACAACAGTCAACCCTGTATCTTCAAGGTGATTAGGATAAATCCATTTTTTATGGTTTAGGTAAACATGACAGAAAAATTCTCTATTTAAATTGCAACCACATCCCATTCTATGCAGTTGTGAAACTGAAAATTATTAGTGTGAAATAACCTCCCTTGTATAAGAATATAAACAGAAGATCATATCATCCTTACATGAATATTTCCTGGTTGAAGGAGGAAAGGTGAACCTGTTGACACACATCATCAATGACATAGTACATGGGACAATCTTTGAGCTCCTCACTGACCAGACTAAGCATGCCGACTATTCTCTTGTGGGTCTGAAAGTCAGATGACTTCTTTTGTACATAACTGATGACCTTTTTCACAAAATCTGTGTCATGAAGTCTGTCCGCCCATACTGGACCTACAACATAGTGTTTGTGTTCACAATGTTCACATATCTCTGTGACAGGAGGCCCATGTGCTGCAGCCATTTTGAAATTGTCACCTTTTGTTGGTATTTTTCTAGCCAGCTTCTGAATGGTAAAAGCCCCACAACCTGAGCAGTGATAAATGTTAGCCAACTTAAGTGATGAGAGTTTAACTTTTGCTGCACTTGTGAAAACTCTCACAAAAACTCGAATGTAGAAGTCAGCACTGATAGATATCATTGGCACAATATACCTTGAATATCTATTAGCAGTCGTCTCCAAAGACTGCAGAAGGATGCGGAGTGCCATTTCCTTACAGTAAGCCGATCTGTATGACATAGTTCCATATCTTGCCCGACAACTTTCTGGTGTGTTTCCACAAAGAAGTGCCATGTCTGTACATGTGACACACAGTAAACCTCCTTCACCAACAGACTGCACTGCAGCATCAAGAAACTGGGATGCACCTCCATAAGGGTCAAGGTCAATCACATCAAATGCAGCATCTGTTCCTTTACTCATGTACATTACCATAGAAGCATCTCCTAAGCTAGAAGTGACAAGGTGTTCAAGTTTATTTCTCTCTATATTTTTTTGTATAACTTCTACAGCAGTTTTATCAAAATCATTGGTGACAATCCTTTGAACACCTGGAATTTCCAACCCAAACCTGATGGACCGCAGCCCAGATGCTGCTAGGCCTTCCAAGATTGATATACCATCAGCATACTTCTTGCCAGCTTCTACATCACCATCACAGGTCTGCTCTTCTGATTCCTTCACATCAGTTTTTTGTACAACTTCCCCACTCGTATCTGGCCATTTCTTATCATTTTTGGGTTTTAAATGCCTTTTGTTTTTTGAAGTATCATTTTTTATTTCTTCTCGAAGTAATTGAGCAAAGTTTGATATAACGGCTACAGTGAGATCTCTGTTGAACTCCTGTACAGGATTGTAGAACACAGATTTAGGCTGGAGTATGTCAGCCTTCCCTTCCCTCACTACATTATACTGGGTTTCTTCATCTTCCAGCTTGGTACTCATTTTGGTATTTAACTTGCTTGAATTTGGAGAAACAAGCTTCCTCCCGTTTAAGCAAAACAAGCCTTACTTCAGCACATCCAGTTTCACATCAATCTGAAAGATAATACAGACAAGAACATTCTTAAAATACATTCATTCACTGGGATTCTTTGGTAGCTCATTCTCATTAAAAACTCTACAATTAACAAACTACATCGTAAACATTATATTTTGTTTTCTAGGAACAACATATAGCTCATAATATTTTGGTCAGTGTACATATATACCGGTATGTGAATATTCCATTGGGAATAATTATTCTAAGATAAACAGGTCAGGGAAAATCACAAATTTGCATATACTAAGCAACCTGGCCCATTACACTGTATGCCAACTGAGGTATGGATGTGTTACTATAAATCACCAAAATCATTTAACAGTAACTTTTGTAATATATAATTCACACTCATATTAACTTATGACAAGATAGGTAATTTTTTTACAAAGAGATGCTTACTGAAAGTGCTGGCTACTTAGAAACTAGATGTAACGGTCGCTGTGATTGTAGCTATACCATCGTTACAAAGGCAATATAGGATGCGAGTATTGCATCTATTTCTGGTACTTTCCAGCTTTTATTCTAGCACTTGTATGACGTTTCATGACTTTATAAATGTTACATGGGCAATCATTGAAAAAGCAAAATTTTAAGTGATATTGACTATTTTTAGTAACAAAACCATATCCCAATGGACGTATATATAATAGGCTAGTTTGCATATTATACACAAATTTGTGGCTTTCCTCCTGATGATTCCCATGAACACTGAGTGGAGAGGGCTTTTCTGTTCCAATAGATCTTCCAAAATTGTAAAATATACATGTAATGTTGTAGCCATCAGGAAATAATAGTCAATTAATAAGTGAGAACTATTATATAATAGGCCTTATTCTTTGTCTTTATCCTGGTAACAGTCATAAATGCTCAGCCAATTTTCCCAACATATCATTAAGTATAGTAGAATTTATGAACAGATAATATGGGAGTGACAATCTACCCAAATCTTACAGAAGACTACCTAAATGTTAACCAAATCTATCACATATTGTCACCTCCTTGATTAACACTGCAGGTATGTCGTATCAGTTATCGTTTTTTAATTCAATAATTATTGTTTGTGGTTGTATCCTTTCCAATCCTAGGTTACCACGTTATCACCTAACCAGTGTTGTGCTATAGCTAACAAACATAAGCTTTCGGTAGAAAACATTCACATATCATTTTACTATAACAATACATAAATATAATTTTATCTTTCCATTCACATAAATATTACAAAGGATTTTGATTATGTAAAGGAACAATTTTATATTTGTAGATTTTGTGGAAAAGGAGGGCTTCACACAAATAGAATTGATAACTCTCTCTCTTGAAATGACCTATCTGCACCAAAGCAAATCTAGCTATTTCACACGTAGGAGATCAAGACATCACCATCAATTCAGTACCTGGAGATACCAGAATCGTCTACTTAGTTGATACCTTCAAAAAGTCTGCTAGCATTCAGTAAGTTTCGGTGAAAGTGATCTTAACTGAAGGGAATGTTTCCAACTGTTCTTACCTAACTAAGGAAGATAACTAACTGGCAACGAAAGAATAAATTGCATACTTAAGAGAAAATACAGATATAACTGTTTCCTTTGAGTGATGAACTTTCCAGCAGACTACTTGCCAGATTTGGTTCATCTTCAAACACGGGAAACAACCAGAAGAAACACCATTATGAAGATCCACCAAAACACCAAAATTATGTCCGCACCATCTCGAAATAAGCAATGTTTTTGTCTATAGAGCAGTGTGTCATTAATAAAATTGTCAAATCTTGAAGTTTGTAGTGATCAGGTACATTTTAATTACCAAAAACTTGGACAGATGGAAGGGAGACAAACGCAACTGCAAATTAAAACCTCTGCAAGCTCTGTCTGGTCACCTTATAAGAAAAAGGATATGGAGGCAGTAGAAAATGTCCAAAGATGAGCTACACGGATGCTACCAAATATGAAAGACATGAACTATGAACAACATCTAAAACGACTGAAGTTACCAACCCTCAGATTCAGACGAATGCGCGGAGACATGATCGAAGTCTTTAAAATTTTGAAAGGAATTTATGATCAGAAAGTTACTTCTGATTTGTTGAAATTAAACATGTCCAGCAGCACAAGAGGAAACTCGTTAAAATTAGTGCAACAACATTGTACCAGAGGAAATACAACTTTGCACACAGAATTGTAGATTCATGGAACAGTCTTCCTGAACAAATAGTCTCTGCCAGAACAACAAACCTTTCCAAGAACAGAATTGACAAGCTCTGGGAAAGCCACCCTCTGTGGTTTGACTTCACAGCAAGCTATGGACCAGATACCGGAAGGACGGCAATTCATTAAATGGTGTTTACGAACAATTCTGAGCTGCCCATAGAGGACCAGTAGGTCCTGCATGCGGAAACATCATAAGGTAACATCAGGTAAAACGTTAATGTCCCTGGCTGGCCCCAAACGAAAATATATTGGTATATGCGTGCAAGATCTGTTTACTTACTTACTTACTTATGTCGGTAGATTTGGTAAATTATGGTAGATTTAGGTAATTCATCTTGCCTGATAATATTGCACAATTTACATCTCTGATTTCACCATTTTCTATCTCGCACTGCTTAATGACAGCTGAATGACATTTACAAGAATAACTACCGCCGATCTCGTCTTGTACAAGCCACTCTACATACAATTTGAACATGTGTATATGACCACTGACTGGGGTAAAACTATCATTATGAATAAAATAGATATTCACCTATATGTACAACGTAGCAGAACGCACGTGGATATGATGCTTGACAAATCAAAATTATCAATCTGATTTTTGTACCTCAACCATTAGAGAAACTTCCGGTTGTGTTGTTGACGGAAGTGTTAAAGGAAACATGTGCGTGAAATCTTTTTCGCAAACAAACACACGTTACTATTATGTTGAAACATTTGACAGGAACTAATATTACATATTTATGTAACTGTTTATCAGATGCTTGTGTTCAGCATGCCGAAAATACTAGAGAAATTCAGACAAGTTTCAAACTCGGATATCTGACAACTTGTAATAAATGGTTCAGGAGCAGGGAAGAGCATTCTTTGAAGAACTTTGATGAAAGTTTTTCAAGACTGCTACATATTGTGGTAACTATCCAATATTTCATTATAAGATGTCTAAGATGAATATTAAATTATCTACAAATGAAATAAATAAAGTAAACAGTATAGTAGGCTTAATAAGATCTTTAGTATTTTTGGACGAATCCATGTTTAAAATGCTAATTAAAGCAATTGTTAGACCCCACCTGGAGTATGCCGTGAGTGTCTGGAACCCATATAAAGTAAAAGATATAGAACGCATTGAAAATGTGCAAAGAAGGCCTACAAAACAAGTCCCTGGACTGAAAATCTGTCTTATCCGGAACGGTTGCAAAAGTTAAATCTGCCGACACTACAACACCGCAGGAGAAGAAACGTTTTCAAAATATTAACTTATAATTTTGATAGTAGGGTATCAAGAAACCTTTTCCAAATGGACAATATGAATAGGACCAGATGTCCCGATCAAGAAATATTTTAGAAGTAATGTCGTCATTATGGAAGAAAGCATTTCTTCAGCTATCGAGTTGTAGATTTATGGAATAGATTACCCCAAAATGTTGTCAATGCTGAATCTGTTATACAGTTCGAAATAAGGCTATATGAACACTGGAAAAATAACCCTTTACAGTAACTTATGTTAAGCCATTGTACTGAGGAATTATCTACATTATGCTATGTATTGATATCGATATGGACATCGAGGCTACAAGCCTGCATCCATTATTTCTGCTAATATATGAAACTTTTCTTATTTACTGGTGAATTTTTGTCACCTTTCAGTGCTAATTTTTAGTTTTTAATGTACGGAATTGAAGGACAGCCAAGTTAAGTAAATAATGATATAGCAACACCATAAATGACAATTCAGCTGACAAACTTAGTCTAGAGACTGGTACATGGACATGGCTTTTTCTATTATTGTTATTGTAATTATTATTATCATTATTCTGGTAACGGTAAGGACAGGACAAAAACAAAATAAAGCATTTGTACAATCATAGACTGTGTGTTTTATGTGTTGACCATGTTGATGATACCTGAAGTGTATTAACATAACTTTTACCTAATATATATATATACAAAGTCATTCTCAGGCAAAAATGATGTTTTTCTGTTAATTGAACTTCTCTCTTCTTTCAGATAGATTTGGTACAGACAGATGCTGACCCTTTTGTACTGTATGCTGCTCGCCAAGCACTTGTAGCCCTGTTGGAACATCCAAGTCATAAGGTATAAGATCATATCTACCAATGCAGTAAGACACAGGTTCTTTCTCTCATGGATTTAAGGTTTTACATATGTTTTAGAAATGTAACACCAGGCAATTATTTGCTGAACTCATATTGACAAGTTTCACTTCAATTTAAAAAGTCAAGAAGATAGGTAAACAGAAAACGTTTAACTTAAGACAGATTTTTGTTATAAAGCAAGTTATCTTATGTAAACATATGTTTTTACCACTTAAAGATGATAACAAAAAAGATGATAACATTTCAAATTCCATGTTACATTTAAATGATTGGCATTACTACAGATGATTTGTCAATCTGTTATTGTACCAGTCTATTGAAATTTATGTCTTGTTGAAATAGGTAGAAGTGAAAAAATGCTTTCATGGAGTATTGGATTGCCTTGGAAAAAAGGAAATTGGCACATTAAACAAAAACACAATACTGGAGGTAACATCTGACCTCCTTCAAGGAGAGTTAGCAATCACTATTCTAGATGTTGTGAAACAGACATTTCCTTGGCTAACAGAAATCTTATTAAGATTACCATTCCAAAATGACAATTTGATTTTATTGACAACGTTTATTATTTTGTGGAGAAAGTCAGCTAAGAAATGTCAAGACCTGCAGTTAGATTTGCATTGGGTTATGGACTTTGAAAACCTTCAACAAACTGTACATAGGATCAGTGTTACTGAGAAGCACCTGTATTCCAGACATGTGATTCACTTGTTTAAAACGTTTTACTCCTATGGCCAGAGTTTGTGTTTGAAGACCTCTCTTGAGCCTATCTATGTGAAACTAGGAACAGCAATAATACAATGGGCCCTAGGCAGAGGAATATGCAACCTGTATGATGAAACTGCTTCTGGGTTTGGCGGGACACTGGTTTTTGTCTCCTGCAAATCACAAATGAAACCAGAATTTGGAAATTTGTCTTCTCTGCGACAGCTTGCTGCTTTACTTTTGTCTGTGGCTGCTACCATTATCCGGTTTTCTCAAGATACAGGTAAAACATGACAAAATTGCCCCCCTCTCCCCTTTCAAAAGATTCATAAATAACAATTTTTCATTCAAAACACACATAATGTCATAATACTGTGATGTCACATTAACAACTGTAAACATCAGACATGACATCCTAGGACTGTAATGTTACATTCAAAGCAAGAAATATAACATCTTCAGATGGAATGTGACATTCCACACAATAAACATCACATAACATTCTACTTTCATGATGTAGCTGTCAACACAGTAGACCCAAAAAATATATGTTTGTACAGCAGATTTGACGTCCTGACACTGATGTCACATTCAATACAATAGACATGACATTTCAACACTGTGATATCGTACTAAACACAATCAATTTGAGACAACCTGTGAGACAATATGCACCACAACAAACCTCACATCCAAACAGTAACATCACATCCAACACAGGACACAATACATCCTGACAATGTGATGACATACTTAATACTATATAATCATGAAGTAGTGTTATTTATCATTTGTGCATACATTATAGATTTTACATTCATTTCAAATGAAACCATAATCATGTGTTTGTTTTTAATCATATGCATTTTTCTTGCCATTTTCAATACATATGTCGATTTAAATATTTATCAGAATGAACTACAGCTGTACCATATTTCAGAAGTTAATCTAGCACTTCCAGACCTTTCCAAGTGTCTTCTCCAGCTGAACGACCATGCTACTGTAACAGTGCATGGCTGTGACCATAGGGGTGAGTCTTTTGACTGGATGACCACTGTGTTTGGTGACCAGGACGACACACTGATGGAAGCCTTCTTAGAAGTACTGGACATCTACTGTATCACCAACAAGAGGTAGGATAAAGGAAGTTCTTAGTTCTAATGTAATACCATTTTGAAGTCATTATCTTTTATGTTTTTCTTTCTTACATTTTCTTTTTCAATTTCCATACTTTAGGTCCTTCTTTACATTGTAAGCTAAGATGATAATTTTTTAATACACAAAAAGTTATTTTATTTTGAAATGTTTGATAAATATTTTTCAAAATAAAGCTAATATCTTGTTTGTAATCATGACCAAAGCATGGACATGTACAAATGTATATGAAATCTAAATATGAATATTTTATATTCAGATCAGAGACATTCAGACCATATCTCGAGAAGCTGATCACAACAATAAATCCACACCGACAGTTTTACCAGCTGTTACAAATGACCAGCTTTGACCACAGTGTATTGGTTGACCTTTTAACCTCTCCTGAGACTTGTGCCCTTCTGTATCTTACACGTTACCTGAAGTGTGTGATTAATGAATGGGGAAGTTTTGTGGAAACATTAGACTGTCTCGGTAACACTGATTACACCTGTAAACACTTAGACAGGAAGTGGGATCCAGAAAATTGTTTGACACAGAATCGAGGCAGTGACTTCATGAAAAATTCATGGGAAGATGTCACAAAGTCTACTATGGAATCACAAAAAACAAACTCTGATGAAAGAAAAAATGTGGAGGAAGAAAAGATTGCCAGTTCTATACAAGATAACCAAAGTACAGATTATCAAACTGAAATAAAATGCAAATGTCCCAAATCTCAATTTGTCATAGACTCAAAGCTATTAGTGAAAACAAGTCAAGGTGAAAAAGAACATGTTTCTGGTATAGAGGACTGTCCTGAACCTAAATCTGTTACAGACACATTGCTGTCCAAACACATCCGAAATGAAGGTAAAACAAATGATACTGTCACATGCACATTGGGCTCAAGCGGGCTTTCACTGTTGGGACAGTACAGCAGTGATGATGATGATGATGATGATGATGATGGGTTTTCTGGTCAAGTAACTACTGACAAATTAGCAGCAGACAGTTCTCACATCATTACCAGTATGGATACCACAGAGACAGAACCTACGTGGTCAGGTGATGTATCAGAGTGTTGTGGAAATCCAGTAAGTGATTTAACAGGACAATCTGAATCTATGGAAACCGAGGAAACCTGTGGAAATACACTGGTGGTCAACAGATGCCTTGACGAAACCATGGCAACACTTATACGACTCAGGCTGAAGTTGGAGAGTTTGTATGAAGGTGGGCTCCTGGTGTACCATCCCGGCCCCCTGGTCCGACTCATCGATCAGTGTGAGACACTGTACGAACAATAACACATACTGATGTACTATCCTGCCTCCCAAGTGTGACTCATCACAGTGTGAGACACTGTACAAACAATAACACATACTGATGGACTATCCCGGCTCCCTGATCTGACTCATCACAGTGTGAGACATTGTACGAACAATAACACATACTGATGGACTATCCCAGCCCCCTGATCTGACTCATCACGGTGTGAGACACTGTACGAACAATAACACATACTGATGTACTATCCTGCCTCCCTAGTCTGACTCGTCACAGTGTGAGACACTGTATGAACAATAACACATACTGATGTACTATCCTGCCTCCCTAGTCTGACTCATCACAGTGTGAGACACTGTACAAACAATAACACATACTGATGGACTATCCCAGCCCCCTGATCTGACTCATCACACTGTGAGACACTGTATGAACAATAACACATACTGATGTACTATCCTGCCTCCCTAGTCTGACTCGTCACAGTGTGAGACACTGTACAAACAATAACACATACTGATGTACTATCCTGCCTCCCTAGTCTGACTCATCACAGTGTGAGACACTGTTTGATCAATAGCACATACTGGTGTACTATCCTGCCTCCCTAGTCTGACTCGTCACAGTGTGAGACACTGTATGAACAATAACACATACTGATGTACTATCCTGCCTCCCTAGTCTGACTCATCACAGTGTGAGACACTGTACAAACAATAACACATACTGATGGACTATCCCAGCCCCCTGATCTGACTCATCACACTGTGAGACACTGTATGAACAATAACACATACTGATGTACTATCCTGCCTCCCTAGTCTGACTCGTCACAGTGTGAGACACTGTACAAACAATAACACATACTGATGTACTATCCTGCCTCCCTAGTCTGACTCATCACAGTGTGAGACACTGTTTGATCAATAGCACATACTGGTGTACTATCCTGCCTCCCTAGTCTGACTTGTCACAGTGTGAGACACTGTTTGATCAATAGCACATACTGGTGTACTATCCTGCCTCCCTAGTCTGACTCATCACAGTGAGTAAATTCACAACAGAGGTGGAAGTTAAGAGTAAATTCTCTATAGAGGTGGAAGTTAAGAGTAAATTCTCTTTAGAGGTGTATGTTAAAGATAAAATTCACATTAGAAGTGGAAGTTGGAGTAAATTCTCCGTGGATATGTACATTATGAGTTATAGTATCCTGACATTTCCTATCTGTAGTTTTGAAAAATTGAAGTCTCCACATGGAGCTATATGTAGTACAAAGTAAGCTGTATTACAGCTAAGTAGTACAGAGGTCATGTGTTTAACACCATAATTTAATACACCCTTATGTGTTGTGAGAAAAAGCTTGTTGAGTAAATATTAAAACCATTTTCATGACTTATTTTTTTATTTTGTCTGCACTGTATATCACATCACAGATTAATGTCTGGATATAAAATATACCAATACAAAATCATTCTGCCATACATCATTTACATAAACCAGTCACTATCTACATCTCATTAATATTTAAGCTAACACACTCTACTAGTTTCTGCTTCACACGATATCACATTTTTCTCTTCATACATGCATACACTGTTTCACCTGCCTCTACATGCTTACACTGTTTCACCTGCCTCTACATGCTTACACTGTTTCACCTGCCTCTACATTCTTACACTGTTTCACCTGCCTCTACATTCTTACACTGTTTCACCTGCCTCTACATTCTTACACTGTTTCACCTGCCTCTACATCCTTACACTGTCTCCTCTACCTCTAGCTCCTTACACTGTCTCCTCTACCTCTACCTCCTTACACTGTCTCCTCTACCTCTACCTTCTTACAATGTCTCCTCTACCTCCTTACACTGTCTCCTTTACCTCTACCTCCTTACACTGTCTCCTCTACCTCTACCTCCTTACACTGTCTCCTCTACCTCTACCTTCTTACAATGTCTCCTCTACCTCCTTACACTGTCTCCTTTACCTCTACCTCCTTACACTGTCTCCTCTACCTCTACCTCCTTACACTGTCTCCTCTACCTCTACCTTCTTACAATGTCTCCTCTACCTCCTTACACTGTCTCCTCTACCTCCTTACACTGTTTCCTCTGCCTCTACACACACATTCTGCCAACACTTTATATACCTTGTTACAAAGAAATGATTAGTACACATATAGCAGAACCAAATAATGGAAACCTAAACTTTCTACACTTCATTACTTCCCTCAATGCTTATTTTATTAGGTTTATCACTCAGTCAAGGTCAAGTTGATGTTAACTTTCCAGTTCATATCATTAATTCATACTACTGGCTTACAAGATGATTAATAGTAAGTACTGTGTGAGCTAGATAACATTTCTTTCATGTTAAAAGTGCACAACTGAACCATTCCATTATATATATGTACCTATATACTGGTTTTTCTTCTACAGAGAGGTATTTTTTCCAATGATTCCTCAACGTCAAAACATTCATGTTTATAAATTTCCTAAATTCAGCATATTTCCTCATCTCCTGTATCTGTAACGCTTGAAATGGAACCAAAGCTGGAAGATATTATTTTGGAACTGACAGCGAAATCCATGTTTGTAAGAATATTCCCATTCTCTGTTTACTATCTTAAAGGCAATATCCTGAAAGAAATAGAAGCACAAATGAATAACACATTATTATAATACATATTAGTTTGTTATATCATTGCAATCACAGCAAAAATCTACAATATTAAACTAAAACGTAAGAATACATGTAGAATAGCACATTTACACAGTTTCCATAGATTGTTGATAACAAAGTCCATCTGGATGTATAGGGGAATTAAGTCTATTATATATGTAAACATCTACCACAATAACTATGTAGTATTTATAGAGCAAAACAACCATTGGTACAGGACAAACCCCATTTATAGATTGTCAAGCTTATTTGGTTAACTTACCTCATATGGGGGACCAGCATGAAACTTGAGTGTAGCGAAGTCCTTATCTCCCTCAATAGGTGTCTGGATTAAATACAAATTACAAATAAATTATCAATCATTTTGAGTTTGGGCAAGATATATAATTGGTCATTTCCACCCATAACTGTTAAAGGTTTCATCACTCCTGTAACTGTTATAGGTTTCATCACTCTCCTAACTGTTATAGGTTTCATCACTCTCCTAACTGTTATAGGTTTCATCACTCTCCTAACTGTTAAAGGTTTCATCACTCTCCTAACTGTTATAGGTTTCATCACTCTCCTAACTGTTATAGGTTTCATCACTCTCCTAACTGTTATAGGTTTCATCACTCTCCTAACTGTTATAGGTTTCATCACTCTCCTAACTGTTATAGGTTTCATCACTCTCCTAACTGTTATAGGTTTCATCACTCTCCTAACTGTTATAGGTTTCATCACTCTCCTAACTGTTATAGGTTTCATCACTCTCCTAACTGTTAAAGGTTTCATCACTCTCCTAACTGTTATAGGTTTCATCACTCTCCTAACTGTTATAGGTTTCATCACTCTCCTAACTGTTATAGGTTTCATCACTCTCCTAACTGTTATAGGTTTCATCACTCTCCTAACTTTTGTAGGTTTCATCACTCTGATTACTGTTGTAGGTTTCATCACTCTCCTAACTGTTAAAGGTTTCATCACTCTCCTAACTGTTAAAGGTTTCATCACTCTCCTAACTGTTATAGGTTTCATCACTCTCCTAACTGTTATAGGTTTCATCACTCTCCTAACTGTTATAGGTTTCGTCACTCTCCTAACTGTTATAGGTTTCGTCATTCTCCTAACTGTTATAGGTTTCATCACTCTCCTAACTTTTGTAGGTTTCATCACTCCGATTACTGTTGTAGGTTTCATCACTCTCCTAACTGTTAAAGGTTTCATCACTCTCCTAACTGTTAAAGGTTTCATCACTCTCCTAACTGTTATAGGTTTCATCACTCTCCTAACTGTTATAGGTTTCGTCTCTCTCCTAACTGTTATAGGTTTCATCACTTTCTTAACCGTTATAGTTTTCTTCACTCTCCTTACCGTTATAGGTTTCATCACATGTATATGTGTACCTGTATTTGCCATTATGTACTTTAAGTCTGGGTAAATTGATCCTGGTGAATATCTACTTATCTAGCCATATTAAGAAGTCTGTGTATGGTTGATTATCTGAGCAAACTAAGAACCTACTACGGAGTCATGGAGCACATGTACTTACTACAGAATCTTACGATGTATACAATGGGTCTCAGTACATGTGTACTAACAAATTATACAGAGGATCTCGAAACAAAATTATAGAACTCTCAAGATTTCTGTATACTTGTGCTTACCAAGTTTACAAAGGGTCTCGGTATACATGTACTTACTAAAGATAACTTAAATTTCTGTACTCAGCTGTTTACCATAGTAAAATGAGGACTCACTCATCTGATAACAAGAGTATACTGAGGGTCTTGGTACATGTGTACTTACCAAAGTGTACTGAGGAGTCTCTGTCTTGTCTATGAGGTCAGGGTAGAAGATCTACAAAAGTCACCAAAAACAGACATTATGGAAACTTCCCCTCCAAGAAAATGTCTTATAGATCAAAAAATACATATTAATCTTAAAAGTATCTCTCAGTATCATTTTGCCTTTATTTTCATAACAACATATTTACTGAATAAACCAGGAAAATGCATGATTTTCTGGACATTTTCATTCAGACAATTTATAAAGTTACTGTTACCTTTGTACTACTTACATTGAATTTGTAACCCTGTACAATCTTTGGAGGTGGGTTGTCAATGTCGTAATGGGTCTGGTTATACTTGTTCCATTCAAATCCCTAGAAAATAATCCAAAGTCATACAGAATCCAATTACACTAAACTACCAGTATAATGAATGAAATCAACACTGTATGTTAATTGCTCAAACACTTTACAATACAATAAATATCCTGATTACTGCCAGCACTACATGGATATCTGAAGTCACGCTAATGTACTTTGAAGAGGTGAGTTGTGTGAGGCAGATACTTATTGTTTGCACTCAGATGAAGTAGAAAAAATTGCCGGACAAGTACTTACTGTATGAACTCGATTGAAGAAGCGAGGTTTGCGAGGCCTGTATTTGTCTGACCAAAGGAATGCCTGCTGGTCCAGAGCAACCTCTACACTGAACTGGGCCTCTTCATCATTCATACCCTCTCGGGCTTTCTTCTCAAACTCTGTCTCTCCATCTAACTATAATACAAAACAAAATGTTTTTTGACTCCACTTCAGTCTTACAAAGAGGGAGAAGATTTGAGGAATGTTTTTTTAAGAGTATGAAGGGTGTTTTTACATAGGTTAGGGATACTAAGATCACTGATGTTTACAGGATATCTATTTCTTTTTAAGATTAATCTGTACAACCATAACATGACAAAACAATCCTTACCAATCAACTCCTATTATGAAGGGAGACTGCAGGTTTTTTATGCCAGGTTTGACATAAATTATCAGCAAATCTTTGAAACTGTTTATGATTTCATAAACAAAATTAGCAAACCATAAACAGCTGTTTGAAATACCTTGTTTGATGATATTTGCGTGCCAAAAAAAGGTTTATAAATGCACTTTTCTGAGATTTGAAGTTTTTTAACATGTACAATCCCTCCTATGGAAATTCAAAAATTTTGATTGATATGATTCATGAGAAGACATGCAAAAGTAAACTACTGTAAAAACCCCATGTATTGTGAGCATTTTAAAAAAAAATTTAAATATAGGTCCAAAGTGAGGGGTGCACACATTATATATCTATCAGATTTCAATTTCTCTTTCATGAAAGATTATGTGAGGCCACCTTCATTGATTGTTTGGATTATCTGGTATGAAAAACTGACACAAGAAGGATTAGACGATTCATATAACAACAAAAATAATAGATCACATAGTTACTGTATATATTAACGCAAACTATCAGAATCAATATCATACAAAATTAGGACAAAGTGTTTAAAATGTGAAAGCAACTAGCAAGACAGAAAACTAGTGATCTACAAAGACAGTGTCCTGTTGGAGACATTGAAAAATATGTTGATTGTAATATGATTATCTTTTTGAAACACTTAAATCATCAGCTGTTGAGAAATTGACAGGTTTTATTTGATTCTCCTTCATGTTAGATATTGTGACAAAATGGAGCCATGAGCGCATGTCTGTTTTCATGTGTATTGGTGGAGGTTAGCATTGACATATCAATATGAGGAGTGTGGATTATATTAATCATTTATTAAAATAAGTTTTACTAGTGTTTCCAAAGCTTATTTATTAGTCCAATGAAAAATAGGGATAGTTCCTGCACGATAATCTTACCAAAATGTGTAATGAAACACTGTTCCACTTTTGTTGATAAACATATGCATGTCTTAAGTACATTCCATCCTCTGTATACGGACTGCTTGCATATACGCTTACATATACATGTTGGGGCCCCCAGTTATTTTACCTGGCACACACAAGATGTGACAGTGAAACTTGACTTGCTCAGATCATAATTACCTGGTTTGGTCATGAATAGGTAGATAATTACTTGAACATTGTACCTGTGATTTCAACACTGTTAATTGAAACTGGTGTGAAGTGTTTTTGTACGCAAGATAGATAAACCTGAGTTTATTTGATAGGTAAGTGTACAATACAGTGTGGTGTGTAATGTCAAAGACAGTGGGCAGATTTTTCTTTTCAACTGTATTGTACCCATAATTAGAGAGAAGAAGGTAATTCAAAGTCAATAAATGAGATGAAATGAATTTTAAAGAGAATATTTTTAAGTTTTGGACTATATATCTTTAGTCTAACACATAAGCTGAACATTCTGAGATCAATATCTTGGCTCCCTGAGATCAATATCTTGGCTCCCTGAGATCATTATATTTACTGAATTTTTGGCTGTGCACATTATGCAAGTAGAAACATTAGTATTTTTGACCTCAAAAAGTATGTGAGCACATTATGTAGGTGCAGACATTACACTGGTTTTTACATTATGATGTGGTTTAAAAGAAAGAACCTACCCTAACTTGGCCAAGTGTTCTGACTTGCTGTCGAGCTAGTTCTAGTTTTTTCATGTCATCAGTCGGGTCGTACACAATTGTATCTATCTCCAGGTCATTAAAACGTAAGAGCCTAGGTGAGTATTTCCCAGCTTCATAGTCTACATAAGCCTGCTCCTCCAAGTCCTCTTCAGTGATAACCGCCTCATCACCCTCACTGTGAACAAACCATTACCATTAACATAAGGGACATATATGACAGCTTCTTTAACATTATAAATCATGTAATGCATTTGAACGGTAGCCAAACTCATGAGAGGGTCATTTTCATCATCCAACAATTTTGCCATTAATTTATTCAGTAACACACACACAAAGAAGAAAATGGGAATAATTCTAAGTATATATTCCATAGTGACTTAGACTATAACCTCTATGTATGTTCCAAATTTATGTCCATATGAAAAATAAGAATTTAAATTTCAGAGATACAAGTTCTATATGATCCATAATTCTGTCATCTCTGTAAAAATGACTCCCTAAAAACATATCGCATCTTTCCTAATTTTACACATACTCCTCATCTTCTGCCTCTCCACTAGGACCATCAGACTCCTCCTGTCTTTCTTCTGGCTCTTCTTTAACTTCAGGTGGTGCCATAACAGTCTCTAGACGTGGAGTGCTTTCCCTTGACACAGAACTCTCCGTTCCCATTGCAGAAGGAAACAAGGGCTGGGATTCTATTCCTTGCTAGAAAGTTAAATAAAAAGCTCATATTTATTTTCAATTGATAAAAAGTTAAGTCTGTAAAGCAACATTAAATATCAATCAAGTGGCATTTATAACACGGATAATACAATAAAACAGGCTTTGTGTCACATTCAGTCAGCTTACTGTCAAATGATGTACTACACAAGGACCGTACTGTGTACCATCAATCTCATTACTATGTACTGTAGTAGTCTTTGATTGTTTTTCATATATACTATCTCCGACTGTCAGAATCATCACACTCTGTTTATTCTGTACCTCCTGTTTAAGTTTAAAGAGCTTCTGTCGTAGAACATCCTGATGACGCTCTCGGAGTCTTGTCCTTGCAATATGGGCCTTGAGTTGCTGGAGTAATGATTCCCAGTAACCTGAAACAAATCAGAATAACTTGTAATTACTTATAGAGGTGTGGCCTGTCTGATAGGACAAGCAAATGAACGATGGTGATTAAAATCAATTATTTAATGAAAACAATGTCAAGTTTTGTTAGCATACTGACCTACATCAACACCTTCACCTCCTTTCAGTTTGTTTTTCATCTGCACTTCTAGAGCAACTAGCTGACTTGTCGTCTTGCCTTTGAAGATACCTGCCACTTCTACATTGACAGACTCGTTAATGCCTTCACGTCGATCATGAAATTCTGTCAGAAAAAGTTTTAATTAGTACTCAGAGAAAAACATTCCCCGTACCAAGTAATATATAATACAAATAATGAGACATGTACTTTTTATGATTAACACAATGAAAAGAATTCATTTGAAAAATGTTTCAATATTCAAATTATACTTCCTCATAGCATGAAGCAAACACTTCATAACTTCATTCATTCTTTGAAAACCACAACAACTAATTACTGAAACACTTTTCAAGTACAGATTATATCTGAACAAGTGTAAATTTGATGCCAACCTATGCAAAAATAGTTCAACATGCATGTACAATGTGGGAACTTCACATCCACAGTTCCAGAAATAAATTAATTTTAGAAATGCTCACCTCTTTGACTAGTATCTAGTTTTTTTAGTTTATTGAGCTCATCTTTAGTGACCGTGATGATGTCACGCCAGTAGTCAGCATTCTTTCCCTCCTCTAACTCCAGGTATACCTTGATGTCCTCCAGAAGATCGTCAAGGTCAGGGATAGTCAGACCCTGTATAGGAGAGAAGAACTGGTCAATATACCTGTCCCGTGGTGGATATTTAGTAATGATATCATCAACAACCATATCATTACAATGAAAAACCAATGACAGTGTCATTACCATACAAATTCATTTAACATATTGTGACACAAAATCAAAGTGATGTCTTGACTAACACAGATGTAGATAAGGCTTGTACAATATATAGACTTACACAGATGTAGATAACACTTGTACAATATATAGACTTATACAGATGTAGATAACACTTGTACAATATATAGACTTATACAGATGTAGATAACACTTGTACAATATATAGACTTACACAGATGTAGATAAGGCTTGTACAATATATAGACTTACACAGATGTAGATAACACTTGTACAATATATAGACTTATACAGATGTAGATAACACTTGTACAATATATAGACTTACACAGATGTAGATAAGGCTTGTACAATATATAGACTTACACAGATGTAGATAACACTTGAACAATATATAGACTTACACAGATGTAGATAAGGCTTGTACAATATATAGACTTACACAGATGTAGATAACACTTGTACAATATATAGACTTATACAGATGTAGATAACACTTGTACAATATATAGACTTACACAGATGTAGGTAAGACTTGTAGATAACACTTGTACAATATATAGACTTATACAGATGTAGATGAAGCTAGTACAATATATAGACTTATACAGACGTAGATAACACTTGTACAATATATAGACTTACACAGATGTAGATGAAGCTAGTACAATATATAGACTTATACAGACGTAGATAACACTTGTACAATATATAGACTTATACAGACGTAGATAACACTTGTACAATATTTAGACTTATAGTGTCAGATAAGGCTTGTAAAATATATTGATTTACACAGATGTAAATAAGGCTTGTACAATATATAGACTAATACAGAAGTAGATAAGGCTTGTACAAGATATTGACTTACACAGATGTAGGTAAGACTTGTACAATATATAGACTTATACAGATGTAGAAAAAGCTTGTACAATATACAGACTTTTACAGGGGCAGATAAGGTTTGTATCACATATAGACTTTTGAACATAGATAAATAGCTTGTAGGTTTATAGGCTTGCACTGAGGGAGAAAAGGCTTTTGTGATATATAGACTTACATAGAGGTATGTATAAGGTTCATGCATTTCAATAGCCAGGTCATCATCTTCTGCATTTATGTACTTGGCCAGCAAGTCAATGGGTTTGGCTGTCAAGTTGAAAAACAAGATTCATTTCATACCCAGTCAAAATTTTCATCACATTTTAGAAACTCATCATCACTTGTTACAGGGTAGACAAACTTTTACATAGACCTTTGTGCATTGCATCATAAAATTGTGACGATCATTATCTCTATTTCAAATGAACTCTCTGACTTCAAACAAATCTATAAATGAACATTAGATAAACACAAATGTATTTAAAAAGAGACAATATTATGTCTTGTCTATAACAATAATCAGTAATGTTGCTGTGGCTGAAATTTTGGTATCAAATACATGAAGAAAATAAACACAATGTATTTAACAATACCCATTTCATGTTTGACAGGATATCAACCAGATCAGTGTACTTTTACTTATTCTTTGTTCTTTGATATGGGTAGCTTACCTCGTCCATCTTGAATCCTGATCTTGGATCTCATTTTTGCTTGGTTTAAGTGAAACTAGAAAAGACACAATTCAACCATTTATATTTGTTAGTACTAACAGTTTTAATTTTTCAAGTGTTTGAGAAATATCATACTCTGCTAAATAAACAAAGTATGCTGGTAAGTCTATTAACTTAAATCAGTTACTGTTTATTCAACAAAGAACTCATTCAGATTGAAAACATGTGTTAATGACCTTTTAAGCTGATAGAGAGTGACGTCACTACCCATTGAAGACTGGAGTACTTACACTGTCCTCCTGTTTCTCCCATTCTCTGAAGTATTCAACTTCTTTCTCTCTCTGCATCATCTCCTAGAAACAAAGTATTGTTTGATTTCCATGTCAACATTTAAGTTAAAGGAATAAAAGCTCTGCTGACGAAGGCACTTGATGGAGAAAGTAATGTTCTATTTGGAGCATTATTGCTGATAAAACAGATTTCAAAAGATTTCATTAGATATTTTGTAACAGAAATGTAAGTTATAAATATTATTATAATATATCCTGCTTAGTTTATACTACATCAAATATATATATCCTATTTATTGCCCTGACTTTGCATTACCAGGAATAAGTCCTCTATCAGCAAGTTTGTAAACTGAGACAGTTTTGAGAACTTAATGTCTTGGCAGAGTCCATTTCGTTCCTACAGAAATGGCTGAGCAGATTTGGCCAAGCAACATATATACAGCAAAATATGGTTTCACAATTATTCCATATATCTCAAGCTAGAAATATGATAAAATCTTGATACAATGCTTTCATTTACATGTTGTTAACAGAACTTACTCTTTCTTTTTCTCTTTCTTCATCTTCTTTCTCTCTTTCAAGCCTTCTTTTCTTCACTTTCTCCAGTTCACGCTGTAATAAAATTAATTTTCATTTTCTTTCTATCATCAACTATCGCAATGTAATAAGATACTAATGATTTCCATAGGATATACAGGAAAGGGTAGTTTTAAGGCTTATCATGGGGTCAGGTAATTAGCGAGAAAAAAATAGTTTCTGTCAGAATGTTGGAAGTTTTTATTATCACCAGAGTATTTCTATAAGGTATGATAAATTTTTTGCAGTGCAAATTCCAGAACAGATCTTCTAAACCTATTCTAAGCCTTGATATTGAACAAAACAGAATTATATATGTAATGTACATGCAGAACAGTATGGGATTAATTATGTCCAGCTCTTGACCGGTCAACTTTGTTCACTTCTGCAAACTGATACCCCTTAAACCGGTCAAATGGTTATGTCCAATTCATGGTTAGCTCTGAGGAATCCTACTGTATTTCATCACTGAAAGTTTGATTAAGCCTTCTGCATGCTGTTATTCTACTTACTCTACTTTCATCCATTTTCTGTTTGTGAAGATGCTGAATTTCTTCCTTTGTTAAGTTTTTCTTTCCTTCTTTTTCCAATTTCTTCCCCCAGGTGAATGTATCAAGTAAATGTTCATCTCCAAATGGATTGTCAGCATTGGTGTAACCCTGCAGCACATAGAAGTACAAAATACATGACTGCAGAATATACAGAAACACACGGAGTATGTTTTAATTTTTATAAATGTTATAAGTGACTATAAGCTATAGTATTAAAAATGTATATAAAAAAAATTGGGACATTGTTTATGGCTTGATGAGGTTTTACAAATTATTGTATGGTTCTTCACTTGCCTTTTCTTTAAAAACATGATCTGCAAACATCTATCTTACCAGATAGTCTTTGTCCCAACCCATTTTCTCTTTGCGTCTCCGTTCCTTTGCTTCTTTCTTAGCCAGTCTTCTAGCCCGTTTCTCCTCCGGAGTTTCTAAAGCCTTTATCAACTCCTTTTGCTGTCTAAAGCAACAAGATATGCTACAGAGTAAAGTAAAGTAAGCTTACTAGCTCAAGGTTTCAAAGCCTTGGTAAACCCTCCAAGATTTAATACATCTAGTAATCAAAGTACATGTACCAGTATTGTATGGCATTAGGTTCTCTATTAGACTTAACAAACAATGGGAAAAGTTAGCAGCTAATGGTCACACATTGTGATACTGGTCATTCTGCTTTGACAAAAGAATGGACTTCAACTGTCCAGATGTACCAACTGTCCAGATATACCAGGGTATAAGCTGACTTCTTCAGGTTTATCACTTACATGGTAAGCTGTAATACTTATACTCATTTATACCTGGTACATGTATCTGTTACACATCTTTATGGCTATCATACATTTTTTTAATGTCTTTAATAATTTGTAGCAGTTATGGTTTTCTTTTGGTTTTGCTTAAAACACCAAACTCAGAAACCATTAAAAAGTGAAATGCAAACAAGGCTCGCCAGAATCAATTTTTTTTAAATACTCATAACAAACAAAACAGCATTCCAGGATTAATAGCACATGTTTGATAAAGACTAGTTATGTACGAAAGAAATGATACAATATAACTGATACTGTTTCTCAAAAATACCTTTTTTCTTCTTGCACTTCAGCAATGTCTCTCTCTTTCCTTGCACTCTTTGAAGACCTTTTTTCATGTTTTTTCTTCTTGGATTTTGATGATGAAGATGAGCGTTTAGGGGATGAGGAATCAGAATCTGAATATTTCCTTCTTTGGTATTTCGGTGACCTTGACCTTCTCTTGTGTCTCGGAGACCTTGACCTTTTCCTGTATCTCTGAATGGGTGACCTTGAACGTGACCTGGAATCCTCAGATGAATCAGAATCTGAATCTTCATCCGATGAGTCTGAATCTTTCCTCCTATAATACATAATGATAATGCTACAAAAAAATATATATATTTGCACTGTCTTTCACAGTTGGTAGCATCTATTCAAATACAACCCACTATCTTTATAATGTAAAATAATATCAACTTTCATGGTTTATATTTATATTTATTGACCAAGACATGTGATTCTCACAAAGCTGTGTCATTAAACTCTTGTATATTGAGTTATACAAATTTACATTGACCAAATCAGCTGAAATATGAACTTAATGTCTAGGTGTCTGATGTATTTGGTAGGCATCATAGATTATTTAGGATTACCTGTGCTAAAAAATTATTTATTTTGGATTATTATCCAAATCCTGCCAGATATTTTATAATATAGCAAGCGATTGAATGAAATATACACATCTTTTACATAGAAATTATATCTTAGATATATACTCTACAGTGTGGCAATTTGTCATCAGTATACTGCATTTAATCTTATAAACACTGTGGGGTTGCTAAATTCTTCCTAGAGGACATCAGATTTACACACTGAAGGTCATCAGGTGCATCAATAAAAGCGACAGGAATAATAGACTATAGGGACATGAGTATAAGAAATATTATAAAACAACAGAACGAACTTTAACACTTGTGTATGAAATGACATAAGGTTGAGTGTGTCAAATTACCAAACGATAATGTCAAGATCATTATGATTGTCCTGACTTATCAAACGATGAAGTTTCTTTATTCAGATATTGTACTATTTATTTCAACTCATCACAAAGTTGGAAGTTACACAACATTACAATGCATCTTTTTAAACTGAAAGTGGCCCTATATATCAAACAAATTGCAGCAATATGGATATGAAATAAGACTGGCACCTGTAAAAAACAATACATCCAAGCATTGCAAGAGAGGTGAATGAGCTGATTATTTCAGGTAAGCTTTAACAAGAATATTTTTGAGTTTGATGCTGGTATGAAAGAATAACCTTTTTGCTAACTAAATGATGAATATTTGCTGTGTAATGGCTTAATATAACTTATTATACATTCATTTGTAAAAATAGTTATTTTTCCTATGCTCACCTAACATTATTTCAAATATTATAACAGATATAGCATTGACAACAATGAGTTTGGATTCCTGTTTATACATATATATGCATGTTATGACGGCCATGTACTGGGTATAATTTTGGGCAGTGCATTTCGATTCACTGTTTCTGGTTTGTTAATATAGAATAGAGCGACATTTTGTGGAGTTGTGCTGGATTTTAGCATCACAATCGTCTAATTAACCATTCATGCGAATTTATGTATGCGTTCAAGAGGTATCATTTTAGAGTTCTGTAAAAAAAATTAAAATGTGCTGAGGAGCAAGTGCTGTAAAGTTGTCAAAATGAACACAGGAATCGGACTTTCGCGGGTAGATAATCACAACACTCTATATTCCTGTTGAACGAATGAGGCTGTATGTTTTTTGTACGAACTGTAAATTAAAGTAACACTCAATATACCACACTCCAAGAAGTAGATAAATGGATATGGAACAAATCTATACTGTACCTCCTTCGTTTGTCAGAACTGTGTACATGTCGATCACTATATCTTTCTTTTTTCTTTTTCTCTTTTCCCATGTTGTATTTTATTGAAAAGCGTTTTCGGACGTTTCGGTAAAGAGAGCTACACAAAGGGGAGCTACTCGTTCTATATTATTGCAAATAGTTTGAGCATCATTGAATGTGTTATTCCGGGTGTTAAAATATTTTATTCGTTATTTGACAAGTAATTATAGGGAAACAAGGAGTTATTCTTCTTCTTCTTCTTCTTCTTCTTCTTATGAACGAGGCATGTACGTGTTATATACGTCTCTGATTGCACGTACACAGAGACGTGTCATATACGTTTCTGCTGTACACAAATATATTTGAATGTGAAAACCACTACCGTATATTTATCTGTTTCTATGGAAAACTCAACTTCAGTACAATCACTGACAACGTAGCCTCAATATATTGACGCGTTTGTAAATAATTTATTATGTTTATTTTACATTATATGTATCGACCAGGGAGTTCTAGTATAATACTATATCACACGTTCCTGGTTTTTGCATACAAACTTTGATCCGAGTTAGATATTTATGTGACCTTGAGTATTAGAAACCTCTATATGACATCGAGGATACTGAGTATACATACAAGTGGTCATGTAGAAGACTTTATATGTGACTTTTAAGGGCACGAGCCCCAAGTATTAGACCTTTATATGACTCTGAGGGTAAGGACATGAGTACGTTAAACCTGCAGATGTCTTGTCTACATTAGACGCTTATCTTTTCCTGCAACGAAACCAACACGGATATCTCTGCACCAAGCTGTGTGATTTCAATTTCCCTATTGTGAATTTTCCATTACTGGATAGCGACAACTCTGCATCCCAACCCATGGTGTTGACATGTCTCAATTGATTCGATATTAAAGGACTTCTCCCATCATTACGATTTTTATGCAAGAAGTCGTCAATTGACGGCAAACTCGTAACACAAGGTTTGAAAAAAATGCAGGTTAATGAAAATTATTGGGAAGTATACGATCATCATACTGGTCTCACGTTTTTTTTTTTTTTTTTTATGCAATATGAAGCTGGACGTGTTTGAAGCTCGTTAGCTTGCCTGTTGGCACTGGTTTTGTATGACGTGACATTACTTTCTTGGATTGACCAAGATTTACCTGCCGGGTACAGCAAATTGATGTGACGTTGTGAGTATGGATCTGAAATGAATACCTCTATGTGACCTTGTGTGACATGTATGGTATGCGGGCCGGAATGTTAAATCTTTATGTGACCTAGAGTTCTGTAATCGTGAAGTGCCTCCATTTTCGTAGTACATGTAGAGACATCCTATATATTATTTAAACACTCAACTGTCAATAAGCTCTGAATAATGGTTCATTTAATATAGTCGACACAGTGAGTCCATGACGGGAATCAAAATGACGTAATTCGGCTTCATCGTTCACAGGAGAATGTGAAAATTGTGAAGTTAGTCAAGATTACTGATAACTATGGAAGCCTTTTTGGCTCACATATAAATATATTTTTCTTGAATGCGGAAATATTCTATCTGTTGGCCGACATTTAAATGTTCAGCTACCGCCACTTAAATATATTCAAGGGATAAAGGAACACAGGGTGACATCATTTACAATATCTTGCGAATGCGAAAGAAAATCGGCCAAGCAACTCTCTAGGTTACACTGCAGGTGTTCCTGTATCGAATGTTGCATTATGGTTTTGCATGACGATGTCTTCCGGGGAAATCAGGAAACGGGAAGATATCGTGCACAGCAGTGTTGTGACATTGAGTTACACTTCTCGTCATACCATTAAGTAGTCTTCATAGAGACACATCATTTCCGATATGTTGATAAATTTCTGATAGCATTAAACAGCTACACGGCTAACAGAAGTTCAGAAGGGTCAGGCTATTGCCATGATTATGCAAGGTCAAAGACAAATACGGATTGTCAGACATTTCGGCGTCCATATTTTGCACTATAGAATGACCTACCCTTCATACCATTGGTACTCATAACCATCCTATCCATGCAAAGACTGTTTGCAGGAAGTTGGTCTGCAGGCACGTCACCCGTTTGAAAGTCTGTCCTTTACCGCTGTTCGTTGCCAGCATATTCCCATTGATGCAGTGGAGGCGGGTCTTGTTTACTGAGGAGTCTTGGTTCACTATTTTTCGAGCAGACGGTCGACATCATGTATACCGACGTCGTCGGGAGAACGTATTGACGACAGCTGCGTAGTAGAAACGGATAGGTTTGGGGTGGCTCAGTTATTGTGCGAGGAGGAATCTCACATAGAGTTAAATCACCACTGGTTGTGGTAGCGGGTATTTAACTGCCGCAAGGTATAGAGGTGTTGTCCCATTATTGCAGCAAAATAACTTCACATTCAGCAGAATAATGCTCGGCCCCATGTGGCGAGACAGTGCGACTTTCTCACTAACAAAAATATCCACCCACTGGACTGGCCGCCATACAGTCCCGACCTATCCCCTAATGAGTGCTTGTGGGACCAGCGGTATTAACTACCCAGTTACATAGTCAAACCATTTCGATTTCAAATTAGAGAGTTCTCTTTCAGTTCCCTTCAATTGCTCCTAAATCACTTACCAGATACAAATCATTGATTTTGCAGTTTGCTCTGTATGAATTAATCTTCATTCTTACTTTAAAATATCAAGCATTATACTCGACGTCATGCCTAGAATCATCTTCAAAGTGTACACTGCGTTTCTTTATTCCTTGAGTATATATATGTCCAGCGCCATTAACATTAACGAATGCCCGATGTCACCAATATCACGAACGTACAGCGTCATCAACATCACGAATACCTAATCCCATCAGTATTTACGAATGTCCGATGATATAAACAACCGCAAGACACCAGTATTATTAACGTAATAAATATATATATATTCATTATTGAACAATGCAGATGGCATTCATAACAGTACAAATGTAATCAATATTCGAGCAGTTGGTAGCAGTAGCAACAAGGACAACAAGAAAACACTTATATTGTATTTGTTTTATATACAAATGATTTGTTCATAAAATATACAATCTAAGACGACTGCAAGCACAAAATTAGCACCAACTACTTCATACATATACAATGTATTCTATATTACACATACATAATAAGTACATTTCATAGTTACCTCACTAAACACTCACACACATACATCATCTTTCACACAGTTTCTGTATGCATACTTGTGTCACTTCACAACCCATCAAACAGGAAACTAGCATTTTCCCCAGTAACTCGTGGCAGTGTTTTGGAAATGTTATATCACAATAACAAATGCGTCCAACATCTTTTTCTTCAACAATATCGAAGTAATTTTTTGTGAAAGCACAATTGTTAATCGAGTTATCAGCACTTGGTTGGATTCAAGAAAAATAATATCAAATATATCTCGTCATACTGTTGTCGTCAACTTGGGTGGTGATGAGGGCTTCACAGTACAGATGGACGGTAATGTTGGTGTGGTTTCTCGTGAAGTCTGTGTGAAGTGTTTGGAAATCTGTAAAGTTAGATTAATCATTAGATTTAGAAAACAAAATACCGGTAAGTAATTTATAAGTGTGATGGAAGACAACGACAGCAAGTGCAAAACATGACAAAATAATTCATATTCAAAATCGTGTTATATAAAATTGATGGTAAGTCCTCTGCCCAAAGTATTCGCCTTTGTATATTGGTCTGACAATATGGGAAAAGTTGATAAAACGTCAGAATGACGCAGACTGGTAAGGCCTATAACCTGCTTACCTTAGACAAGAGTTTCTCAGCTGTCTTGTGATGGCTGTACTGATGAGCACTTTTCCGCATCACAGCCATCGAACCGTTTTCAGACTTTAAACACCGCTTGATGAAATCCCAGCATGCCACCTTAAGATCAACGAGTTTAAACTGGTTTGCTCCACAAAGTAGGCCTATATCAAAAACATAAATGTGTATAAAAAGTCTGTGGTAATTCAAGTGACTAACAACATATTCTTGAAAATCAAAAAGTTATGAAAACTTATGATGTCCAAAACAGAAAAATAAAAATTCAACTATTAAATACGGATAAAACCTATTGCAACGGATTCGTGTCAAAGTTTACCTGTAACACTTTTGGAAGTGACATCAACTGTTCCACAATGGATGAACTGGATGATTTTCCGGAAATCCTCTGGTTCGTATTTTTTAACATCAATAACTAGACGAGAGTTGCCGCGAGATTTCCGGGATTTGTGAGACCTTTTCTCTTCTTCCTCTTTCTGTTTCTGTAGAATCAACTGATACATAACCCTGTGAAAGCAAATAATATTTTATTAGAATCATACAATCTACATAGTTTACACAGTACATATTTTGTCAAAGTGTAACTTTTCATATCATCGTAAAAATTTTTTTCTCTTTCTTTCTAAAAGTAAAACTTGGAAAACAGCTTTACGAAGTCAATGATATATACGAGATCTCCAGTGTACAATATTTCCAATTCAATCGTTTTTGTTTGTTTGGATTTTTTAAATCAATTTGTATTGATAAATCTTCATTGTTGTTTACCTGCTTCGTGTTCCGAGAATTGCTTTCACGCCATAAATCGGGACTTTGGTTGGCCCAACTAGGAAAGTGACGTCACAAAGTTCTGGCATGGACAGGATGTATTTGAGACGATCACAGAGGGCGCTGGTACTGTTGTAGTTCACGGCATCTTTAAGGTTACAGTCAGATTCTTGGTCGCTTGAATCGTCTACTTCGGGTGTAGATTCTGGATTTGATTCGTATCCGGATGAAAATCCTATATCTGTAAATAAATTTGATAGAAGCATTGTATTTTGCGATGACGACGACGACGATGGTGATGATGCATTGTACAGCTCATTGTCAAAATATTCATTTTCTGTATAGAACTTGATGTACGTAGGTCAGGTTAATATAAAAAAGGTATCTTGTACTTTTTCTAGTAGTTACTTCGACAAAACTACATACGTTGTATGAACTTCGACTTAAAGAAGTGAAAATCGGTATTTGAAACTAATAACTGAATTGTCGTTTTTAGCTTCGTTACTTCTGATGACATTTGTTCGAAGTCACATTTTCTCAGAGCTAAATTATCTTGTTTCCTTTTATTTGAAAAATGAATCAGATTGCCATACGGTATATCAAAAGATTTTGCATAAAATGTATAGTAGTCAAATTATCAGCATGATAAAATCGAAACAAAGTGATATCTCGATGTGTTTATTACCCATGTAAATCAATTTTCTGCTGTAGGCAAACCTCAGACAACCCCCATATTGTCTAGGAAATTGTTTATTAAAAAGTGTATTTGTGAAAATTAAATCTTTTGAAATGGTCGCCCGCCGCGTAGACATTTAACCTCACTTTAATGTATGTTTCTCTGGGTTGTTCCCTACCTTCCTGACACTGAGACCATTGTAGTCGTGATACACATCATATCTGTGTACTGTAAATTGAAAAATTCTTGTTTTTTTATGATATATTAAATGTAAATTATAAATATACTGTACATACTTCACACAATACGACGCTCTTGTAGAAGTTATAGCAGTTTCGCCCGGATCATCGTGTAAATAAGGCCAGCTTTGACAGGTAAATTGAAAGGCACTATATGCGGGGTGTTTTAGCATTGTCAGACACTGTAACCACCTTTGTTAGGTAACATAATTATTGCTTTGACTGGTAATATAAGTGTAGCTTTGTCATGCACTGTAACTTCATATCTAGCTTTGTCAGGCACTGTAACTACATATGTAGATTTGTCAGGCACTAACTACACATGTAGATTTGTCAGGCACTAACTACACATGTAGATTTGTCAGGCACTGTAACTACATATCTAGATTTGTCAGGCACTGTAACTACATATGTAGCTTTGTCAGGCACTGTAACTATATATGAAGCTTTGTCAGGCACTGTAACTACACATGTAGCTTTGTCAGGCACTGTAACTACATATGAAGCTTTGTCAGGCACTGTAACTACACATGTAGCTTTGTCAGGCACTGTAACTACATATGTAGCTTTGTCGGACACTGTAACTACATAAGTAGCGTTGTCAGGCACTGTAACTACATATGTAGCTTTGTCAGGCACTGTAACTACATATGTAGATTTGTCAGGCACTGTAACTACATAAGTAGCGTTGTCAGGCACTGTAACTACATATGTAGCTTTGTCAGGCACTAACTACACATGTAGATTTGTCAGGCACTGTAACTACACATGTAGCTTTGTCAGGCACTGTAACTACATATGTAGCTTTGTCGGGCACTGTAACTACATATGTAGCTTTGTCGGGCACTGTAACTACATATGTAGCTTTGTCGGGCACTGTAACTACATATGTAGCTTTGTCGGGCACTGTAACTACATATGTAGCTTTGTCGGGCACTGTAACTACATATGTAGCTTTGTCATGCACTGTAACTACATATGTAGCTTTGTCAGGCGCTGTAACTACATATGTAGATTTGTCAGGCGCTGTAACTACATATGTAGCTTTTTCAGGCACTGTAACTACATGTGTAGCTTTGGTATGCGCTGTAACCAGTTTTACTATTTCTGGTCGGATTACAAAACTAGGTTTTTTCATAAAGCAGAAGTAAATTTGTTTGGTAACATAGTTAGATCTGCCAATGACTGTCAGTTAATAAGTTCACCGTTTCCGAATAAAAGGAACTTTGTCAAGAATTCAATCAAGCAATATTGCTGTAGTTTGGGGGGGTTCCTTTTTTAGTATTGAGTTACTTGTATTTAGGCGTGGAACCACATAAATGAGAATCATATTGTACTGTGTACTGTATCATTTAGTCTGATGTTAGATGTTTGTAAAGTGTATTTTCTTCTTAAAAACATTATTTTAATCTTGACTGGATTGATCAAAACCTTAAAGCGGTGAACACGAACGACACCCGTGGGTAATACTGGAAGTAGAGAATATCGAAGAACAGATATGTCTTTCTCTAACAAACAACCGACAATGTAGAGCATTTAAAGTCCCCCAAACTCGTCTGCCGCGATGATCCAAATGTCACTGACGGGGTTTGAAGTTGTATCTTATCTCTATAAATGGTTTATCAAATTTCTTGACTTCTCGCTGACCTTGGAGCCGATTGAAGTGTCTCTGGCCCTTTTGAAGCACAATTACTTAATTGATTGACACAACAGGCACACACGCCGTCTTGAAATCGTTTTTCTCATATGACATACATAAATAAGGAAAGAAAATTAACCAGACAAGCCAGATTCAACCAGACAAGACAGATTCAACAACGTATATTTATGTCTTTTAAGAAAAAATATATTTACTTAAGCGCCTAGAGCTATGGTTGTTTATCTCTTAAATTAAAAGTAAATACTGCGGGTTTGAGGAGTGTAGTCGCTGATCTTCAGTATTAATGTTTATAGGGCACAGATACCTCTTTATTACGGGCACTTGACTTGTATATACATTTAAATTGACTGTTGTACATCTCGAGTATATTAAGTGGTATAGAATTATCACTTGTATCGGCTATAACGGCAAAATTATCATTCTTGAACTGTATGTCCAAACAGCAAGTATTATATGTACGATGTATTAAAGTTATTTATCAGCATGATACTCGTTGGTCCTACACTTTTATTTTATTTTTCGTAAATTTGCAGTTTACGGCAGACACAAATGCACAAACTATGTCCAACAGACGGACACAATATACGGTTATCTTGTTAAGAGCTATGCAATATAACATAAATGTTTAGTCAATAGAATAAATAGGACTTACCATCATTTTCAATGTGTTCTGTGGTCAAGATATCCAACTCGTCGTTCTGGACAAGGAGAGCTTTAGAATCCGACTTCTCCATGGTCAAGCGAAGAATTGTACAGAATTGGTTGTATTGATATATTAAGCGGTAAATCACAGATTGGTGAGTGTAGTCGTTAACCCTGCCTTTTTATATACATCCAAAGATATACCCAACCTCCTCTAACAACTCTGATGGCGAGTTAATCCTGTCAGGTAAGTGGCATATTACTAGAGGTGCCATATTGATCAGTTACGTACTGTCATCTTAATCAAATGTCTAGCTTGTGAAAACATCGGACTATCCACTGAGCCACGGCGACACCCCCTAAAACAGACACCGTGCACGGTAATTTGGTGTGTGATTTCAAGACGACCTGTCAAAACCAGCTCGCGAGCGTGAGGGGCGGGCCGTTAAATGAGGTTAGTTGTTTACACTAGTGTGATTGGTATGTAACGATCCTTACATACCGACAATCGCGTCCATCAAAAATAACAATACCCTATTGTGTCAGTACCGGTCCAACTGGAAACAGGTGCTTTAATGAGAAACGCTGATTTCGGGTAAAATGTTTTCATACGTACATGCAAATAGGTTTGCTTTGTCGCACCTGTAATTTTATTAGGTATATTTATGTCTTAACGATAAAACACCTAAACTTTCACGTTAGGTCACGTAATGAGCCAATTATACCTATTGTATATCAATGACTCTACACCTGTATGGACCTACTGATGCTATCGCATTATTACCTGTAATTAAATATGATAAGTACTTTTACCTGTGTAGTTAAGCCATAAAAGGCTATAATTTTGTTACAAAAGTAACCTTAAAAACCCGTAAACGAATGAAATGTTCGTAGCTTGAGCTCCCTGTATTATAAACTTACTTTTATTGATTGACTGAAAATTAACACATACCCGTTAATATACGCTAATTACAATAAACAAAACATTCACATTGTTAACGAGGTCAAGAAATGAATGATACATACCACAGACAAATCAAGATTACATATAAAAAAAATAATTATAATATAATGATAATGACACCGGTTGAGACCCAAAATACCCAACGGTATGTGTATGCTGTCCTGTAACGACCTAGTCACTGAATAAAACTCTGTACCATTATGACTCCAATATGATAAGAATGAAACTAAATACAAAGATAATAATTCAATACACGACTTTAAAAAGAAAATTATCGAAGTATTTCGATTGAGCAAATTAAGCAATCTCCAGACGATCTTCATTTATGATTTGCTAAATGATGTTGAATTGAGCAGGTCAGTAACACTATCCGCGCCTGACAGTATACCCACACAGGCCGGTGATATATGTCTTGTCAGCGGTAACGTTTTACAACATTTACTCACTATTTGTGAGTTATACAGTCAAAAGAGGAGAATTTCATTTTCCTGTATTGAATCTAAGATTATCGTTTTTACGTATTAAAACAATCTCGTGTATTTGTGATTTTATTCTATATGGATCGAAATTACAAATTGTAAAAAGTACAACACATATTGGCGGTTTGCTGGATAGCAAAAATAATAATATTGAACGCACACAAAATGCGTTTTCCAAGTTGAAATGTGGCGTGAAGGCCTTAATTCGTTCTGGACCACATCCGTATGCTCTCAATCCCTTCACTACGACAGAAGCAATTAAGCGAAACGTTTACCCTGCAGTATTGTATGGTTTTGAGTTGTGGCAATTGAAGCAATTTTTTTTTACATGTTAGAAAAGCACAGAGTTTCATAAATGACAGATATGTGTACATCTCAAATCGGTTTCAATTAAAGTTTATGTCAGTACAAAGAAAGTGTTATTTCCTGGAATATGTATAATGGGTATGGAATAGTTAGCTCGTTTATTCCAATTTCATTTTGTCTCGTTTCAAAGGATTTGTTCATGGTATTGCCGATGTTCTACAAAAATATCAAGTGTACTATGTCATTGTTAGATTCATGGAGAATGGTGTTTCCCAAACAGATCGCAATGGAAAATTTTAATCATTGACAATTTTAAAAATAAGGAAGGAATTAAGATTTAAATCAATCACCCTCATTGCATTTGTTACATCCAAACACAAAATAAGTAGCAAAAATGACCAAACAAAACATATTTTAACATGTACTAACAATTTTATTTAATAAGTATAAGTTTTAAAATCACATGTCATCGCCTTACACGATTTGGTATCCTCTGGGGTATAAAGATTTTTTGGATAGGAAAAAAATATGACAACATGTAATAGAGTATTAACTCTGTTAAGAATGTATTTTGTACTTTATCATTTATACTTTTTTCTTACAAACCGTTAGCTTTCTATTCATTTTGACACGTGATGTTCGTGACAAAAGTAATGAAATTCATGCCAGGATTAAACGCCGGAACGGTTATATGGCGGGTGTTTCCTGTTTACACTGAAGTCTCAGATACTGTAAGTCATGTTTGTTAGCAGAAATAACTTGTTGTTTACAGGGAATAGATACCCGGCTAGATTACTTCGTTCTTTGACAATCAGGGCCTATGTCAACAACCAATCACACATGGTCACTTCGAAATCCGTTATCAAAACAGATCAACATGTGTTAAACATACACCTCAAGTTGTCACGCGACGGTCGCACGTGTACCAGTCAGCGGTTTGTCTTGTCGACTATTTCTGATCTGCTCCGTGTCACTCATCTTTTTCCCAAATTGTCAAAAACGCTCTTCCAAAACGTCAAACATGGGTATAAAAATCGCCAGCTCAAATCACATTCATCAGTATCATCTTTCAATATTCTTTAATACAAGCAAGTAAACGTTTATAAGATGGAGAGAAACGAGTCCACAGTGAAACTTATCGACAATGACCAACTGGACTTCTTAAGTGATCAGCTGGAATCTGAAGGTAAATATATCTTTATTACGATCCTTATCGGTATTATCTCTCAGAGGATAAACATTTGATGTCTGATAATATACTTAAGGGATGTGTTAACAAAATGAATTATTATGTAACGATAGAATGAGTGATCCAAATCGAAAATACCTTTTCAGTACCAGAGTATGAACTAGAATGTGTGGTTTATATGTTACATGCATCTATGATTTGTTTCCGAGTAACAAATTTTAGACCCCAGTTGGTTAACACGATACGGGACGGTTGTAGCCACAAGTTAAATTACACTCTATTGTACATTCACATTATACCCATGATATTAATGCTATATTCTACATACAGATAGTGTTTTACCAAGGTTGAGGTTATATGTCACTTTGTAGAATAAAAATAAAACATGTAATTGGCTTAACACTATTTCGTTTAATAAGATTGCGTTAAAAGGTTTTCCATCATTGGTGTGACTTTGGCACCATCATTCGAGTCAAGGTCATATGCTACTACTTTGCACGACATTACCACTGATATGCGTTACATCATATATTACACATACATATCAGTAACTAATTAACATTATTTATCCCTCACAACCGTGAAGAACATCCGTATAATTTACAAAGAGAGTTAGGAACTGCGCAAACTTACTCATCTCTATTCCTAGTGCCAATGTACTCGTTTATGCATTTACATACTTGACAAATATTTTCACTACATTGTCAAATATGTGTCAACTGAAATGTTTGCAATAGATTTGGCGGGACAAATAAATTGAATATGTATTTTTTGAATATTCAGGATTTTCCTCTGGATACGACTCTTGTGATACATCAGATTCTGAATCCCAATCTCAACATAACGACAACGCTGATGATGTCGATGATGGCATGAACTTAGAATGTGACGTCGGCGGTGACCACCACGTTAAGTATCAGAACACCAGCGCCCTCTGTGACCATTTGAAGTACATCTTATCCATGCCAGAGCTTTGTGACATCACATTCTTTGTAGGACCAACCAAAGTCCCCATCCATGGTGTAAAAGCTATTCTATCAACTCGAAGCAGGTAAATTTTTGCCAATTCTCGATCCATGCAGGTTTCACAATACTTTTACAACATCTGAACATTAACAATCAATGAATGAAGTTAAAATATAAATAATACTTTAAAGTTAAAAACAGTCCATGATCTTCCCAAGAAAACAAATTTGTTTTATGTTATGTCAGTAGTCTACGTTAAATGCTTCACATGACAATGCTGAGCGTTATTTGGTCAGAGGACATGAATTGATTATACTATTTGCTTACACTTTTAGCTTTAAACCAAATTTTATTTCCTACTGGACACTTTTCTAATGTACCAAACGTCTCTATAATGCTGTTACTTATCATTTCAGGGTTATGTACCAGCTCATCCTAAAGAATGAACGCTGTGTGAAAGAAGCCAAGAAGTCAAGAAAGACCAGACAATCCCGTTTGACCATTGAAGTTAACAAGTACCAGCCCGAGGACTTCCGCAAGATTGTACAGTTCATCCACTGTGGATCCGTGGATGTAGACTCCAGAAGTGTTGCAGGTAAGGTTTGGTTTCCGTTTCCAACTTTCTCTTCCTTCTGTGGGAAGCACCAAAAATGAAGCAACTGAAGGTTTATCTATTAAATGACCTGTATTCAACGTTCAACTAGATTCAACTGTATTTGAGGTAGAGTCCCCAAGAAGAAAGGAAAACCCTGATACCCTTAACCTCCATCCAATATAATCCTAGATGATAACGTTCCAAAATGGTCTCATTAAAAAATCCATATTTATGTCTTTATCTCCATTTACAAATAAACCAGGTTTGCTGTGTGGAGCCAGACAGTTCGGATTAGATGACTTGAAGACCGCTTGTTGGGACTATGTCCGGCGATGTGTCCAGACTCGACCTCAGTCATTAACAACCATACAGAGAGGAGCCAATAAATACATTCACCACCGATACGGAATCAAGTTATTTACCAAGGTAGGCACAACACTGTCTTGCTCATCAATTCTCCCCTACGTATAAACATGGGTATTAAGATCATTAAAGAAATACTCAATAACACACCAGTTTTTCTCCTATTAACAGAAGCTACCACACAAGACTATTTTGGTGTTATTTTCAAGTGCTTATCTAAAATAATACTAGAGAAGTTTTGTAAAAATTACCTATATGATCCTCATACAATCAAACTGTAATATCTTATATGTTTTATTTTTTGTCATTTTTAGATTCAACATTTCATGACATCAGCTGCAAAGAAAGTGGCCACAGAGACAGCAGTGTGATATACCCTACACAGAATGATGCTTGTATATGATGTAACATAATGGCAGGAGATGGAACAAACACCTTTTAGTGCTATAAAAAATATACCTCTGTGCTCGAGACATCCCGACAGTCATTCTAGAGACCTCCTTCAATCAAGTGCTAGTGCCAAACATGTACATTATACACAAATCATCTATAATTTCCAGACAATAGTTCATGGCACTGAATGAGCAAGTGCTATACTTGAACCTCTTGAAAGGTCAACATATTCACATGGGATTCAAGAGTTACTGTGCTGTTAGCATAATACTAGATATCTCTCGTGTAGATAAATAAACAAATATAAAGCGATTTTTATGTTTATTACTTCTTTTCCTTAGATTTGTGTACAATTTTGTTGTTACAACATGTTCCAATGACATCACTACTATTACCTTACATTACCACAATCTTGGACAGTTTTAACAGGAATTTAAGATCTGTTCATATTTCATAAATACGACAGTAGTAATAGTTAAACTATTAAATCTCTGCTAACTCGGCATGACATATTTCAAAATGTATGACAAACAAACTGTCAGATGCTGTTTTGTACATGATTTTTTAACAGTTAATCTTCATTAAAACACAACAATTAGGGATCTTTGAGGATGAAAAAGGATGACAAGGTCTAATGATAGATGAATATCAGCTGCCTTACAAAACACGTAAGTGATGCCTATAGGTTAAACCTCTGTAAGACATTCAAACCCTGTCCCAAACTATTCTCAACACATCACAGCCTATTCAAACCAACCAAAAAATTATTTCTTTTTCTCATGCATGAGTTGAGATAACGTTTCGATACAACACATAAGATTTCATGAAGGATTATTAACTCACTATGACAAATATATCTCCACAAACATTTTTATGTGCCGACACAAGTGGTTAGATCGTAACACCGGAAAAGGTGTACATAAAGTAAATCAAATGTATCATCAAATTAAAAATTAATTCAGTAATTTACACAAATTCAGTTTTTTTAAGGAAACACATTAATCATCAAAATAAACAATTAAGAAAGAATACATAACAAAGTCCAAGACTCATCAAATTTCACTGTCACAGGTAATTATAGAATAAAAGTACCTCTAAACATGTATTCACTGGAATCAATGTCTCGTCTACAAAGCCAAACAGTATAATGCTGCCTACATACATTATGAATCCAGTATCTCTAATCACAATTATTGAGAGAACATACACTAGACATTTTAATTCAGTGATAATACCAATCATTGTTTAGACAAATAACAATGGAACCTATGAAACAAAAACCTGGAATGCACAGTTCCCTACATAACATCTCTAGATCTTCATTATCTTTTGACCACCAAGTGTCCAAAGTTATTTTGGCAAAGTCAAGATGGAATACTCATCCAGTGTCTTGCAATGATGAAGTATTTTTAATAAATCATTCTGCAAAAAGTTCTACAAATAGCTTTGATGAGTAATGTACATATGAGGTGAGATTGTCTCCAACACTGACTAATGAAAGTGTAAGGCATGGTTATGACATCAACGTCGATAAGGGTGGTAACCCTGTGCCCCTGCTGCTCCTGCCCTCTGGTAGCCCCCTGCAGCTGGTGGAGAACCATATGCAGGCTGTGCATCTCCCTGTCCTTGGTACCCTCCAGCAGGCTGTGCCACTCCACCAAATCCTCCTGCTGCATCACCATAACCTCCTTCAAAACATAAAACAAAGCAATTAATGAAATTATTTAGTATGATACCCTAAGTAGAGGTGTGTGATGTATTTTCAAAACATAAAAATAGGAAATTTAAATGTTTGGTATGATCTTAGGGTAATAATTAGATACTAAAATAACATTCATTAGCTTTGTGTGATATCAACAGTACCAATTTAATGCCTTTTAGCCGAGAGAATTTCATTGTTTCAAACCTATGTGAAAGCACTTCACTGTTCTTATGTAACTTATTATTATTATTAACTTAAGGCCTTTTAAACATTTCAATGGAACCAGAAGGAAGCTGTGCCTGGACATTATAGGGTATTACTAGTAACCAGTTTTGATATCAGACTGTCTGAGCTGTAGGATAACTCTAATGAGTGTGGCTCCTGTAAGACGGAACTTGACAGTTGTAGGAGGGGACTTACACTTGGAATGGCTCCTGTAGGAAGTGGGTGTGGCTTCTATGGCAGAGGAACTATAGAGGGTGTAGGTCCTGTGGGAGGGGACCTGTAGTGGGCCTGGCTCATGTATAGAAAGGACCAATAGAGGGCATGGCCCATGTGCGAGGGAACAATAGAGGTTGTGACCCTGTAGTGGGTTTAGGAAAGGAGAGAGATGTTTAATCTCTGTTTTGAAAATATGGATCTATACCTGGAGCTGCCCCTGGTTGCGCAGGAACTCCAGCTGGGGCTGGCTGTGCGTAGGGGTCTGGTACACCTGCTGGGGCTTGAGGTGTTCCATAGGGGCTGTAACCAGCATAAGCTGGAGCTGCGTTAGGTGTAGGTTGTCCAGGCTGACTAGGATCTACAAGTAAATAAATATATATAGTAGTCATCTAAATACACAATAGCTGTTTATTGTTTGTAACAGTCATAACTACATGTTTTCACATTTTTAACAAGTAAAAAATAACACATTCATCGAAAATAATAATTTTGCAGACTTACACCTATGAATAGAGAGAAGATAGGTCATCATACAAAACTGAAAAATCAGAAAGCCTGATACAAAAAACACAAAACCAGACACCTGAAGGGTCAGGGTTGTTTACTAGTAATAGGACCTTCAATTCCATAGTAAATGTTCATTTCCTTTGAAGTCAGCAAACCATCCAAGCCTCTTATCAGAGGTCCTACCCAATCCCCAACCAAACATCTTGAATATGGAGTTAGGTATTTCAAAAGAATTCATGTCATCGACGGCAACTATCAAGGTTGCCGCCATATTTTCAGTTGCATATTAACTTGTTACAGACCAGTATTATTAAACTCTCTGAAAGTTTTACAGTAACTTTTGTCTGCAAGTGACATGAATGAGTAATATTTTCTATGTGAATATAAAAGTCAATTCACATTGAAATTTTGTTTTTGTATATATATATTTTTTCTGATTTTTTTTTTTTTTTTTTGAAAAACAAACTATATTTTGTTATTATCAGTGAGTAGTGTCAGTGAAAAGCATAGTCAGCGTTCCATTTTAAATCTGTTCTAAATATGCCAGTAATTGGCTATTTTGCCTCTGAAAATGTAATAAAAAAAAAATTTATTAGCTTCTTCAATAACATATACATTTCACTAGTGTGTCGCAATTTTTTGTACCTTTCACTTATGCTGTGTACTCATGCAAAATCCTAGAATATTAGACACACTTGTAAAATATATTTGTTATAACTGAAGACACTATTAAATATTCTCTATATTTCCAACACCACAACACAATCATCAAATTGCTGAGATAGAGCAGCAGCAATACACAGATTTTAGGGCTGATGAGGATGCATACCATAAGGCTGTGCACCTGGTGCAGCAGGAGGTTGTCCATAGGTTCCATAGCTGGCCTGGGATGGGGGCTGTGGCACAGAAGGGGTCTGAGCTTGGGTGGCAGGAGGCATTGCTCCCCATTGTCCACCATAGCTGTTGGCTGCTGCCTGTTGCCCGTAAGCTTGTTGAGGCTGTCCTCCATAGGCTGAAATAGAAAATACAAGGCCAAAATAAGACTTATTCTGTACTGATGTAATGATCAACTTATCAAAAACTCATTCATACTCAACCAAACAACAGTTTGACAATTTACATATAATTCAAATACTTAAGGTTTTGCTTGCATTTGACTGACATGTTTGTTATTTCTAGCCTTTAAGTCTCATGGCTTTACAGTATACTTCTGTCACTTACATTGCTTGGTTACACTTCCATTGGTTATGATACTTGTTATCACAAAAAATGACCCTCCAGGGTATTTTCCATCAAAAAAAATTTAAACAAGTCAATGGAAAAAGGCATTATTATCATTAACTATCAAATGTAAAATCCCAAAAGTAAATGCATGAAGAATAAAATGTGATTACAGACGCACACAACATAGCAAAGTGTATGACATACAAAATTAAAAAGGAATAAAACAAAAAATCCCAAGGGATCTTGGCACCAACCATTGTTTGATCTTTATATGCTCTTTGAAAGTTTAATCATTTACCTTCTTTTCTCTGTTTTTGCTCTTAATGATAAGACATTTGAACATTCCTTGGCAGAAATAGCAATGATAATCTTTACTTGCCAAATCCAAAATGAATGCCTGGAAGCCATTTTGTTTTTCTGATCAGTCCCAAAATTAGATGGGTACAACTAGGGACAAAAGGAACCTATATATGAAATTTAAGAAAGACATATACAGCTGTTCTCAAGAAATAGTGATAACAAACTTTCAATGACAAAATCCAAGATGGCCGTCTGTTGGCTACTTTATTTTTCTGATCAGACCCAAAATCAAACTGGCACAACTGGGGAACAAAGGAAGCCTGCATATGAAATTTAATAAAGATCTATCCAGTACTTCTTAAGAAATAGCGATTACAAAAATTGTTTATGGACTGACCACAGACGCAGAGCGATTTGAATCAGATGGTGGGCTAAAACTCAGGCTACACAATAACACAAACTGTGGCAGAATCAAATCTATGTTATGTAGGAGTATTTTCACTAGGTTTCTACTCATTCTGACCCACACACCAGCATCCACAACGACAGGGTACTCAGATTTATGTCAGCATGATAGGAAAGTCACATTAAACCAGTTCATGATACAACTGACTGAAATTCCTTGTAAATATCAGTAAGAGTCTCAAGATAGTTTTCATGAATAGCAGGATTAAATATCACTGAAATCAGGAAACAGTAAGCTGAGTTTAAACTCACTTTACACTGTCAACAAGAGGTCCACAGGCTTTAACGGTAATCTGACTACAAAAATCTTTCAGCTAGGAGAAGGGTAATTTTTTCTACTTTGAATGAAATCATAATGAGAAGTTGTTTTCCATGATGCAGATGGAAGTTTTCATGAGGAGTAGGTAACTGTAACAAGTGTAACCTATTTTCTGACAGTAAAGTTGGAGCTCAATCCAACTGGTGAAACTAAAGAAGTTTGAAATAGGTGTTGCACAGGAAAACCATGAATGTGCCACCATGTTTCAAAATGGCCTCCCTGGCTGCATTATCAAAGCTTAGACAGGTTGAAAAAAACACTTTGTTGGTTACCTTTCCTTCACATTCCCACCAATTTTTAGCTCAATGGCACCAGTGGAATCAGAGAATTTTAAAATATGTTTTTCAAGATGGCAGACCATTCAGGTAAAAAAATAAGTCAGGATCATGTACATGTACTGGATAATGGATATTCCCTAGGCCCAACAGCTGACACAGTATTCAAATACATGTACTTATTCTTGTCTCAAACTGACACATAGTAAATTATAGATTTTATCTGTGAGGCATCTAATGTCATCAATTGTATTTTGTTTTAATTGGCAGACACTGAATCGGATACATAAACAAGTAGAAATTAAGAGTCTAACAATAACCATGTCTACAGCAGGCTGCAAAGTTAGGTTTGTACACCACAATGTAGTTTTCAATTTCTATAAAAAATATCAAATAAACCTTGTGTCACTTTTTTTTCTCTCTCTTGATGGTCCAATATATCTTTAAAAAAATAGAAAGCATCTCCAATGGGTTATCTGTTTTTTTCAAATGCCAGAATGTTTAAGGTAACCCTATTTTCACACTTTTTCATGCTGGAGGTTTCATGCTGCAAAATGGTTAATCTAATTGTTGCTTCTGGACCTTGTTGATTTATAACAATTATAAATGTTGTGTGAATCTACTTTTCCAAAAAGTGATAATGCATTAAAATTTGATTGCGCTGAATTAAATGTGTTTACAGTACTCTGCATTGTATTTTGTGCCATTTTGTGTAACTGAATTTCCTCTCCATGCTAACCTTGGACAGTACCACATTGTTGAATAAGGAAAGACTCAATAAATGTGGAAAAGACGAACAAAACAAAAATATCTTACCCAAATATTTTCACATTCTTAAGGGTTACAATACAAACAACTTGGAACAAACATAAACATTGACATTGACAATGATGATCACACACATATGCTTTGTTTAAGAAATGAACATAATCAGCAACTAAAAACAGAGGCAGGATAATATGCATGCACATGACAAAACACAAAATCAAGACATAACAAAATAAACATTGGACCCCCAAAAAGATGAGAATTGGTTCTTTTTAATTTTCTGACTTTTACACATCAATACAAACAAATAAATATTATTTCTCTGGATTTTATCACACTAAGATGTTTTGTCCAAATAGGTAGAAATTGACATTAATTCATCTGCATCAGTAACCTCTGAATTATATGTAAGGTAATCCACTATGATGTATTAGATAAGTGAAACTTAACTGGACCAAATTATTATGCCATCAAAACACATTCACAAATGTGATATTACGAGAAACATACAGCATTTCATATTATTTTGTATCAGGTTCTACATGCCTGTTACACTGACTTTAAATAACCTCAATAACATTTCTTAATAAGCTTAGTTCCATTATTAATAGCAATGGCAGAGTTTGGGCACCTTATAACAAAATTCACAATATCAATGTTAAAATCTAGTAGCAAGCAACTTGATAACAGTTTGATACAGGATATATCAACTGCTACCTTTTTTAAAACTAGAATTCAATACCAACAAAACCCCAAGAGATTTTAAAACATGCTAATGGATTGCGGCTACATACACAGGCAACTATAGACATACCAACAGGGTTGGGCAGAGGGGCCTGGGCAGGGACCTGCGTGGGAGGGGGAGGAGGGCCTTGAGGATTGCTGGGCTGGGCCGGTGCTGGTGGGGGCCAGGCACCTGTAAAACATCCAGCCATGTATTGCATGTAACAAAACCCAAGTAATATCACAGTACATATAATAAATTTACAGAGCACATTGTAAAAACTTCATGTCCAACAAATGGAACACATGATTAACTAGACAATTTTCAAAACAATGTCATCCATTTAACAAGCACAGCAATTAATATCTACTTCAGAGTTTTAAATTTATAAAGTCATACATCTTGTAAAAAAAAATTCTGATGTTTAAGTTGCATATGCAAATGTGTGTATGTGCAATTAAAGTGTTTGAATAGTGCAGTTAATTATATACTGTGTTGATAATTTGTTTGAATAGTGCAGTTAAGGTGTTGATATTTTGTTTGAATAAAGATGATAAGTCAACTGTTTATAATTTTTTTTAATGAGACCAAACACATTGGATATCAAACATTATTAACTAGAACAAGGCAAACTACCCTGATCACTCTGGGATAGAAGTGATAAAGTATACCACAATATGGCATATTTCAGTCTACTTATTAGATTTGATTTGTCATACAGCACATGTTCAAGGACAAATCTAATGACACCACGGCTCAGCCCCAATTTTAACTTCTAAGCTCTGTTAAATTATGTACCGTCATTCTAATTAAATCTAGTCTTGTGCCTTGCTGGCCTTAACATCTAAACTGTTAATAAATCATGGAATGTGATGCTTCATTCTTATTTATTGTGTATATTGTTGTCAATGTAATGTGTCATAACAATTACCATGTAAAAATATATATTTCATTACACATACTCATTTCTCTCTTCCAAATTTCAGTAATATAAGTATTCTCATTTTATAACATTCAGGTGAAATTAAATCCAGAAGTCTGATCTACTAGCTGTAACATGTTCCAGTGATGAGCACTCATTCCCATCAGATTTGAAAGTTCTAATATTCTTGTCATCTGAATGATTCGTTTTAGCCAGTAAAATGTAACTAAAGCTGTGTAACTGTTTCCATTATTATAATTTCAGCTTTAATGACAGACATATCAGTCTGAAAATATTGTTTGAATAGGTGTATGCAAGTGTATGCAAGAATAAACTGTTCAAACATCTATTTTCATATTTAGATTCATGAAATTGGACTGCAATCCCTATTACCAATAACTCCCCCATGCTCTCATGAAAAAATTTACTATGGTGTGCAAAAGGATTTTCTGTGCTTCTCTCTTATAAACACGAGCTTTTAAAATGTGGAATTCAAATTACATGACAATCAATGAAGGTGTATTTTTAGGTTAAAAGAGTCTTTTATTTACTATGTTCAATGCTTAACTTTTTAGAGATACTATGAGGACGTCAGCAGCTTCACATAGTTAATATCATAAATAAATGATACCACTTATCTAGACTAAATGACATGTTCAAGGGCTGATTGATAAGTTGTGAGCTTCATATTTAAAGGTTTGACTTTTGGTGGAAATATTACATTATATTTTAACATAATCCCCTTCAGTATCTATACACTTTTGCCAGCAATGTTAAAGGGCCTCAATGCCACTTTTAATGAAGTCCTTTTCTTGACTGCTCAGAAAGTCTTCCACAGCATGTATGATGTCATCATCTAACTGAAATGGGTACTGAAAATGGCCTTTTACAATTTTGGAAATAGCTGAAAGTCTGATGGGGCAAGAGCAGGTGAATAAGTAGGATGCTCAATCAAACCAAAGCCACAATTGTTAATGGCAGCCATGGCAATGACAGACTTGTCAATGGGGGCATTGTCCTGGTGGTATAACACACTTTTAAGACGTGATGCATAACATGTGCCACTGATTGTTTGTCATTTTTGCAGATATTCTACCATCAGCATCCCTGAAAACTTAGGCTATATCCTTTTAAGCTGATAAAAGTCTTTTGTCATCTTTGGTGGATGAACTTGCAGGGTCTTTCCATTGTTTAGACTGTTGTTTGTCCTCTAGGGTGAAATGATGGATCCTAATTACTCCTTAGTCTTAAACCTCTACAAAAAGTTTTCACTGTAGCATATGAAGGGGCATCATTGCCTAGTGTTGCTACCATATCAGTATGGATATCCCTAGGTGCTAGACTTTTCATATGCAAGTAATGAGTCACAGCTCTTTCAACAATGTTGTCCATTTTGCAATAGTCACTAGCCTTGTTTACTTTAAAATGCTACCTCTCCAACATAAACTGACCAAATTACACTAGTCCTCTGGTACACAGCCTTAAATAGTCAGAGTATAGTAGAACTAAAAAAGGACATCCCTGCTTAATGTCTTCAATACAAGACTCACAAATTATCAATTAGCCCTCTTATGTATAAAGGAATGTTTGGTTCACAAGAAGTGTGATATGAATCTTGTTTCCTTTAAATATTTGTTCTCTGCTATCCAGATGAATTCATAATTCAAATTCATACTAGTGGTAATAATGACAATGTAAACTCCAGATTTTTTTCTGATGAAAGATGCAAACAAAGTGATGAGACATCCTATTTTACAATACCTAATATCTGTAATAACATCCTTCATCAGCATCATGTTCAAACACTTTAAACAAGAGGCCTAGTGGCCTTGACAGTCACCTGAGATAAGCAATAGTGAAGTTAAAGTGTCATGAAAAAGAAAGTAATATTGATGATAGTAAGCCAGTGTCAATACATGCATACCATCAAATCTGTCATCCTATACGAATAATTCTTCCAGTGGGAAATAACGTTATGCTCAAAAATACAATTTTTCTATAAGAATTAAAATCAAATTAATCTCTTCCCCAGAAAGAAAAGGCAAGACCCATTTTTTGTAAACACCTTTAGATGCTTTTATCCATGAAGAGCATTTGATTCTACCATAACTGGGTGTTGAGAAGATTTTTTAAATTTAAGACAATTTGACCCCTTTTGGTCATGTCCATCAGCCCCAGGGGGTCACTCAGTATCAGTGTATGCATACTATCTAGCTGTCATCCCTCACTTATAATTCTAATAATTCTAACATTCCAATGCAAATTACACAAATTACAATAAAAAAAATGTTTTTCTTGTATAAACTTTAGAAAAATTTACCCCTTACCAAGGGGAAATGCAAGACCATGAGGTCATGAAATTCATAATTTTGGTAAAGCACCTTTAGATGCTTCCATCCATAACGAACATTTGATTCTACCATATCTTTGTGTTGAGAAGAAGATTTTTGAAATTTGAATCAATTTGGCACTGTGGGGGTGGGGACTGCATAATTAACTATTTTGGTTCATCTTAAGCACAGATGCCAGACAAGGGCGATTGCAGTAGGTCACATGAGACATTGTCTCTGGTGACCTTAAAAACATAGACATAAAACTGAAATTAAGAAAGTTCAGATATTAAAAAATAAACTGTGAACAAAAATTATTATTCATATATCAAAGGACTATAACAAATACAACATAAATCTCTAAATGAAGATTGAGTGGCCTACCCTGTTGTCCTGGTGATGCTCCTGGTTGTTGAGCCCAGCCTCCCTGCTGGAAGCCTGGTTGCTGAGGTGGCTGCGGCTGTCCTTGTGGGGGTTGAGGTTGCTGGTATGAGTTGGGACCATAGTTCTGATTAAATCCTTGTGGTGGTGACTGCTGTTGTGGAGGTTGTTGTGGAGGAAATCCCTGTTGGTATCCGCCCTGTTGGAAATGATCTGGAAATCCACCAGGTCCCCCAGGTCCTCCAGGCCCACCTGGGCCTCCTGGTCCACCAGGTCCTGGTCTTGGACCTCCTCCATTTGGATTCCAATTGCCTCCTGCAGGACCCCAGTCACCCTCTGGTGGAGAGTTCATGCCCTGTCCCATCATAGGTCCACGATGCATTGGGCCACCACCGCCCCTTTCACCTCCACCTTGACCACCACCCCTCCCATCTCTGGGCTGGGCTCTTTTCACCTCAACCTACAGAAGTAAAACACGATGTACTAAAAGCCAACATGAGGACATGACATACTTATCATAGTCATCTAATTATGCTAGTCTCTACATCTCTACAATAACTTTATACCTTATTGGTATAAAGCGTCCAGAGAGAGGAGTCTCCCAGACTTATAGAATTATACTGCTACAGAACTTTATCATTAAAACTTCATGTCAAATCATTACCAGTATATACAGATGCTTTTTAACTATAGCTGGTAATGATTTTTATTATAATTATTCTTAATATATTTAATATGAATAGCAAACAACTTGCCAACCAAGTTTAATATGACATGTAAGTATGAGTCTAATATATAGTAATGTGATACCATGTACTTATATTTACCAGTTCTACACCACATGAATAAGACCAATTACACATTAGAAAGGATACATGCAAATATTAAGCTTTCATCAAAATGCCAAGCAAGTTTTTATCAAAGAATTCTGGGCACTTGAAATATCCTCAGTATTGAAGATTTGTCAATATGCTTTTCTCTTCATTAATTTTGTGTAAGGAGTAAAGATCACCTGCTTGACATTTCAACAGAACTGTCCATCCTCTTCCTCCCCTAAGCCAGACAAGACCGAATATGCAGTCTGACAGTAAACAATATATATGTACCTGTTGTACAGCTATATTCTTTATTCTGTCATAGTTAAATACAAGAGTGTTGGTAGAGTGGTAAAAGTAATGAAACTTTTTTTATATTGATTAAAAACTTACAATAAAGGACCCACAAAAAAATGGTCATATCTAAATTTAGCTTACAAGGAAATACAAGTGTAAGTATCATATTCTTACTAAACAAACCTTTACTTATCAATTCTTACTAAACAAACCTTTACTTATCAGATTCTTACTAAACAAACCTTTACTTATCAGATTCTTACTAAACAAACCTTTACTTATCAGATTCTTACTAAACAAACCTTTACTTATCAGATTCTTACTAAACAAACCTTTACTTATCAATTCTTACTAAACAAACCTTTACTTATCAATTCTTACTAAACAAACCTTTACTTATCAATTCTTACTAAACAAACCTTTACTTATCAATTCTTACTAAACAAACCTTTACTTATCAATTCTTACTAAACAAACCTTTACTTATCAATTCTTACTAAACAAACCTTTACTTATCAGATTCTTACTAAACAAACCTTTACTTATCAATTCTTACTAAACAAACCTTTACTTATCAATTCTTACTAAACAAACCTTTACTTATCAATTCTTACTAAACAAACCTTTACTTATCAGATTCTTACTAAACAAACCTTTACTTATCAGATTCTTACTAAACAAACCTTTACTTATCAATTCTTACTAAACAAACCTTTACTTATCAGATTCTTACTAAACAAACCTTTACTTATCAATTCTTACTAAACAAACCTTTACTTATCAGATTCTTACTAAACAAACCTTTACTTATCAGATTCTTACTAAACAAACCTTTACTTATCAATTCTTACTAAACAAACCTTTACTTATCAATTCTTACTAAACAAACCTTTACTTATCAATTCTTACTAAACAAACCTTTACTTATCAATTCTTACTAAACAAACCTTTACTTATCAATTCTTACTAAACAAACCTTTACTTATCAATTCTTACTAAACAAACCTTTACTTATCAGATTCTTACTAAACAAACCTTTACTTATCAGATTCTTACTAAACAAACCTTTACTTATCAGATTCTTACTAAACAAACCTTTACTTATCAGATTCTTACTAAACAGCAAACCTTTACTTATCAGATTCTTACTAAACAGCAAACCTTTACTTATCAGATTCTTACTAAACAAACCTTTACTTATCAATTCTTACTAAACAAACCTTTACTTATCAATTCTTACTAAACAAACCTTTACTTATCAGATTCTTACTAAACAAACCTTTACTTATCAGATTCTTACTAAACAAACCTTTACTTATCAGATTCTTACTAAACAAACCTTTACTTATCATATTCTTACTAAACAGCAAACCTTTATTTATCAGATTCTTACTAAACAAACCTTTACTTATCAGATTCTTACTAAACAGCAAACCTTTACTTATCATATTCTTACTAAACAGCAAACCTTTATTTATCAGATTCTTACTAAACAAACCTTTACTTATCAGATTCTTACTAAACAGCAAACCTTTACTTATCATATTCTTACTAAACAGCAAACCTTTATTTATCAGATTCTTACTAAACAAACCTTTACTTATCAGATTCTTACTAAACAGCAAACCTTTACTTATCATATTCTTACTAAACAGCAAACCTTTATTTATCAGATTCTTACTAAACAAACCTTTACTTATCAGATTCTTACTAAACAGCAAACCTTTACTTATCATATTCTTACTAAACAGCAAACCTTTATTTATCAGATTCTTACTAAACAAACCTTTACTTATCAGATTCTTACTAAACAAACCTTTACTTATCAGATTCTTACTAAACAGCAAACCTTTACTTATCATATTCTTACTAAACAGCAAACCTTTATTTATCAGATTCTTACTTAACAAACCTTTACTTATCAGATTCTTACTAAACAAACCTTTACTTATCAGATTCTTACTAAACAAACCTTTACTTATCAATTCTTACTAAACAAACCTTTACTTATCAATTCTTACTAAACAAACCTTTACTTATCAGATTCTTACTAAACAAACCTTTACTTATCAGATTCTTACTAAACAGCAAACCTTTATTTATCAGATTCTTACTAAACAGCAAACCTTTACTTATCAGATTCTTACTAAACAGCAAACCTTTATTTATCAGATTCTTACTTAACAAACCTATACTTTTCAGATTCTTCCCTATATAAATAACCTTAAACAATATCCCCCCATTTTCAGAATCTAATTCAAGAACTGCTTTTTAAATAAAACAGAACTGTACCGATAATTTGACAGCAATGCCGTTGTGGAATGATACAATATCTTAAACCAAGAAACAAAGACTTCACAGTTTATACCATGGACATAGTAAAAGAAAATTGTTAATGCTAATTAAAATTAAAAAACTTGTTAGATAAAGTGACATAAAACAACTAACATGGTGATAAATTGCAGATGACCATGTCCTATGGTAAATGCTTTGGTCTCTGTATGAAATGTTTTCAGGTCAATTCTAACCTTGTTTTAAAATCAATCCTTTTGAAACTGTTTGACAGTAATGAAAAAATCTTTAAAGGTTGCATCATACCATTTCAATACAAACTATTTTAAACATCTTAAATAAGAAAAACCCTTTTTATAATACTTTTTTCTATTCTTCTTTTTGCACATCAAACTTAGGTAGTACAAAAATTGAACAATCTTGAACCTTATTGATAAGAATAGCTAATATCAATTATTAATGAATTAAAAAACATACAACTTTATGCCATGTCTATTCAGGCTGGTTAATGAAAATTTGCCTAAGAAACATACAATGCAAGACATCAATGTATTGGTCAAGAAGATATATCAAATGTCTTTTATCACTCCATATGTATAATCCTGAATTTTGTTGTTACATGAAAGTTTCCAACTTTTTCTTCATTAACAAGTACCTGTAGAAATTTAGAGCCAACAATTCCATATTATCACACAAAATGGATAATATATAAATTTGAGATGCTTATTTTTTCAATTCTCTATTTTCATCCTTTTATATTATTTTTTTATTATTTTTATTTTTTGTTTGAGGAGGTGTGGGGTTTATTAACGCTATATTTTGAATTGTATACATTTTGTAATTTTTGTCTTTTAGATTTGCTTTATTGTGGAATTTTCAACCAACCTTAATATTTGTTTAATGACCTTTAGGATGTTCTCACTGAATATACTGTGCAGATAGCCACACGAACACACACACACAGATAGATATACAGGACAACATGTTAGTACTCAGTGACCAGTGAAACTATATGTCTATGTAAACACTTAGGTGATGAGTCTTACGATGACATAAACTACAATACATATTCAGCTTTCAGTTACGATACATTTTTCCTCTCATTTTGAAGTACATATCTCACAATATATATCCTACATGTACTTGACTGTCTGAAAACACATGGAATAAATGGTATTGATTTAACCATTCAGCACTTACTATCTATCAAAATAAAAGTACTGTAATGTAAATAACCTTTTTCAAATATATCTGTTGTATCTTAGAAAATGACATATTTTAAACAGGGAGTTATTATCCTCCAGCAAATATTCCAGCATATTACATAATGAAGGTAGAAGGCTTTGAAGCAGATTTCACAGAACTTTTCATTATGAACATAGATACTTAAGTTAAATACTCGCTAGTGGTTGTTAAGGGTCAGCCAAAAATTATCTATTTTACTGTGCCATTTATCTCTATACAAGACAGGACTGGCTACTTGTAGTACAAACTGGACATTGCAGATCCGCTATTGCTGTAAAACATGCAACATAGATTCCTTCATTCTGACCAAACCTGTTGATGAAATATTCTAGCTATAACAGTACAGATAGATTGTAAGCAAGCACTTATGTAATTTATTACTATTTTTCAGTAATGTGTGAATTGTTAAAAATTGTTGATAAATCTCTGCAACACTGCCAACAAATATTATCAAAACATCACAAAAATGCATTAAAAAGTTTGAAATATTAATAAGAATATCACAACTTAAAAGGAATGTGTTCAAAATTTCAAAATCAAACACCATTTTAGGAAATGAAATGGCAAATACTATATGTAATTACTGTTAGCAGTTTTACAGGTCACCTTGCATACTTTTATCAGCACTATCATATTAAAAAGATTTTAAATTTCTATATTCCATAACTAATAAAACCATGAGGGAAGAGGATGGACTGCAGCAAATGTTCTACAGACCAGGTAAAACTGTCATCAATCAAAATGTCATACTGGCAAATAGAAATAAGTCTCAACATTATATTACCTGAATACTCCAGTGTTTAGAATTATCTCCCTGCAAATTATACTTTCAAACCAAGCTAACTTTCTTTTCCACATCACTTTAATTACATCACTTTATCAAATACTGGTGGTGAAGTCTGGTGGATCATATACTGGTAAGTCATTAGGACCAAAACATGAGCACAAAGTTGAAATGAAAAAAGGGAAAGAAAATTAACTTGGTATGAAAATAATTAAGAAGGGAGATAACTCTGTTTCTTCTTGTCATATTTAGAATGAGCTGTGTATACTAATAACCTTCTTGCCATTGATGTTGACATAGTGTTCTCCACACACGCCTACTACACTGTCTTCGCTCTCGAATGTCAAAAACCCAAATCCTAATTAACCAAGTACAGAAAATAGCACTATTGCAGCAACATGGTCAAGGTGAAAAAAGAGACAATTAAATATCAACATCAATGCATGGCATTAACAAAATCAATAATGTAAAAAAAAAAAAAACAGGTATAAAGAACCTTATAAATCTAAGATATACTTCAATCAATATTCCTGGCAGAAAGATGTTCATATACATAGGCATTTCTCATTTATGTAGGCTAAATTTAAGCTACAGGTCACACACACACACATAAAAAACAAACAAGACAGCCTTAGAGGCTCATTTAAAAATGTTATCAGCATAAAATGCCATATTCTACAATTCCTATAAAAAACCAAGTACTCTTTTTTTTCTTTTGTTAAATTATGCAACATTGTTGTTAATATCATTAGCTAATTAATATTTCAGCTTGTAAATCATTAACACAACCATAAAACGTTGTATTTCTGGTCACAGTGGCACATAGAGAATTTTTCTAAAAATCTTTAATATAAAGCACCTTAGATACAATATTTTCTAATATCTATGACTATATGTTGGTTTTCTTATAAAAAAAAACTGCTACAAAGACACTTTTTGAAAGGACTGTACAAAAGCATTATGGATACATTAGCCAACCTCAAATTGTTTTCAATTGCTGAGAAATGAGCTATCCTGCTACAGGGTGGTTTACATTTCTCAAATAAAGTAGAAATGTACTACTATCTAATAGTGTATGATTAATGTCAATACTTAAATTAAATAATATCAAAGTCAAGAAATTTTTTGAAAGTTTTATAAAATTCCATATGGAAAATCAAAGCAAAACCTCCAAAACATGCTGCATAAATTTACCTATCTAACATCTGTTATTTCTTTCTAATCATTCCTATATTATTGCTTTCCTTGTGCCATAATAACTAAACATTACACCCCAATTGCATGCAGTTTCACTTTGAAATTATTGAATTATTAATTCTAAAAAACTTTGAGTATCTCAACAAAACCTCATTCCAAATAAATAACTTTCATATTTATTAGTTTACATAAAAGAAAACTCTGTAAAACCCTTATCAACATTCTGTTCTGTAAACTGTTTAAAAAACACTCTTAAAATATTGCATGAACAAATCTGAAATCACGTTATCAAACAAAACCAATCACACTTAACATATCTAAAAAAACTACAGCAAAATCATCATATTGTATTGAAGAACTACACTCACAAATGTGATTAACATCTTGTTGAATGTGAACATCTGCCAGGAATATTTCACTATCACTTATATTAATAAGATTACTTTAGAAAATGTTCATATTATCTTATATGTATGTATTGATCTTACATTTATCATAATACAGATAATGACAAAATAAAAAAGATCTTTAAATACTACAGAATACAAAATAATCACATTGTCTGTTTCAAGATTTTTCCATTCCCATGTATTTAATCAGGAGATTAATATTTGTTTAAAAGAATCTGGTCAATGTACCAGTTCAGATTCCTGAAATATTCACAATCTATACAGACACTCTTTTTCAGATGAAACTTGAAACAGACAATTCTTGCTATGACTAATGATGTGGAAATTAAATGTTATACTAAAAATATTAGATACCATAATGGCATTATGTCAATAACTTTACACAACATCAATTTGAACTGTAATACTGCATGTGAAAGAGAGAATTCTGAAAGCAGCAAATCATACACTGCTGTAAAAAAAACCTACTTCTTCAGAACTTACCCTCAGTAACTGATTAAAGTTTCTCAATTACAAATTGCTCTGTCTTAAACTTATTCAAGGTTCAATAATTAATATATTTAATATTTGATCTGTGATCTTGGGGGGAAATATCTGTCACTCACTTTTGTTTCAAATGCACTGCAGTTTTTTTCTTTCAGAAAATTATGACTCATAATTTCATATTTTCTTTATCATTAAATATTTCATACAATCTGGAATACAATGGGTCATTTTTATTTAACACTGAGTCACTCAGAAACTGAAAAATGATTTCTGATTAGTTTTTCTTTAACTTAGTATCTGATGTACATACCTCTTGATTTCTGTTGCGCCTGATCATACATTATAGTAACATCTTGCACCTGTAAATAATACAAAGGTAATCAGACCCACACGTTGGTACATCAAATATCCTATTGTACTGGAAGAACTGTATCAAGAGAGTCCACTAATTACAACTGAAACAAGTAAAGAGGTTTCTCTATATAGCCCTACTGAACCAAGCTCCTCTTCTGAAATCACAATCCAGTGTATTCATACCATAGTTATACATCTTTATCTAGGCCAGAGATCTATGACTGAGAATCTCACTACTTACATACATATAGAGAGATATCAATATCATGTGAGAACAGACAAAAGGGCATAAATGGTTGGTAATATAATTTGTAAACTCTGGTCAGGAACACTTGCAAAATTATTGCAGGCAGATATATTAATTATTAAGTGTCATGGAGATTTTAATACAACCTTATGAACTATGTATGGGTATTATTGAACATAAACACACCTTCCCGTATTTACTAAAATAGTCTTTGAGAAAATCTTCGTCTACATTTGGCAATCCTCCCATGAATATTTTCCTGTTCTTATCTGGGTCTGGTCCTCCTCTTGGGCCTCCTCCACCACCACGGCCTCCACCACCTCCATCCTCTCGTGGACCTCCACCCTACAAAAATCATGAAATGTTTGATTTATCAGGTAAAACATATTTCAAAGTGACATACTAACTCCTCATTCTGACCCTAGTTTATAACTAAGTATCGTTTTAATCTTTTCAGAAACAGATTTTGAATCATATGATATCGAATCCATGTGAGGACATATAGACTGTCTTGATATCTTGATGACATACAGTTTAAGTATACTGTAACTTCTATATGAAATCATTAATGACGTTCAATGTACTTAGTATCTGGCACTAACAAGGAATAGACCAGAGTTTATAATGGATACATAGCACTACAATATATCTAAGGAAAATCACTATACCACTAGTATTATAACCAGTTACTGGGTACAGCTATAACGTGACAACAGTATATCTAAGGAAGATCACTATACCACTAGTATTATAACCAGTTACTGGGTACAGCTATAAAGTGACAACAGTATATTTAAGGAAGATCACTATACCACTAGTATTATAACCAGTTACTGGGTACAGCTATAAAGTGACAACAGTGTATCTAAGGAAGATCACTATACCACTAGTATTATAACCAGTTACTGGGTACAGCTATAAAGTGACAACAGTATATCTAAGGAAGATCACTATACCACTAGTATTATAACCAGTTACTGGGTACAGCTATAACGTGACAACAGTATATCTAAGGAAGATCACTATACCACTAGTATTATAACCAGTTACTGGGTACAGCTATAACGTGACAACAGTATATCTAAGGAAGATTACAATCTTACAGGTTTATTCATTCCCTTCGGATTACATGCTTTGGCGTCCACCTGAAAAAAGACAAGAAATCATGTTACAGATTATTCAATTTTTGTCTGCAGTTTATATTCAAGTCAATGGTAACAAAAGATATCTACTTCTTAAAAAATAACAGTGCAAGGGTCAACAATTTGATATGAGAGACAGATGTTGTAAACTTGTGATAGCCTCTTTTCCTATTGTTTATATAGCATAAAAAATACTCACTCGTCTTCCATCGATCTGGTGAAGTTCTACAGACAAAACTGTCTCAACACACACTGGGTCTTTGAAGGTCACAAAACCAAAACCCCTGGACTTCCCTGTGGTGGGATTCTTCATCACCACACAGTCTATAACTTCACCATACTGGCTAAAGTATGTAAGCAGGGTGTCTGTACAAGTAAAAACATCACTTTTATTGCAATGGAATACTTCTTTTTTTCAATACATGATTCAATTCAATTAACTCAGATAGTATTTCAAACTTATACAACCAAGTTTAAAACGTTTTACACTAAAGAAAAAGAATCAGATTTAGAAGTTGACATAAAAAAGGTTATCACCAAAATACCATACATTTAACTAATTCAGTTGATATTTAGTTTTCCAAGGCAGAAAATACAAAGCCTGAAATCTGCAATGTCAAAACTTTTAGACAACAGATAAGTGAAAATGGTGAGAAATATCAGTAAGCAATAGGTAGTAGTATACAGTAGTTTTAACAAAACATTTTGAGAAAGAATGTAGACTAAAGACACAGTGATACTGTAACTAATCATTTCACCTTGATCTGTATCCCAGCTTAGTCCTCCAATGAACAGCTTTCTATTAAAAAAAAATTTATACATGAAAAGCATAAAGTATGACACTACCCTAAATATGTTAACACTCATTTGCTTACATCTTTGTGAATCCAATACCACTCCCAGCAACAAGATCTCATTCATATCTCTATTCTGATAACAAGAGATCCCAAGGAATCTTGTGTCCACCATTGAATAATCTATGCAAGACTGATTTTCCTCTATTTTCCATCCTTTCCCCTTTTCCTATTAACCAATTGATAATAAGGGTATCCTACATAACAAATCTAAGAAAAGTCTAATGAAGAAATTCTAAGAAATTTCAATAACACTGTGTCAAAATCCATGGTGACTGTCGGTCAGCCATTTCATTTTCCTAAGACAAAAAAAATGAGGCAACACAAGTTGAGGCCCAGGGCAGCTTACATCCCACATTTGAGAAATGTCTTTCCATTACATAAGAAGTAGCCACAACAAACTTCAAATTCTAAAATCCATGATGACTGCCTGTGTGCCATTTGGTTTTACTAATTAGTTTCAAAGCTTATCCAAGTCTTCCCAATTCTAATACATACATAAACAACTGATTTATCATAATTTGTAGACAAATGTATTATAAATGCACTAGATGTTTACAATTTCAAAGTTGTACAATAGTTATAAATGATGGTAAAGTGCTGATGATCATTTTCCAAGATTGAATCTTATGATGTTATGATTGATTATTAATCTAAATTAATTGTAATTAAGTACTTCCACTTTACAATCTTTTCATAGCAAAATTAACACTATTTCTTATTAAAAAAACTGATTAACGCTTACTTACAGACTAATGATTAACCTGATAATATCATTCTTCATTATTAGTATCAAAGAACAATTTACCTTTATTTATGCATCTATATTTGTATATTCATGCATGTATATTCCAAATAGGACACACAATATCTTCATAGGTCTAGACTATATCAATTTTATTCAGAATTATCATTATGTCATTTAAGATCTATGATCATAGCTAGCAGTACTGTCTCACAACGATAGGCAAGCTAATTCAGGTATTGACTAAGATTGGAAGAAAAGTTATCTCCCTTAGTACAACATAATCGCAGGTCAAAGCGGCTTGCCGTGTGTATGAATTACATTGCATATCGTAATAAAAATCATTGTCACAAATCAGTAATCAAATCATAAGCACTAGCCAGGTTCGGAAATATCACCATGAGTGCATTAACAGACGGTTTTAGTACCTATCAAAGGACAGAAAAAAAACTTCTGTTGCCTGGCAAAACCTGTGTACATGTAGATCCGTTTCAATTGAGATAAATGCCCCCAGTAAATTAAAGTGTACATCGCAGTAATATATATCTTAGCATTCAGAAGTACAAAATTAAATAATCATAAAACTTTAATTTACTAGAAACATGCTGATCCACGATTATAAACAGGCTCGTGCACTTGTGGCGTCTGTTCACGTTCCACGAATTACGATAAAACATACCACAATATCTTTTTCAATTATTCTTCATTATATAATCAAAATGTAATAGCACCACGCGCATTTACCCTGCTTCATTTCGATTTCCTTTCTGCGACATTGTAGAGCCGATTCGCTCTTAGGTGGAGTGATAGCGTCGGTCTGTTTTTGATGTTCACGTCCAACTGGAAAGCAATATGGCCGTTAAGAGACCACGTGATGTAATAAAGGGAAATAATCCACTAGTTGGTTCGTCCGCTGAAAGGCCGAAAGCCCGTAGGTCTAGTGTTATAAAAACAACGGATAAACTAGTTCGCATTAGATGGCAAGCCAGTAATATGTCTCGTACTTCTTTAAGTGTCCGGGACGTATTAAATGTTCCTGAAGTCAATGCAAGCGTCAAAGTGAAATCTAGAGATGCAAATAATCCAACTACATAATAGATATAGTCCGATTGTTCTATTGATCTACTATGCTTTTATTATGTTACCTTTTTTCTTGATGAAGTTGATGATCTGCATGACGGCTGCACTCTGCAAATCAATCTAAGCAACATACATAAAAAGCATTGCTTTTGTTTACCCTATCATGTGTCTATTAAAACCCGTTTTCGATAAGCATATTTCTGAAAATGGCTGAGTTTGAAGACTGCCATTTTTCAAAATGTATTGAAATCTGGTGCAAATATATGTCGCCCCGCGCTGTCACGATTGTGTTTTTGGGCAAGTTTTTTCATCCTTATTTCTTCGGTGGAGCAGTTGCGGCGGGTCTTTTGAATTATTTTCAACGAGACAATCACCAGACACAACAAGGCCTCGCCTCAAAGTGGTCGGACAATAAACACATCACACAAATGAATATTATGGTAAACCTGTTCTTGTGTATAATTGTGTCGTCAGTCATTAATTTAATTCGTACAGCTAAAGGATGTATTACATCATGTGTTTAAATACTGGATCGATATTGTTCCATGAATAAATATCAAATTTGCTAGCTATATTACGGATTTCTGTGGCCACACATGCCAATTTGTTCCAATTGATAACTCGTCCCTAAAACCGCATTTCTGGATTTTGAACAGTAATTGGGCCTCATTGATGTCAAACGCCCTGCTAAAGTATATACAGGTGATTAACCTGTTCTCAATGTCCAATACTGCTGATCGCTCCTCTCCCGATAACTGAGTAACTCATCATTTCCCCTTCATAAAGTTCTCTTGTCATGAAGTAAAATGATTGTACCGAAATGCTTGTTGAGATTATCGCTGATCACTTATAGCTCTTGTCTTTGGTCCATTCCTATGGATCGGGGTTATGAGAACTTCAAAGTTTCAATTGTCGTGGTATAAGCGACATACACGACGGCTGAAGTTGATCGGACAGAAATCAATTACTCAGATTGTCGTAAAACCCCATCTTGTCCAAAATCTGCCCTCCTTTTAGCTAATTGTTTATCTAAAATTACAATTTTGGACTCGTCGCTGTATTCTCGTCTCCACTTTACGGGAAAAATGATTACAATACCATAGATTATCATTGTTAATCTAACTTTATAAATGAATTCTTGACTCGTGGTCTATTTAAAACGTGACCATACTTCGTTTATGCCTGACGATAAAGAGGGAGGCACTTGCTTGGTTGAAGCTGTTTTCCATTTTTTCCTAGGATATTTTTATTTTTGATCAAAGTAATTACAATATTCTAACGTTGAGGTTATAGTAATGATAGCTGATTCTACCTTTCACATTTGTTCACAGTACACAACAGTGAAATTTACAGAAGAATACAAAAAACATTAATGTGTCACGGTTCACTTCTTCACACTTAGGAAAGCTAGTCCTCATTACAGATGTTTAGAATTTAGAATAAAACACTAACTTTTTTAACTGGTCAGGGGCGAAGTTGATATCTTTAGACTCTAGATTTACATAACGAGTATCGCCTTCCAAACGGAAGACGCTTACCCTTCAAGAACTTCTGGTAGTAATTTTGTATGTTTCCAAAGGTCTTCATTTTGAATTTTTAGATCAAGATATCTGATATGGAACGCTTTTACTAGCAGTTGTATTTGAAATTTCCACATTTTCACGAGATTACGCAGACAGGAAATTGTGTTGCTGGATTTGCTGGCAGTAAGAGGTTGTTAAACGAAAAGCTTCCTGTCCAGCCGATCTCAGAAATTAATTAATCCTTAAGGACCAATAGTCGCTAGCATCCACAGTAGCACTACTTCCTCAAAAACACTGTCCTTGGGCCACTACTATTTCTAGTCTTCATCTATCGACCCTCGTGTGTAAATTCCACTCCTCTTCTGTACGTTGTACAGCTCATCTCGTTACGACTGTGCGCAACTACAAAAAGACATCGGCAGACTGCAGCAATGAGAGGACGGATGCCATATGAATTCAACCTAGAGAAATGCTAAGTCATCCAGGTAACAGGGAAGGGGAATCCATCCATCATTACTTACTACATCCACGGCTAGGTCTTGCAGATAGTAGCGTCGGTCAAGTACTTTGGAATCCACATCCAAATCCATCTCTCCTGGAACAAACACACTGACGTTGCCTGAAAGCCACCTCTGCTAACGTTAATGTAGAGGACACTGAAGACATGCCTAGTTGGTGTCAGGGTTGCCTGTTACATCGCCTTAGCGCGCCTCATCATCGTGTATGGCAGGAGTAGAGAATCAAGACACAGCTAGCGATGTTGTATAAGATCGTTGATGGTCTTATCGACATAAGTCCGTGTCTACTACACTCTGCCTCCTTCAAGAACAGCATTGATAACCGTTATGTTCAACCCACATCAAGGACGCAGACGTACCATTACTCGTTCCTCCCAGCTGAGGACGTGGATTCAGCTCCCATCAGTCAGTTGTGACAGCGCCATCTACTGATGCCTTCCGTCATAGCATTAGCAAGATTCAGCTGATATTCACCCTCACCTAGGCAGAACATCAGTTTTAAACTTTTTTGTACGTGTAAATCGGCTATCGCGGATAGCTTTTGTTTGATGAAGAAAAAAGAGAAGAAGAAATATTTCCTTGTTTTTTTCGCGCTTTATTTTACAACAGAAGTATACAAGATAAGCCTACAAGCAAAGTGACGTCACAAACAAAATGGAGGCGGTCTTAATATTCCAGATAGGTAATATTTCATACCCTCCCTACCTTACCAGTACACATAACAGGAGGCGTGAGCTGTAAGTTTTGTCTGTATGACAGTGGATCATCAAGAACAACATAAATGGCAATGATAATGAGAATGAAAACTACAATGTACTTATCATTGAGCTGTTTTTCCGCAAAACAAAGAAACATTATATTTCAGTACAACACGAAGTATGTACATAACACTGATTATTTCACACTATGTACAAAAAATCAAGCTACATTATCGTTAAATACGCACTAACTCTTTGGTATTTCCGTGGTGTTCAACGTTTGACAAAACTTTCAATATGCAAAAACGGGAAGAATACTATGCCATTTGGCTACGTCTGTTGGACGTGGGCGTATCATGCTTCTCCAGTGGTTCCGTCCACGTGTTCCACTATTAGGTCCGATCTCTACTTTACCCACCACATCATCCTTCTTGTGGAGTTTACCCTTCATGACGAGGAACTCCAGGGAGTATGAGTCCGTGTTTTTATCCACGTTGAAAAGGAAGGCTTCATTCCAAACGGGATTTCGGCCACTGGATGTCCGAGTTTTCTGGACATCTACTACGGACCCGTCCCGAATTAGCTTCACTACCACGTAATGAGCTGTTAACAAAAGTAAAATCATATGTTGCATTATTTTTTTGCGGAACTGATTGCTATAATATACTATTGCTCATCTGTAGGTTGTGTTTAAACCCTAACCGTCTCTGTGACTATATTAGTTTTGATTTAGCATCAGTTTATCATAGCGCGTGTTTACTCTGACTCTGTCGTGTTATAAACCTCACAGAATATCGTGGTTATAGAAAATTACAGACTTACAGATTGTTGGCGAAAAGGTACAGGTAGCAAAACAGGAACGAGATATACAAACTAACAGTACAGATCCGAAACATGGAAGGAGGGGTGAAATGTCTTTAAAAAGTAGCTGTTTATTAGGTTTAACGACACGGACATCTTGGGTTTTACGATCATCAGTCTGCCACTCAAACTCACCGCTTTTGACGAGTAGGACACACCAAGTTTGAAAACCGCTTGTCTATCAATCAAACTTACCGGGTTTGTTGACCACCTGTCCATCAATCAGACTTACCGGGTTTGACGACTAAGACTTACCGTGTTTGACGACTCATACTTACCGGGTTTGACGACTAGGACTTACCGGGTTTGACGACGAGGTCTTACCGGGTTTGACGACTAGGTTTTACCTGGTTTCGCGACAGTCAGTCCGTCACTCAGACTTACCGGGTTTGACGACTAGGACTTACCGGGTTTGACGACTCATACTTACAGGGTTTGACGACTAGGACTTACCGTGTTTGACGACTAGGACTTACCGGGTTTGACGACTAGGACTTACCGGGTTTGACGACCACCTGTCCATCAGTCAGACTTACCGTGTTTGACGACGAGGACTTACCGGGTTTGACGACTAGGACTTACCGAGTTTGACGACGAGGACTTACCGGGTTTGACGACGAGGACTTACCGGATTTAGCGACAGTCAGTCCGTCACACAGACTTACCGGGTTTGACGACTAGGACTTACCGAGTTTGACGACGAGGACTTACCGGGTTTGACGACGAGGACTTACCGGATTTAGCGACAGTCAGTCCGTCACACAGACTTACCGGGTTTGACGACTAGGACTTACCGGGTTTGACGACTAGGACTTACCGGGTTTGACGACCACCTGTCCATCAGTCAGACTTACCGTGTTTGACGACGAGGACTTACCGGGTTTGACGACTAGGACTTACCGAGTTTGACGACGAGGACTTACCGGGTTTGACGACGAGGACTTACCGGATTTAGCGACAGTCAGTCCGTCACACAGACTTACCGGGATTGACGACTCTGACTTACCGGGTTTGGCGACCTATACTTACCGTGTTTGATGACTAAGACTTACTGATTTGACGACTGGGTTTTACCTGGTTTCGCGACAGTCAGTCCGTCACTCAGACTTACCGGGTTTGACGACTAGGACTTACCGGGTTTAGCGACCCATACTTACCGGGTTTGACGACTAG